TCTACACGGGACAAGGTATCTACACACAACTGTCTACACGTGACAAGGTATCTACACACAACTGTACACGTGACAAGGTATCTAGAAGCAACTGTCTACACGTGACTGGGTACCAACACACAACTGTCTACAGGTGACAAGGTATCTACACATAGCTGTCTACACGTGACAAGGTATCTACAAGCAACTGTCTACACGTGACAAGGTACCTACACACAACTGTCTACACGTGACACGGCATCTCCATCGACAAGTAACTTATTACATTTGGCAAGGTATCTACACACAGTTCTCTTCTATCAACCCCCCGTGTTTAATTATGTCTTTACCCAGAATACACTCTAATAAGGAACAAATCATTCTTTTAGTGAAGCTTCCCGCCTAAAATATATAAAAGCTGAGCAAAACATTTCCTGTCAGATACATGATTTAATCCATAGACGACGCCTTCCTTGATGACTCGACAAAAGCCTGCTCCATAGAACGTTCTAGTACTGTGGTGTTTACTCTATCAATATATGGCAGATGTCACGTCGCAGCGCACGTAGATGACGATATTGACCTCGCCCCAGTCGATCTGCGCCAACCAGACATAGCTCTTCCAGGACCGCGTTGATCAACCAACAGACACACTTGCATGTGGTCGATATGCATATATTACGGCATTAGACATATCAATAGGGACACAATCAGGTGACGCGTGCCATGATGCAGTTGCCATGACGTGCAAAACAAGATGATTTAAAAAACACGGCAATACATCCTGCTCCATCTGTACTAGAAGGCTTGTTGTTGACTTCTATTATCTTGAATACACATCACTGCCAGACGACAATCTCAAGTTATTTACCGACTGATTCATCATCTTGGGCAGAATCGGTTTACTGTACACTATACGTTTTGCCAGAGCTGACTAAAGAGCCTTGGATGACCAGGCTTGCTGACAGCGTGGCATGGTGCCTCAACGGCGTGGGATAATGATCTTGCATTCGCTCACCTGTTTGGTCTGGTTGATTCAAATTGGGAAGGATAACACTATATGGATGAACAACTTCTTTATTGCTGTGAGAGCTACGTTTCGGTGTAGGTTCTAACACCGTTATCAAGCAAATATCACAGCAATAAAGAAGTTGTTCATCCATATATTGTTATCCTTCCTTACTGCCCCAACTTCTAAATGCCTCTCAAAGAAGACGATTCAATTTAATCACCTTGTTTTGTCTGGTTAAACAAAGTCTTACCGGTTGCAAAGGTCTGATTCCAACGTCTGCTAAATGTCCTTGTATGTAATTACCATTATCATCAATATAATGGCATACACAAAAATCTTTCATCAACTGGTAGTGTTGGTAACGGGTCTTGCAATACTACAATCTTTTTCTCAACACCGTATTGTATTTATCTTACATTTGGCACCTTTCGATTCGGAAATGAGAATCTTTTGGGCGTCATATATCAGGAAATCAATTCAGGGAAATACCAATAATGACATGAAATATGAACTATATATAGAAACATGAGAAAATGGTGAGCTCCTTTAACTTCTTTAGGGTGAGGTGAAGTGAAATTGGGTTTAACGTCGTGCTTGAGAATATTTCGCTCATATGACGACGTGCATGCGTGTGTATGTGTATGTGCGGCTGCTTGTACTAGCCCAGACTTAAGCTGGTTTTATAGTGCTAGCCCATTGAGATACCATGCCGCAGTGAAGCATGACTACCCCACTCAGACACATTATACTGACTCCCAGCCGACCAGTCCTTGTTGTACCCATTAATGCCGAGCGCCAGGCAGGGACCAACAAGTACCATATTTTAAGGTCTTTTGGTATGACGCAGTCGGGGATCGAACCCGCGACCTTCCGCTCTCCGGGCGGACGCTTTAACCACTACACCACGGAGGCGGTTACTTCTTTGGGGTAGAATTCGTTGACGAATCACTGATATGATCGTTCTGCAACATGTTCTCTACAAACAATGGGGATATATTCTCTATCCACAAGAATGTCTTGGCAATAAAAACAATTGGAATCTCTGTACGAATCGGTACTATTATTGTTTTCATGGACGGGGGTCAAAGTACTAGCCATTTCTTTCACAAATTTCTCATATGCACACCGACTTGAAGAAAGTCTGAGTGGTCTATGCTCTCAGCGTTAAGAGTGAATTACTTGATTGTATAAAAGACCTTTAGCACGTATCACCCACACATGACCTATTATCACAGAGCTGACTGTGAATGTTGCCTCAGCTCATTCCTGTTCATTTCGGTGTTCCACTTCATAGGGGAGATATTTTACGAGGGCTTCAACTAATACAATGTGTGAGGTGAGGTTAAATTGGGTTTTACGTCGTGCTTGAGAATATTTCGCTCATATGACGACGTGAATGCGTGTGTATGTGTATGTGCGGCTGCTTGTACTAGCCCAGACTTAAGCTGGTTTTATAGTGCTAGCCCACTGAGATACCATGCCGCAGTGAAGTATGAATAACCCACTCAGACACATTATACTGACTCCCAGCCGACCAGTCCTTGTTGTACCCATTAATGCCAAGCGCCAGGCAGGGACCAACAAGTACCATATTTTAACGTCTTTTGGTATGACGTGGTCGGAGATCGAACCCGCGACCTTCCACTCTCCGGGCGGACGCTCTAACCACTACACCAAGGAGGCGGTACTACAATGTGTACCTTCATGAAGCAAGCTACGTGCAGTTCAGTATACATTGTAGACTTTTTTAACACATATTTCGCGATATCGTAGAATGCGCACGCAGTATAGCATAACCCATGACAGAGTTAAATTCTTTCTTTTGTTTTCTTATTTAAATTTAGGACATATCGCGCATATTGGCATCCCCCAGTAACACTCGAGGGGTTGTATTCCCCACAAGGGCACAATGCGTGAAGCCAGTTTCTGGCCTTCAAAAGCTGTGATGAAGCTGTGATGTGGCTAAAACAGGCCTAACACTATATTCACTATTAGCAAACTCTACTGTGTAAATGAAAGGGTGGGAAATATATTCACACACTGTTGCTCTTTAAACAGTGGTAGGGTACGTTCTGAAGCCAAGCAGTATGTGAAAGATCCGCTGTTCCCCGCCAATATTTGAGATACCGGTTCAATTCAGGGGACGTGGGATTACTTGCTGACAGATAGGTAAAAAACAAGGTTCAGACCACTTTTTAGTCTTGAAAGATGAAACAGTATGGTCTGTGACAGGGTCTAAATGTTCATCATCCATCATTGAGTGAGTGAGTGAGTGTTGTTTTACGCCGCGCCCGGATAGTCACGGATCTCGCTAGGACTAATGGCGCGTGAAGCATGTGCACCTTCATAAAAATGAGGTCAAGCGGTTTCTGAAAAATAGCGAAAACAAATATTATGCCATCGCAGATTTTCAGATCGACACATCCTCGCGATAGAGGAAATGTGCGTTACATGACAGGTCGTCAGAAGTAAGATCAGATTTTAGAAATGCATGCCTTATCCAACGAGATACTCCGCCCATCACAATCCGAAATATCGGAAGAGGACCATGTGATTCCTTCGTGCAAGGAGGTAGAGGACCAATTTTGATTTTGACACCTCAATAAATCATGATTATTTCCATTACCCATAGTGACTGGAGTCCTGCTCTGCTGCACTTTGTTGTAGATGCAGTATTTATAAACCAAAAGGAGAGGGCGAACGCTTCCAGCAGATATAACTGGGTGACAGCTAACGCCGTCGGTTCCAAATGAATTCCCGTGCCTCAAATACTCAATAACACCCGGGAATTCGCCAACACATGCAGTTTATCTCCGAAGTGAAACATTAGAATAAGTTAATTATATCCTTATGATTACGTCATCTGAAAGGGGGTGGGTAGTGTCTCCAAAACAAGCCATTTCAGTAAACATGAAGGGGGGAGTCACTTTAACAAGCGACTGTAGTTTCAAATTGTATGCGTCCAGCGGACTTCTACCAATCTCCCAAGCGTTTTTTGGGAGTACCTAGATAAAAGTTAAACAAAATGGGGATCGTGAAGCTGAAACATAGCAAAACCAATTTGCTTGAGGTTGACTAATAATATGTAGAAAAATAAAACAATAAACAGCTGCATTTGTATCATTTTCTAGGTGAGGCTGACTACATTTTGACTGACCCTTGTATATATAGAACATAATTATTTCATATTTATTTCATGAGTATATACATCATTTTTTGGTGTTATTATACACGTTTTCTGTTGTCGCTGTTCTAAAGTGTTGAGTTGCATACCATTTTGGCCTTCCTTATCTATGGTGATTTGCACCTCCCTGAAGAACTGTACGTCCTGCCTTGTCCACGGTCAGTCCCATCTCCCTAAAAACCTATGTTCTGACTGTGCATGGTTAACATGATCTCCCTAAAAAACTGTAGGCCCTGCCTTGTCCACTGTCAATCCCCTGATGAACTTGACCACACAGTATACCCAGCCTAGTCCACACAGGGTCCCATGTTCCTCAAGAACTGGAACACAAAGTACATCCAGTCTAATCCACAGAGCATCCCACCCCATATCCCACAGGACCACACAGTACACCCACCCCATATCCCACAGGACCACACAGTACACCCAGCCAAATCCACTGGGGGTCCATAACCCTCAAGAACTTGAACACACAGTATGTCCTGTCTGTTTCATAGTAAGTCCTGTCTACAAGTTCACCCAGGTTAGTCTAGAGCGAGTCCTGGGCGGTGGGGTAGCCTAGCGGTTAAAGCGTTTGCTCATCAGGCCAAAGACCCAGGTTTGATTCCCCACACGGGTACAATGTGTGAAGCCCATTTCTGGTGTCCCCCGCCGTGATATTGCTGGTATATTGCTAAAAGCAGCATAGTCCAGATTCAAAGCACACCCAGGTTAGTTAATACAGTGAGTCAAGATTCACAGTACACCCAGGTAAGTCCACAGTGGGTCAAGATTCCAGTACACCCAAGTTGTTGACACTGAGTCAATTCTCCAAGTACGCCCAGCTTAGTCCACTGAGAGGCCCATCTCCCTGAAGGACTGCAACAAGCAGTACAAGCTGTGATTTTCAGCAGACTGCCCGTACTCAGCCTTCAGCTGAAGGAAGTTGGAGCCCAAATCAGGGGGAGGGTAACTCTGATTTCTTCTCCTCAGCAGCACTACGGACTTCCTGTAATGTGGAAACGGGTGTAAAATAGATAAGTTGAGGAAGGAGGGTTGATGGTCTAGAAGCCATACCCCCAAAATGGTGAAAATGTGGTGCACTTCTGGCGACCAAACGGGATGTGATTTTTCACAATCAGGAATGATTTAGCTTTGATTTGAAGCCGGTTGTCATCAGCTACCGTGCGTGACTACCATGCAGGGGCCCTTTTAAGGTGCAACATGTCATGTCAGTTATGGCAATATTTTAATCGACAACTAGATGGTTTAATTTAATAACTCTGGTTTGGTTTGACCGATTTTAATAAAAATAGTAGTTTGGGAATGCTCAGACCATGATTTAAAATTGTGGACAATAATATTACATATATGCTCATCGCAAAAAGTATTTTGGTAAGGTTAAAGGTAAAAAAAATTATAGAAAGGGCATTTGATGAGAAAATATGAGTTGAACTTTACAAATTAACGATAATTTTTCCAAAATTATGTTTTTCAGATTCAGCTATAACATTTAAAGATCATATATACCGTTGGTTGGCATTGCATTCATGAAAAACTATTACAAGGAAACAAAGGTTGGTACTTTGTATTTAGATCAGCAAAATATTACACAATGTCTGTTCAACAGTAACAGCACCATGCTTTAGATAGTCAACGATACTAAATATGTCAAAGATACTGTTGGACTATCATTAAAATCACACAACATAACAGAAAGCTCTCAAATGTATAATTCAATTATTCAAGATGTCTTTCTTTATTCATCAAAGAATGATGAGTCTGTCATGTCATCATAACACAAGCAACATTGCCTTTATATCAATTCGTACTTATTGTTCATAATAGTCATAGTGTATTCCCTGTTGAAATGTTAGTTAATGTCAACACTGTCAAGATCACGGGAACATGTTTCAAGTCTACATCCACATGCCAAAATACACAACAGGTTCAACCTCTTGCAGCTACACCTTCTTGTACATTGACGTTTACATGCACAGATATGTTGAAGAAGGTCCACGGAAACAATTCAGTCTTAACTTATTTGCAACTTTATCACAGAGGAACATTTGATGAAGATCTATTAGGACAGAAACGCACTGCTTTAAATACAAAACATTAAGTGCCTGCTTTTATGGACAACTCAAACGAATCCCTAGACAATATTCATTTAAACATCTTGCTTCTACTGTAACTTTCATAAAAATATGCAAACCTCGGATTTAGTAATATATAATGATATACACAAAGGAGTTACACATAGCATGGTCATGACACTATGAGCATCGATTTTCCCAAGTGGGATTCGATGGCATGTATCAAACAAGTAAGTGAGAACGACCACCCGATCATATTAGTTCGCTCTTACAACATGGGTTGCTGAACATTAATTTTGGCCCAACATATTTGTGAACCTGTGAGAATGGTTAATGAATAAATGCATAGTCAGTCTCATGATATCTGTTGTAGATCATTCCAAATGCTATTATTGAATGTATGTCGCCAATATCTTTTCTGGTCTCTGCAAAAGTCGTACCTCAGAGAGCCAATTGTCAAGTTACATTTAATTACTATCAGCTATTCAATACACGCACAGAAGTTGGTATTTAAGTTTTGGGGGTTTAGACAGGCTTCACTTTGCATTACAGGAGGGGTTGGGCCGAAAGTTTGGAGTATGAGACTACTGGCATGTGTAAGGTCCCAGCGACCGGTGTCAGGCCAGGAAAGCCACATTTCTAATAGATTAAATAATTAATGGATTACCGTAACCGGTAAAAGACTGTTCCTACGCTAAACGCCAAAAGAAACGTTACCCTCATACCATCTATGAATTACGTTAATAAAAATATATGTTAGAAGGTTTTAGTTTAAAAAAAACCCAACTTAACAACCCAGCTTTATGCAAATCACGAATCAAATTCTCAAACGCATTCATATTTAGGTGAACTGCATCTTTTTCAGAAGATTAAATTGTCCTATTTTCGACCATGCCGAAATACACCAATAACAGTGATTTAAAATAGATGTCCAAAAGAAAGGTTGAAATAAAATTCTGCTTAAGACATAGATAAACCATTTTAAGTCACCATTTTTCAATTTTTAAAACAAGTAACACCTGTTGTAGAGTGTGTAAAAATTCCTATGAATTCAGTCTTTTAAAACATTTTCTGCTTATTTGCAATAGTGAAAACAAATAAAACGTGTCTTTGATATTGTGCAAAAGTGTTTAGGAACACCGAAAATGATCTTTGTTAACATTTTTGCTTGCAAAGTAACATTTACACACACAACAATATCAATCGCCAAAACGTAGCAATATTCAAGCAGTATTTGCATCAATTTCACGTGTAGAATGATTCTATAGGGTATAAAGAGAGCCAAGAATGCATGATATGATACACAAGCACGAGAAATGTGCAACGAGTAACAGCGGAAGAGAGGGAAAGAGCCATTGGGATGTTGCAGATGGGGTCGACATACAATGTTTCAGATGCCCTCTGATGCCACCATGTCACGGTTATAAGACTTATTCAGCGCTACAGACAGACTGGGGTCACCGTAGACAGACCAAGAAGTGGACGTCCACGCATCCCATCGAATCCCACTAGTGAAGATCGATGCTCATAGTGTCATGACCATGCTATGTGTAACACCTTTGTGTATAACATTATATATTACTAAATCCGAGGTATGCATATTTTTATGAAAGTTACAGTAGAAGCAAGATGTTTAAATGAATATTGTCTAGGAATTCCTTTGAGTCGTCCATAAAAGCAGGCACTTAATGTTTTGTATTTAAAGCAGTGCGTTTCTGTCCTAATAGATCTTCATCAAATACTCCTGTTCCTCTGTGATAAAGTTGCAAATTAAATCGTTTCCGTGGACCTTCTTCAACATATCTGTGCATGTAAACGTCAATGTACAGGAAGGTGTAGCTGCAAGGGGTTGAACCTGTTGTGTATTTCGGCATGTGGATGTAGACTTAAAACAAGTTCCCGTGATCTTGACAGTGTTGACATTGACTAACATTTCAACTGGGAATACACTATGACTAATAAGAAGAATAAATACGAATTGATATGAAGTCAATGTTTCATTAGGATGTCAAATTATTATCCATCAATTTTAAGGGTTTCACGGCATGTCAGTGCAATACTGACACTTATCAAAATATATCTCCTTCTGACATCAGCTGAATTGTTTTTTCTGCCAGAATGTCATTAAACGCAAATATGTATGACAGTTCAACAGTATCTTCGACATATATAGTATTGTTGATACTTTGTAAAGCATGGAGCTGAAATTATCTTATATTTTGCTGATCTAAATACAAAGTACCAACCTTTGTTTCCTTGTAATAGTTTTTCATGAATACAATGCCAACCAAAGGTATATGTGATCTTCAAATGATATAGCTGAATCAGAAAAACATAAGTTTGGACAAATTACCTTTAAAGTTCAACTCATATTTTCTCATTAAATGCCCTTTCTATTAAAATTGACCTTTAACCTTCAGAAATCAAAGCTAAATCATTCCAGATTATGAAAAATCACATCCCCTTTGGTCGCCAGAACTGCACCACATCTTCACCATTTTGGGGGTCTGGCTTCTAGACCATGATGATAGGGATTACATTCCATAGTCAAGATACTGTGCAGACACAGTGCTTTTCTAACATGGTAATATTATGTGCAAGAAATGATGGGTGTGGCTACATCAAAACTTTACAACATTATTGGGAAGGACAAAAGTTTCTTCGTTTTTTACAACATAATCAGTTGTAAATGTTTACTACTGACATGAATTGCTTTCCTCTTGTTGCTGGGGCTGGTCCTTTCAGGTGAGGAGATTCAAGACCTGACTGACTTTAACGATGTATGCCTTGTAAGGTGAGGAGATTCAAGACCTGACTGACTTTAACAATGTATGCCTTGTAAGGTGAGGAGATTAGGACCTGACTGACTTTAACGATGTATGCCTTGTAAGGTGAGGAGATTCAAGACCTGACTGACTTTAGTGATGTATGCCTTGTAAGGTGAGGAGATTCAAGACCAAACTGACTTTAACGATGTATGCCTTGTAAGGTGAGGAGATTCAAGACCAAACTGACTGTAACGATGTATGCCTTGTAAGGTGAGGAGATTCAAGACCAAACTGACTTTAACGTTGTATGCCTTGTAAGGTGAGGAGATTCAAGACCAGACTGACTTTATCGATGTATGCCTTGTAAGGTGAGGAGATTCAAGACCAAACTGACTTTAACGATGTATGCCTTGTAAGGTGAGGAGATTCAAGACCAGACTGACTTTAACAATGTATGCCTTGTAAGGTGTGGAGTTTCAAGACCAGACTGACTTTAACGATGTATGCCTTGTAAGGTGAGGAGATTCAAGACCAGCCTGACTTTATCAATGTATGCCTTGTAAGGTGAGGAGATTCAAGACCAGACTGACTTTAACGATGTATGCCTTGTAAGGTGAGGAGATTCAAGACCAGCCTGACTTTATCGATGTATGCCTTGTAAGGTGAGGTTCAAGACCAGCCTGATTTTATCGATGTATGCCTTGTAAGGTGAGGAGATTCAAGACCAGACTGACTTTAACGATGTATGCCTTGTAAGGTGAGGAGATTCAGGACCAGACTGACTTTAACGATGTATGCCTTGTAAGGTGAGGAGATTCAAGACCAGACTGACTTTATCGATGTATGCCTTGTAAGGTGAGGAGATTTAAGACCAGACTGACTTTAACGATGTATGCCTTGTAAGGTGAGGAGATTCAAGACCAAACTGACTTTAACGATGTATGCCTTGTAAGGTGAGGAGATTCAAGACCAGACTGACTTTAACGATGTATGCCTTGTAAGGTGAGGAGATTCAAGACCAGACTGACTTTAACGATGTATGCCTTGTAAGGTGAGGAGATTCAAGACCAAACTGACTTTAACGATGTATGCCTTGTAAGGTGAGGAGATTCAAGACCAGACTGACTTTATCGATGTATGCCTTGTAAGGTGAGGAGATTCAAGACCAGACTGACTTTAACGATGTATGCCTTGTAAGGTGAGGAGATTCAAGACCAGACTGACTTTAACGATGTATGCCTTGTAAGGTGAGGAGATTCAGGACCAGACTGACTTTAACGATGTATGCCTTGTAAGGTGAGGAGATTCAGGACCAGACTGACTTTAACGATGTATGCCTTGTAAGGTGAGGAGATTCAGGACCAGACTGACTTTAACGATGTATGCCTTGTAAGGTGAGGATATTCAAGACCAGCCTGACTTTAATGATGTATGCCTTGTAAGGACAGGTTGTCTCTCAGAGCTGAAGGTTGTTCTTCTAGGAAGGAGAGGTTAGGTCAGACTTACCTTCATGACTACGCATACATGATGAATTTTACAAAGAGGTCAAAAGTGTCATAATTCGAATCACATTCCCTTTGTAAAGTACAAATTCCAGTACATTTTGGTGAAGGTGGGTACGGTTCAGAATTCAAACCCACACCTTCAGGGTGAAGCACAAAGTCTCCAGCACTTAGTAAGCAGTCTAACCCACTCAGCCGCCTGGCTTGTCCTCCAGGTAAGGAGAGTGGAGACTAGATTTACCTTTATAATGTCTGCCTTGTTGGAACTAGTTGCTGCTCGATGCTGGGAGCTGTCTTCAAAGTGGGGAGTATTGGAGATGAGTTCCAGCTTCAGAGCTGAGGAATGGGCTCTGGATTGGATCAATATTATCTGCACCTGAGGAACAGCAACACTGATTAAATTCAGAGGATGTACCCAGAAAACAGCGCTACTTTGACCATATCAAACTGAGAATATGACCCTTTGTCACAGTCGCCAGGAAATCCTTCCAACATGGTATGCAATTGGAAAACAATGATCTGCAACGAAGTCAAAATTCTGACCAAAACAATCCATCAGTACTCATAGGACAAGCATGGGTAGCTGAAGACAAATTCTACCTGGACCTTGAGAGTAAAACATGTGAAATGGAATGAAAAGAAAAGAGGTGAGCTGATGTAGATGTTGTGAATTACAAAGCTGATTTATTCAAAATATGTTAATGTATTTTCTAAAAACATAGGACATGCTGTCCTATAAAATTGTCCCAATTTATTGTATTTTCTGAAAACATAGCTGTCCTAACCTATAACATTATTGTCCAAAGTGCAACACTTACAAAAGGGAAAGTTTACAGATGTTACCTGGATGCCATGAACTTACTGTGATGTGGTCAAACAGCTTGTATGTATGACTGCCAAAAGGGGAGGTAATTGTAATAGAAGTAGCTGTGCGTGAGAGGGAGCCACCAGTCCATTCACACTTCCCTTCAGTCGTGGCGATGGCCACCAAGTTTTCCTTGCTTCTCAGATACACAGGCCCCTTGATGCCATACCTGGGCAATGCAAACACATGTGTAACACCTGGCTTACTGGTTCATGTCAAGAAAACCTCACAATCTAATTTCCAGATGACAGATCCTCCTTTTTCTGTGTAAATTTGTTTCCACGGAAATAGCAAATATGACCATAAAATACTATCCTATTTAGCAAAAGGCGCTATACTTCAACCCTAGGTTTATATATGCACAAAGCTTCATGTCAGGAATTCCAGAGATTTACATCTGTGTGACCCAGAGCTTACAAGAGAAACTTAGAAAGTGCCCTTTAACAACCAGACAATGAAACTGCCTTGCTAACCATTGTGACATTACTGGTTGCCATGACGCCAATACACTAAGCTTTCTCCCACTGAATCAGGTTACCAGTACATATAATAATGCTTAGTACACCAGTTGTTTACAAAAGGAGAAAGTTGGTTTCTGGATGAAAAATAGAATCACACCCTTTTGTCTTCTTATATGAATATATTAAAACACATAATACTACATTATCAATACATGATTCTACACACAGTACCTGGGAAGGAAGGCCAGTACACCATTGGCTCGGATTTGGAATATGATGGCGTCCACAGTGCAGCTTGCATCAGTTGGAGATTTGTCTCGGAAGAACAGTGCCTGGAAAATGTCCTGAGAGTCTCTCTGCGAATTCTGGGATGCCTATAAATACAAATGCAATGTTGATGTGAGCCAGTAGTGACTGTGAGGGTTAAGTACACCAAATATGTACATGCTACAATTTTCCTTAATAGTGAGTGAGTGAGTGAGTTTAGTTTTATGTTGCTTTTCACAACATTCCAGCAATATCATGCCTGGGGACACCAGAAATGGGCTTGAAACCTTGATCTTCGGCATGATGAGCAAACGCTGTAACCATCAGGCCACCCCACCGCCCAACTTTCTGTGACAAAATCTGTCTCATTAGACAAATTTTACAGTACAGGCATTGCAATTTACTATAAACAAAACTTGCCTTGTATTTACTTCCTACATTATGTCATCTATGAATAATCTCAGTGATTGACCAATTGATCACATGACTATCAACCCTCACTTCACACACGCACTAGCACTTCCAATGTACTACACACATCCTCTACACCTGCACATTTGAAAACTTACCCTGTGCTTTTGATTGATGTGGTTGCTGAGTTCATCCAATTCCTTGTTGCTAGGCAACCTAGTGTGACTGTCTGCTCCAATGGCTGCCAGTAGCTGGCGATGCACCTTGCAAAGAGTTGACCAGGCTATGAATGTTGATTACACTTCACACTCACAAAATAAAGAAGTTGTTATCCATAAACTCAGTGTTCACGAATAGCGTCTGACCATCTGACAAATCCGGCAGATTCGCCAACGGTCAGACAGAAGTCTACAACCCGCCGGCCCAAGTATCTGACTATATTTCACAATGACTTTGACTGAAGTTGTTTTATGTGACACGTGACACTTGTTTGCTGTTTATACATCTTATTTATGTTTGTTAATAATTTCAATGTCAATTATAAGAAATATTAAATCTGAAATGTGTGCTTAATTTTATTCCATGGGTCCTGTGCATTTTCAATGGGTCAGACAGACATCTGAAACTTACAGGACCCAATGTCCTGTGACTTTGAAACACCATTTGTTAACACTGTAAACTTTGTCTATATTGTACTTCCCAGCTTCTAAAATGCCACACAAAGAAGTTATCAATGTTTGTTCTAAACTCAAAGCAAAACCCATCTGAAAAGAATAAATGTCCCAGAGCAAGTTGTACATCAGTGAGAAATCTGCAGCATTAATGCATTATCTTGTACTACCATTCAGTGACTGACTGACCAGGATATCTGCATATCTCCTTATGGGGGAGGTGAAGTGTGTGTAGAGATCCAGAGCCAAGCCGTAGTGGAAGAATTGGTCCCTTGCCAAGCTGCCTGTAGAGAAGTACTGGGCGTTGGACATGGCCTGTGTCGCCAGTGTGCGGAGAAGCTGCAACACACGGAGACTTCTTGCCCTCAAAATACAAATTACACTGTTACACTGTCATATCACACACAAGTCATCTCTCTCAGGGCTGACTGATCACTGCATGTTCCTGAAATCTGTTTCCAACATCCCAGATCCCTATGTATTTTACTGGCTTCCTCTGCTGACTTAAGTTGTGTGTGGATATACCTGTATGACATCATGTTTGTCCACAACAGAAGATTTCACTATTACATAATTTCTTCTGTATGGCAAAGAACTTGTATATACCTACTTTAACTGTAAGGCCTCCAGAATCTGCCCCACAAACCTAGTTAACTGTCGATTTTGCAATCTACACTATCCACCTTGTTAACTGTCAGTTTTGCCATCTACACTATCCACCTTAACTGTCAAGACTACACTATCCACCTTTTTTTCTTTTTTTTCTTCCACTTTTTTTGTTGTACAGCAAATCATATATGTCATAATATGTCATTTAGCATATGTTTCATTGAAAACAAACTGCTTATGGCAACTGGACCAATGTCATATATTGAGAAACAAAGTTTCATCGAAAAGGGTAATTGAATAGAATGGTTCAAACAACCAGCTTATGGCAACTGGACCAATGTCATACATCGAGAAACAAAGTTTCATCGAAAAGGGTAATTGAATAGAATGGTTCAAACAAACAGCTTATGGCAACTGGACCAATGTCATACATCGAGAAACAAAGTTTCATCGAAAAGGGTAATTGAATAGAATGGTTCAAAAAAAACTACTTATGGCAACTGGACCAATGTCATATATTGAGAAACAAAGTTTCATCGAAAAGGGTAATTGAATAGAATGGTTCAAACAACCAGCTTATGGCAACTGGACCAATGTCATACATCGATAAACAAAGTTTCATCGAAAAGGGTAATTGAATAGAATGGTTCATAAACAAACTACTTATGGCAACTGGACCAATGTCATATATCGAGAAACAAAGTTTCATCGAAAAGGGTAATTGAATAGAATGGTTCAAGCAAACAGCTTATGGCAACTAGACCAACGTCATACATCGAGAAGCAGTTTCATCGAAAAGGGTAATTGAATGGAATGGTTCAAACAAACAGCTTATGGCAACTGGATCAATGTAATATATCGAGAAACAAAGTTTCATCAAAAGGGGTAATTGAATAGGAAGGTTCAAACAAACAGCTTATGGCAACTGGACCAATGTCATACATCGATAAACAAAGTTTCATCGAAAGGGGTAATTGAATAGGAAGGTTCGAACCAACAGCTTATGGCAACTAGACCAACATCATACATCGAGAAGCAGTTTCATTGAAAAGGGTAATTGAATGGAATGGTTCAAGCAAACAGCTTATGGCAACTAGACCAATGTCATACATGGATAACCAAAGTTTCATAGAAAAGGGTAATTGAATAGAATGGTTCATAAACAAACTACTTATGGCAACTGGACCAATGTCATATATTGAGAAACAAAGTTTCATCGAAAAGGGTAATTGAATAGAATGGTTCAAACAACCAGCTTATGGCAACTGGACCAATGTCATACATCGAGAAACAAAGTTTCATAGAAAAGGGTAATTGAATAGAATGGTTCATAAACAAACTACTTATGGCAACTGGACCAATGTCATATATCGAGAAACAAAGTTTCATCGAAAAGGGTAATTGAATAGAATGGTTCAAGCAAACAGCTTATGGCAACTAGACCAACGTCATACATCGAGAAGCAGTTTCATCGAAAAAGGTAATTGAATGGAATGGTTCAAACAAACAGCTTATGGCAACTGGATCAATGTCATATATCGAGAAACAAAGTTTCATCAAAAGGGGTAATTGAATAGGAACGTTCAAACAAACAGCTGATGGCAACTGGACCAATGTCATACATCGATGTCATATCGAAGGGGTAATTGAATAGAAGGTTCAAACAAAGTTTCACCAACATCATACATTGAAAAGCAGTTTCATTGAAAAGGGTAATTGAATAGAATGGTTCAAACAAACAGCTTATGGCAACTGGACCAATGTCATATACATCGAGAAACAAAGTTTCATCGAAAAGGGTAATTGAATAGAATGGTTCAAACAACCAGCTTATGGCAACTGGACCAATGTCATATAATCGAGAAACAAAGTTTCATAGAAAAGGGTAATTGAATAGAATGGTTCAAGCAAACAGCTTATGGCAACTGGACCAATGCTATACATCGAGAAACAAAGTTTCATCGAAAAGGGTAATTGAATAGAATGGTTCAAACAAACAGCTTATGGCAACTAGACCAACGTCATACATCGATAACCAAAGTTTCATAGAAAAGGGTAATTGAATAGAATGGTTCAAGCAAACAGCTTATGGCAACTGGACCAATGCTATACATCGAGAAACAAAGTTTCATCGAAAAGGGTAATTGAATAAAATGGTTCAAACAAACAGCTTATGGCAACTAGACCAACGTCATACATCGATAACCAAAGTTTCATCGAAAAGGGTAATTGAATAGAATGGTTCAAACAAACCACTTATGGCAACTGGACCAATGTCATATATCGAGGAACAAAGTTTCATCGAAAGGGGTAATTGAATAGGAAGGTTCGAACCAACAGCTTATGGCAACTGGACCAATGTCATACATCGCCAAAGCAAAGCTTCATCGAAAACAGTAAGTGAATAGAATGGTTCAAACAACCAGCTTATGGCAACTGGACCAATGTCATACATCGATAAACAAAGTTTCATCGAAAGAAACAGCTTATGGCAACTGGACCAAAACTTAACAAATTTGTTGTCATCACAGTTAGAGTAAGCTATGGCTTTTGTTATGTTATAGTAATTTGTTAACTCCCTCTGGATCAAAGCAAAGGAAAGTTTCCTCCTTTAAGATAAACTTTGAAAATTGTGTTTTTTATTACGAGACAGATTACGTTTAACGGGTCATTTCATTTTGAAGGAAAGCCCAACAGAATTGTTTCTTTAGTAAACTGTATATTGATTTCCGCCTTGCTGTTTATCCAGTTTTGGACTTCAATCCAGACTGAGTTCACAATTTCACAATCCATAAAACATGACTAATATCTGCTATGAACTTATCACAAGTTGTACAAACAGGAGAGTTTAAGTATCCAATCTTAAATAAATATTTTCCAACTGGAAGGATCCGGTTAATAATTCTATATTGAAACCACCGTCAGTTGATCGAAATGGAATTTCATTAATATTCCTCCATTCCATATATGTATATTGTTTTACTATATCTTTCTCCCATTGTTGATTGGCTGAAGTCTTCTGAAACTTGGATCCTAATAAAACATTATAGTAGTATTTTGAGCTCTTTTAGCTATTCAGGAGCAAACGAATATTAAATGGTTACACTGGTGCTGTTAATGGGGTAGTATCATCAGAATCAAACTCATTTAAATATTCATTCAAGGCATTATTTACCCCGTAAAATGTTAAAAATAATTACAGGAAATATTGTATTTATTTTTGAAATTGAGGTATGAAAGAATTTGGCCATCCTGGCCCCGATTTCTCGAAACAAACTTAAGTTTTTACTTAACTGCATTTTTTAAATAATAAAAGCCCAAACAACTTAAGTTATCTATCAACCAAACTCAAATTGTCTACTAAGTTTGAGTTTAATATTGATTTGAGTTTATTCTGGGAAATGCATTTTCCTGCGTTTTCTCAAATTTGAGTAAAAACTCAGACTTAAGTTTGTTTCGAGAAATCGGGGCCTGATCTATCAAATCGTTGATATATTTTACTCTGGCTTCATCCCATTGTTTAATAAATATACATTTTTAATCAATCTTAAAGGTCACATGCAACCAAAAAATCAAACATAATTAAAACACAATTATCACTTCTTCATGACATATAATATGCATTGCTGATTATGAAAAAACATATAAACAAAATTATAAGCGTATAATCGCAAATAAAAAGTGCAATATTTTGTACTTGAGTTTACCTCCCTCGAAACGAAGCAGCCGGGATACCGAACCCAGTCAGAGCGGGTGGGTGTGCACTCAAGTGTAACGGCTGGTTCATTAGCAGATGCCGCCTTCACGGCTCATTGTGTGTGTATATATAGAGATGTTGGGTTTTGTAAATACATGCTCATTTTTTGTGTATAACATTTTGCAATCAACAGACATCATAACATGTCATGTGTTCAACTATCACACCTGCCTGTCTGTGTAATTACATAATGTGACAGAGACCGAACTCGGGCCATAAATCAATGCGTTTTGTTTATGGTGTATAGCCTGATTGGTGTTAAGTTCAAATAGCATGTGGTCAGTGATCGCAGTTGTGTATTGAATATTGTCATTAGCAGACAGGCAGGCAGACACACAGGTGTCAATAAAACAAGACATTGAGTTTTGTCTGTGACAGCGACATATCTATATCACAGTTAGAAATTGTGTCAACGCTAAATAATGACATTGCTTTTAAGTATCGAACTGAGAAAGTGACTCGGTAAGAAGAACGTGTGGTGAAATAGACAAATGAAATTATATAAACAGTTTATTTACTGTCATAACATATAAAAACCTCGCGCCTGTGAGATATCAACAAAACATTATGAAAATAGCTCACACCAAAGCCTTCACCGAGTATTCACCAGACAGCCCGCTTCCAAGTTGCGCGAACCTATTTCACTGCGCACGTGCTATGAGCGCAGCCCAGCTGTTGAAACCCGTATTCCCCAGAAAAGGCTGGGGTAAATTAGTGAAACGTTTGAACTCTGATTTCGCGCGTTTTTTTTCATCGCGTTATTTTTCAACTTTATAAGTTGAATTTGCATTTTTGATGCTTTGTTTCGGTAAGTCCATACCGAAAGGTATCAGAATCTGCAAAGTTGTGGTTTACGTTGCATGTGACCTTTAACATTATTGTTATACCATATATACTGTGAGTACGCATCCTTTCGTGTTTTCTTATGTTTGTTCAGGAATAGAGCCCAGGATGATAAAACATCTCGCCAGAAGGGGTTTCTTATGTTGTTAATGATATTATCTCTTATATAGATTGCATCCATTTCTAAAATAGTACTAGGAATAATATTTGATTCGTAAAGAGATAATCTATTTCAAGAAGGTCAATCGTCTAAGACATGCAATCTTTTGAGAAGCAATAACATCCCTTACAAGTGGAGTTTTGATACCCCCGTCCGGAATGTTGCATATTACCCTGTTCCTTTTAATCTTATTGGGTTTTTCGTTCCAAATAAATCGAAAGCAATTTGCTTGAAAATTTTGTATTACAGTTTCGGGTGGTGTAGGAACGGTAGGAAATAAAAGTTTAAAGGTCACATGCAACCAAAAAATCAAACATAATTAAAACACAATTATCACTTATTCGTGACATATAATATACATTGCTGGTTATGAAAAAACATATAAACAAAATTATAAGCGTACAATCGCAAATCAAAAGTGCAATATTGTGTACTTCGGTTTACTTCCCAAGAAACGAAGCAGCCGGGATACCAACCCAGTCAGAGCGGGTGGGTGTGCACTCAAGTGTAACGGCTGGTTCATTTGCATATGCCCTCACGGCTTATTGTGTGTGTATATATAGAGATGTTGGGTTTTGTAAATACATGCTCATTTTTTGTGTATAACATTTTGCAATCAACAGACATCATAACATGTCATGTGTTCAACTATCACACCTGCCTGTCTGTGTAATTACATAATGTGACAGAGACCGAACTCGGGCCATAAATCAATGCATTTTGTTTATGGTGTATAGCCTGATTGGTGTTAAGTTCAAATTGCATGAGCGCAGCCCAGCTGTTGAAACCTGTTTTCCCCAGAAAAGTCTGGGGAAAATTAGTGAAACGTTTGAACTCCGATTTTGCACGGTTTTTTTCATCACGTTATTTTTCAACTTTATAAGATGAATTTGCATTTTTAACGCTTTGTTTCTGTAAGTCCATACCGAAAGGTATCAGAATCTGCAAAGTTGTGTTTTACGTTGCATGTGACCTTTAAGTTTTGGTAACAATAAGGATTTTAGCACTGTGTTACATCCAAACGGCATTAACGTTCTACATTTCCACATTTTCATTAAATTTTCAATTTCTTTAAACTTTTTGTTGTAATTAGCATCTACCATATTTTCAAGATCGATGTCAAATTTGATACCCAGCAACTTAAATGTTTCAGTCCAGTCCATTCTACAGTTCTTCAATAGTTTCATTCGGCTACATTTTTTTGAACCAATCCAAATCAACTTTGTCTTATCAATGTTAATTTTTAAACCGGAAAAACGTGCAAAAAAGGTTAATGTGTTTATGACTGCCTGCAAACACTTTTCAGTACCATCTAATATTAAGGAAGTATCATCTGCAAACTGCGCTAAAAGATGCTCAATAGACCAATCTTTAATCCTCTGATAGATTTATTGCTCTTAAGTAATCTGTAGGGCTGTGCAATATTACCGGTACAGTATCTCGTGCTCTGAATGTACTTTTATTTTTGTTGGTTTTATGAATGACCCCCCTCAAAAAGTGAACACCCCCACACACACCCACATGTCATGTACAAAATCAATTACCCCCCCTCCCGTTCCCATCATTTCCTAGCGTAATTTTAAACATAATTATTTCTTAGCGTAATTTTAAACATAGCGTTACATAAAAACTTGCTGATCGCCCACCCTAGCTCCCCAGAACAAAATGGGTGAGTCCCCTTATAATCACTGACCATGAAACTTATGTTATACTATACTAAGCAGTAAAAGAAAGGTCAGTTTGGAATTTTCCTTCACAGAAACGGATAACTGTAAACTCATTTAATGTTTTGATTGTATATTTTTGACAACATCTCCAACTTTACCTGAGCAAAGACATTCCTTCCCTAACTCAGAATGGAACCTAGGAAATGGTCTCAAAAACGCTACCTGATCTCGGAGATGGTACTGTGTTCTCCATGTTTTTCATGCAGCTCATGCTGCACGCGCTGTTCGCAAGGACCAGCTCTATAAAATGCACCCCAAACCTGCTTGAAACATTCACATTACTCACGACAGCTCAGAGGTACCAGGCACTAGGAAGACTTGAAGCTGGCCACACTGCACAAGCCGTTGCCAATTACTTCCAGGTCAATGTTCGGACCATCTACAGGCTGCAGCAACGTTTCCGGGCCACCAACACCACAAATGATCGCCCCCATACTGGCAGATCAAGGGTGACCACATGACAACAAGACCACTCCCTTCATGCAGGCATCCGAAACAGCACGCCAGACAGTGTGAACACACGGAAGACCAGTCAATACTGATACAGTACGCCGACCTCTTAACAGCAGGAAACTCCATTGCCGCAGACCTTCATACCTTCGGGCCCATACTGCCAGAGCTACACGGGACTTCTTACAGCAGAATGATGTCAACATTATGCAGTGACCAGCCCTTAGTCCTGATTTAAACCCAACTGAACATCTTTGACATGAAATTCAGTGGAGACTGAATAATGTCATACCAAGGCCGAACACAGCCGATTTATTGTGCCAGGCCTTTCCCAGAGTGTGGTTCAAAGTGCCAATGGCCTTCATCAATCGATGGGTGCACTCCATGCACAGACACTGTGCTGCAGTTATTGCCGCTCGTGGTGGTCACACTAGATACTGAAGTCAAGAGTCTGAATGGACTGCAAACGTTCACGTAATGTCTTGAAAATGCGCCGAGTTATTCATTGATTTGTCAAGATATTGTACACAAAAAATGCTTTTGATCCGCTTATTATGTCCATTTCTGTAATGATTTGATTACAGTGCCTATCTAATTCTGAATTCGTACTGACGTCTTGTTTTTTTTTGCTGCTGAGTATATTACTATACTTTATCATTATGTTCTCAAACCTTTCTTGCAATACCTCAATTAAACATTCCACAATAAGGTTCTATATCATTTTATTTATCTCAAATAGCAGACAGCCATGCAGAATGAGGACTGGGAGCCTGAAAGTATGGTGTAACCGCAACTAAGAAGATAATGTCGCACACACACAGAACTATTATGAATTTATGATGTACGCACTTCGGCAGAAACCCTCCATTCAATATATCACAATATATATTGAAATATCTCTAAAATTATTGCAATATATCGCAATATGAGAATCAGGGCAATATCCAGCCCTAGTAATCTGGGTAATATTTCAGTGTATACTATGAAAATATATGGAGAGATTGGGTCTCCTTGGTGACCTTGTTAACTGTCAAGACTACACTATCCACCTTGTTAACTGTCAACTACACTATCCACCTTGTTAACTGTCAAGACTACGCTATCCACTTTGCTAACAGTCAGCTAAACTCTCTACCTTGTTTACCATCAAGACTACACTATCCACCTTGTTAACTGTCAACTACACCATCCACCTTGTTAACTGTGAACTACACTATCCACCTTGGTAACTGTCAAGACTACATTATCCACCTTATTAACTGTCAAGACTACACTATCCACCTTGTTAACTGTCAAAACTACACTATCCACCTTGGTAACTGTCAAGACTACACTATCCACCTTGTTAACTGTCAGGACTACAGTATCCATCCGGTTGACTGTCAAGACTACACTATCCACCTTGCTAACAGTCAGCTAAACTCTCCACCTTGTTTACCGTCAAGACTACACCATCCACCTTGTTAACTGTCAACTAAACTATCCACCTTGTTAACTGTCAAGACTACACTATCCACCTTGCTAACTGTCAAGACTACACTATCCACCTTGGTAACTGTCAAGACTACACTATCCACCTTGGTAACTGTCAAGACTACACTATCCACCTTGGTAACTGTCAAGACTACACTATCCACCTTGTTAACTGTCAACACTACACTATCCACCTTGTTAACTGTCAACACTACACTATCCACCTTGTTGATTGTCAACACTACACTATCCACCTTGTTAACTGTCAAGACTACACCTACCCACCTTGTTAACTGTCGGATCAGCAGGGTCTACACAGGAATCCAGGGATGCAGCAAGGGCTTTATTAGTGGACACATCTATTGTAAAACCCTTGGATTCTGCACAGTTGATGAGGTTGGCAAAGTGGTCCTGCTTTGGCAGTGGGTGATGACGAAGCTAGAATAAAAAATATCAAGCACATTACTCAAGGCTAAAGACACTCGAGCATGTTTATCACAATTTCCAGTGGAATCCGAATTGTTCAGACCAGAGCTGTCTCCCTTACAACTTACCAGAGACTGGTTAGGGAAGACTTCTGCTATCTTCCTGGCCACCCAGTGGTTGGCAAAGATCATACACTCCGCTATAGTATCATGAATTTCCAGGTGCTGAAGGAGAAATAATTCATAACGATGGAAACCATTCATGAAATGCAGTTTTCTTACATACATACTTGTGGGTGAGATAACTGATATCAAACATGTGTGAGATGAAATTCCAGGTAATTGATTGGCTACTCCATGGTGATGACTTACGGTCAGATGATGATATATGACTTTCCTGACTTTAAGTCATTCATAAGTTACATGTTCTTTGATCTGGTAAGTCTAAGTAAACTCCCGGCTTTAGAAACCCCTAAGCGTTTATACTGCAAGTCAAATATCTGTGCATTATGCAGATTTTTGTTTGTTGAGCGATTAGTGTCTGCGACCAGGGAAGAGAAAATCAAAAAACCATTTTGTAAGCCCCACCGAACTTTAAAAGAGTAGCCGTTGTCTGATTGGTTAAATCCGTTCGATCATCTCACGTTTGATTGGACGGTCATAGGTCGATCAAAGGTTACCTGACGTGACCTTCTGCTAGGGTTTGTTAGACTCAGTATAGCAGTGTAAGGAATAATACTGAGCCTAAGTTTACTTAGGCTGTTGATCTGATGTGGGATTTTTTATAATTATAGCCTTGATTATCCACATATAAGGCAGCATGTTTTGATGGGTCACAATAGGAATGGGAAGTAAATAGGCCAGTGTTGTGTACAGATGAGCCACTGTGATCAAAATGTGAATATGTTGTTAAAATGGTACAGTCTTAGCATATGTATGAAACAGATTCACACTTGTCAGATGCCACTGATCCTACAAGACTGTTTCAAAACATAACCCACTTTTGTCCATACCTTTTGAAAGAACTTTATGGATGAACAATATCTGACAGACTACATTAAGTAATGTCTATGTATAACACTGATCCATATTGTTGTCAAGTCCCAGACCATATGTAGAGACATATTATTGCCTTGATACTGATCGCTCCTAGCAGCACACATTAGATGAAGACAGGAAGACAGTCTGTCAGGGAACTTCTGCTGCTGAGCTCACGTTGAGGATGGGAAAGTCATCATGTATATAGCACAGTACTTACATCTTTTGGAGTGAGGTCATCTATCTTCTTGCTGTCATCCATTTCGACTCGAACTTCCACACTGTCAAGCTCTAAGGCACCGCCAGACACACGGCGAGACTTCAGCACCCTTGCCACCTCCATCAGTTTGAACACTGCCCACTTCAACTCCGCCAACCTGCATAGTCATAAAGTATTTCATACAGGCAAGTGTCATACACATTTGCAGTGACTCTTTGATCTCGCCACCTGGCAGAAACATGAACATTATTAGTGATCATAAAGTGCAAAAGTTTGCAAATCTGAGTCCCATTGTTCCCTAAAAATATGTAGAAATAGAATTGGTTTGAAGTACAGACCCAAGTTCAAGCAAGAGTTGCTTCCCTTACTATTACAAAAACGATTAATTAATTAATTAAAACAACAACCCTTAACAGACATTTCTCAAAAGTTAACAAGAGTTCATCTTGTCAACTCCATGACACCCAGTTTTTATTGTTTATGGCCAGTTAAGTAAACATCGCCGTGGGGTGTTGTTATGGTTCGTGAACACGACTTACAGCGTCCGGACTGTGAAGCAATTTACTGTTTATTTTACTGATTGGTTACAGCTACTTACCGTCCGGTTCCGGAAACCGAATTTCCGGATTATCGAGGCAAATTAAATAGGCATAGATTGGTAACAAGCTAAAATCGTCCGTGAGGCGAGACATCCGGATTATCGGAGTCCGGACTAACGGGGCTTCACTGTACATACAAAAACAATCACTAACCTCTCCTTCACTTCTGAATGGGCTATGCTGTGTAGCTCGGGGGACGTTACTGACGATGTCCTCATCGGAAGCTCCATCAGATATAGACTGTGCCAGCTGCAGAGGAAACCACATGGTGTCAGTAATCAGGACAGACCTGCCACCTGCTTCTGTGAGTGAGTGGGTGAAGGAGAGTGGGTGAAAGAGGGTGGGTTGGTGAGTGAGTGAGTGCATGTTTGAGTGTGTGGGGGGGAGTCTCTGTGTGTGTCTTGGGGATTGTGTGGGTGTGGGAAGAGTGGGGGTAGAAAGGAGTGGGGGAGGGAAAGAGGTTTTTTTTCTTTGAGTGTGTCTGTGTCTGTCTCTGTGTGTGTTGGGGGACTGTGTGTCTGTTATATGAGTGGGTGTCTTGTGTATGGTGGGTGGGTGGGTCATTTAGTCTAATGAAGAACACAGACATTTACATACAACACTAAGAATTAAGAGTTTAAATACTATTAATAGCTACCTGCACGTGTTCATGGCATAAGTGGTGAAAACATTGTTTCCCATTTAGTATCTGTAGAGTTGGGAAAGTATTTCAGGTATTATATCATCACAATGTTTACATTATGAACTTGCCTTTCTTAAGTCAGTTTAAAAATGTTTTACATGCACTGTACAATGTTGGATAAGCACTGACCTCATAGAATAGTTTGTACTGTGATCTGATGACAGTCCTGCCATACCAAACATTCTTCACTTGAAAGTCAGGTGTTAGCTCCCAAATAACACTCATGGCATATCTGGGGACACAACAGGGCATCAGTCACAAACATCTATGTGTATCATGGCACTACAATCATCTAGCAGAATGTAGAGAAGTATATACCAAAACAAAGTTTGTCTGTCACATATAAGTCAAACTGAAAATTCATGGGCAAAGAGTTAACTATTCTATATTCATTGCTGGTCACTACATCTAAATAATCAAGATTATTCCAGGCAGGTGCCCTGTCTACAGACCGGTCCACTCCGCTGATGAGGGAGCACAGGTTGGCACTGAGGACTGATGGCAACATATCATATCTCCGGTCCGCCAGGTACACAGATGTTGACCTTGACCTTGCCTCTACATCAGAAAGTGATCCTGGCTTCACAAAGTAGGTGACGTCTGCTATGTGCACACCAAGTTCATAGCTTCCATCAGGAAGTTGTCTGAAATGCATGGTACCATAAAAACATTATGGAAACCATTAAGGCTTGTATTATGGCCCAATCAACTCTGTACTCTGTCGAAGAACTATCCAAAACAGCAAATAGATCATAGTTGCGACTATTTAGTGCATGTTTTAACTCCAATACTTTAACCACTAAACAACAGTTTCGGGACAGGCTTCATGCTAAACTTTTCCTGGGTATTTCCCACAACGTACCTGATGGACAGAGTATCGTCCACATCCTCACAACCTTTAGGGTCAATGCTGAATATGAGATGAGACTGACGCAGATCCCGTCGAGCTGAGACCTCCTCTGCATCCATTTTCCATGGCTGCTCCGGTGTGTCAGTCGGCAGCTCCTTCAACTAGAAGACTCAAGAATACATACACATGATCTTCTGGATTGTACAGAGTGGATACTGTAGGAACCTTTATTTTAGACAGTCTTTATTGAAGAGAATCTGTATTGTTGAGAGGGTGTATTGTAGACAGTCTTTATTGAAGAGAATCTGTATTGTTGAGAGGCTGTATTGTAGACAGTCTTTATTGAAGAGAATCTGTATTGTTGAGAGGCTGTATTGTAGACAGTCTTTATTGAAGAGAATCTGTATTGTTGAGAGGCTGTATTGTAGACAGACTTTATTGAAGAGAATCTGTATTGTTGAGAGGCTGTATTGTAGACAGACTTTATTGAAGAGAATCTGTATTGAGAGGCTGTATTGTAATCTTTATTGAAGAGAATCTGTATTGTTGAGAGGCTGTATTGTAGACAGACATTGAAGAGAATTGTATTGTAGACAGACTGAAGAGAATCAGTGTATTGTTGAGAGGCTGTATTGTAGACAGACTTTATTGAAGAGAATCTGTATTGTTGAGAGGCTGTATTGTAGACAGACTTTATTGAAGAGAATCTGTATTGTTGAGAGGCTGTATTGTAGACAGTCTTTATTGAAGAGAATCTGTATTGTTGAGAGGCTGTATTGACAGACTTTATTGAGAGCTGTATTGTAGACAGTCTGTAGTTGAGAGGCTGTATTGTTTTATTGAAGAGAATCTGTATTGTTGAGAGGCTGTATTGTAGACAGACTTTATTGAAGAGAATCTGTATTGTTGAGAGGCTGTATTGTAGACAGACTTTATTGAAGAGAATCTGTATTGTTGAGAGGCTGTATTGTAGACAGACGTTTTAGAACAGTATCAATATGGTAACATCTTAAAAGGTTGCGTTATAGAGAATTAGTGTTGTGGAGTCTGTATTGCAGAAACAATTGGCTATTGTCGAGAAGCGTTATTGTTGAGAGTCTGTAGTGTAGTGAATCAGTACAGTACAGACTGGCTACATGGTTTGTTCCCTATTGACTGACCTGCAGGTCGGAGAACAGTGGTACTGAGATGTTGTTCTCCACAAGCAGTGCTGCGATCTCTGTCTCCAGCTCCCCAATCTTCCCCAAACTTCGCACAAAGTGACCATTTGGGTACTGTGAACCCACATCCCACGAGTCAATCCTAACAATTATCCTGAAAAGAGATGAATGTTTCATACACCACAGTCATTAATGTTGCAGTTACAAGTTACTTGGGTCGGGGGGTCAGTGAAACTCGTGATTGAGTGTCAGCCACTGTCAGGTGCTCAGTACCACTCACAGGTGTGTATATAATCCATGCTGCCACCTGAAAGCGATGTTAAATAACAATAAACATAACAAATTCTATTTTGAATTCAAATTTTAATCACCTCATATAAAACAAGAAAAGTTAATGAAGTGAGGTACTGGCAACCAAAGCATACATTCATAACTTCATACCAAAGCATGATCTTCATACAATAATCCTGGCAGATCCCTTGTAGTCTAAGACCACATTTTCTACACAGCGACATCTATGGACCTGTGATGGAAGAACTACTAACAGGACTGTGTAGACGGTCCTACCTGTCCTCACGGAGTGTGCCCACTTGTCGGGTACTGATGCGGATCTTGGGGATGCGGTAGTCCCAGGGGATGAGCAGCACCTTCCCAGCTTTGTTGGCGTTCTTCTGAGCCTCCTGAACACCAAGAACATACTGGTTAGGACTGTCTATTGTCATAGAACTTGATTCCCAACTTGGCAGTCCCAGTCTTGTTGTTCAGCATACCCCCATTACTTGACCACACACTAATATTCAGTTCCTCACCATACATCACTAGTTTAGTCCTTGTGTTACCTGAGGGTGTCGGGGTGTTCTACCCTTCCTCCCTAGGCAATCTGTCTAGCCACTCTGGTTCTGGGGATGATGTAGCTGAGATGGATAGTCAAAGATAAGTCCGGTATGGTGTTCAAGTCCATTTATTTTGGAATGAATTCTTTCACAAAGGTCCTCAGATATTGCCTAGCATTCCTGGTCTACACACACACACATCAGATTCACAAACTTCATGGAAGAACTTGTTGGTCTCTTGTACAACTCCTAAATTTACAAGTTCATCTGAGCCATTCTCTCAATATACAGAGAGAACCTCTCAAGTCCACCGTGGGGCCCAGAATCCCTCCTGTTCCCTCGACATGTGACAAAACTGTATCTATTACAATTTTGGCTCCTCCCCCCGAAATAATGTCCTACGTCATACAAAATGACTCATATCCAATCTTAATAATTCGTTACTTTCATTAGTCCCTTTCAGAGACTTTATTTGGTACCATCAAATTCTTCCATTCATAAAATGACATTGCTAGTTATCCTTAAGCCATCCATCAACCAAACATTGACATATCTAACTAATATCTCAGACTGGTAGGCGCGCCAGAAGATACTTAATCAAATCATTTCAGATCCTATGCGTGCCCCTTTATCAACAAACTGACTAACCTGACCATCTGTATCCCAAATGTCCATCCACCCAATTGTGTAGAAACACCAGTTTGAACCTTTCACCCTCATTTATGTCAATTCTGAGAAATTGTTATTCCCCAAGAAAAGTGAATCAATAAGAATTTGGTTAGCTTGGTCAAGGCACTTTCCCAGTACATTCACCCTTCTTAACTTGACTTCAAATTTTCCTTAAATATTTATAAAATGTATATAATGTTTTCAACTCTAAATATCCTGGTTATACTTGACTAGTCATTACATTCTAATCCGTGACTGTTTAGTAAATGTATGTAGATGAAAGAGAGCCTGGTTCAAGGTTTGTCTGTAGTATGTCAAGAGACACTGGAAATGTAATGACTGAAGAAAAGGAATCTTCCTCACCTCATCTGCAGAGAAGCTGGCCACATATTCCCTCCAGTTCCTTTGCAGCACCCCCACGACACGGCCTGTCGGCATGACACTGCTCATGTCATCATTAGTCGTCTCACCATCACCAGTTGCCTCCCCTGACAGTATAGAGTAGAACCTGTAGGACTTGGTTAAGATCTCATTCCAAACAAGCAATAATGACATAAAATGACACAAATCTCTGAATATATAAAAACTGGCTGAGAAGATATACCCCCCAGGAAGGGTTCATTCCTAGCTAGTCAGTTCATGTCTATCAAACACCACACAACAGCTGTTTAATCAAATTTTCTGATTGTACATCAGCTGTTATTTACCTTACATGTGCACTGGTTATAAAGTATAGAGGATATACAAGTTCACATTGAATGATCTTTGTAAAATGTATACTAGCACCATGATCTAACTTCCTCGAACTATGACTGCAAAACTTATACATTTATGTGAGAGATGTGAGTTACAGAGATGTGAGTTTAAGCAACAACATTGATTTCAGTCGCACAGACCTGTCTTGTCTCCTAATTCTTTGATAGAGAGTGATCTCCCCTTCCACTGAGATCGTGGCAGGAGTTCAACTACAACACTGTCACCATGAATAGCTCTGTTCCTGGACGCAGTTCCATGAATCAGGATGTCAGAGTCACTTTCTTCTTTCAAGTCACGTCTGAAGAGAATGATTGAAGTCACCGAAACAACACCAGAACTGACAGCTTCGTGACAACCCAGGTGTCCTGCCACACAGAACTGACAGCTTCGTGACAACCCAGGTGTCCTGCCACAGAACATGTCCACCAGGGTTTCAAGAATACATTACTGAGTTCTCCACTCCAAGGAAATGTCCTCAGCCCATCCTTGGTTTAGAACTTTAGACATTACGTTTACTGCACAGTATCTTTGCGAAAACTGCATAGACTGAATTGAATGCCAACACCCTGGATGCCTTTGAAAGATAATCATCAGATCATCACCTTTACTCATAATCCATTGGATTCAATTATTATGATAATAAACGATTGTTTACAAACAGAAAGCCTTGAAAATATTTTATTACCCTGTTCTCTTGACGAAGGCCTCTGTCATGGCATTGTGTTTGTTGACATTCATGCAGCCAGAGATGTAGCGGCCTGACTTGATACCTGCCTCCAACACATCGGAGGGGAGATAACCCAAGTAATCACGATCTGACAATGAGAAGTAGTTCAGTATTTAAAAACCTTTTAGTAGTCAAAAGCACCAACAGATTGAAACATCTACTACTCATGACCATTCTGTTACCAATACCATGAAAGAATAGAGACAGCCGCTCACTACATAACATCCATACCACAAAGATCATTCAGGCTTGAGGACCTCATGTTATTGTATTCCAGCAGTGAAACAGATGGTATGGTTCTAACATGATTCTTATGGTTCTTATATTACAGAGTTATTCTTTATCTAACAGTGTTCTATGTGCATTAGGGACAGTGGGGTAGCCTAGTGGTTAAAGCATTCACTCGTCATGCCAAAGGCACGGATTCGAAGTCCATTCTGGTGTCCCCCGCCATGACATTGCAGAGTTATTCATTATGTAACATTATCTAACAGTGTTCTATGTGTATTACGGACAGTGGAGTAGCCTAGTGGTTAAAGCATTCACTCGTCACGCCAAAGGCGCAGATTCCATGCCCATTTCTGGTGTTCCCCGCCATGATATTGCTGGAATATTGCTAAAAGCGGCGTAAAACTCAACTCACTAAAACTCAACACTCTATGTGTATTACATTGCACCTGTGGGAATTCAGTATGTGCAACATTTAGACAAAGTTCTGGAAGGTACTACAGGGTACTATTAACCAATGGGCCTTTCCAGTATATTCTGAACCTTGAGTTATGGAATCTTCTGGAGTTTTTCGCTTAGGTATATAAGGGAGCTAACTCTTGCCTCTCACCTGACATTAAATCTCAACTTACAAGAAGACCAGCAATTATGTGGATATCATCCTTACACTGGGTACAAGGCCTAGCTTGGAAACTTGACTGCAGTACTGTGATTGGTTTACTGTGATTGTAATACTTTTGTAGTGATTTGTATTAATTTGTAAACTTAGCTAATATCAGAATAAAATTGTTTATTATATCACATTCCTTTGTCGCTTGTTGGTTTCACACCAGGATCTTTTGTGGACTGATTCCTGGTTGACTTTTAGTTTTAACATTGGAACCAACATGTAACAACATTCACCTTTTGTGGACTGATTCCTGGTGACTGATTCCTGGTTTTGTGGACTGACTTTGACTTTTAACATTGGAACCAACATGTAACAACATTCACCTTTTGTGGACTGATTCCTGGTTGACTTTTTTTAGTTTGGAGTAAGTGATTTTAGGACACCAGCAATATTCCAGCTATATGGCGGCGGTCTGTAACAATCGAGTCTGGACCAGACAATCCAGTGATCAACAGCATTCGATCTGTGGGAACCTGACATTCAACCAAGTCAGCGAAATGACCACCCGTTAATTAAGCCTCTTTAGTCACCTTTTATGCGCAAGCACATTTTAATCTTCACGGGTCTTTAACATTGGAACCAATATGTAACAACATTCACCTTTTGTGGACTGATTCCTGGTTGACTTTTAGTTTTAACATTGGAACCAACATGTAACAACATTCACCTTTTGTGGACTGATTCCTGGTGACTTTTAGTTTTAACACTGGGACCAATATGTAACAACATTCACCTTTTGTGGACTGATTCCTGGTTGACTTTTAGTTTTAACATTGGGACCAATATGTAACAACATTCACCTTTTGTAGTCCTCAGTTCAAGAGCAGCAGTGAGAGACTCGTAGAGATCCATGGCGCCAGTGAGAGATGAGAGGAACCCTACTAAGTAGTCTTTCAAGTTCATCACAAACACATTGAGAGTCTTGTGGCCATACAGGGCTACAGCCTGCAGAAATAGTCAATCATTGTAACAAACAGCAGACAATGTATAGTCAATCAACGTTGTCAATAACAGCCTGCAGAATAGTCAATCATTGTAACAAACAGCAGCCAATGTATAGTCAATCAACGTTGTCAATAACAGCCTGCAGAAATAGTCAATCATTGTAACAAACAGCAGCCAATGTATAGTCAATCAACGTTGTCAATAACAGCCTGCAGAAATAGTCAATCATTGTAACAAACAGCAGCCAATGTATAGTCAATCAACGTTGTCAATAACAGCCTGCAGAAATAGTCAATCATTGTAACAAACAGCAGCCAATGTATAGTCAATCAACATTGTCAATAACAGCCTGCAGAAATAGTCAATCATTGTAACAAACAGCAGCCAATGTATAGTCAATCAACATTGTCAATCAACAGCCTGCAGAAGAATAGTCAATCATTGTAACAAACAGCAGCCAATGTATAGTCAATCAACATTGCCTCAATAAATCAGCCTGCAGAAATAACAGCAATCAATCATTGTAACAAACAGCAGCCAATGTATAGTCAATCAACATTGTCAATAACAGCCTGCAGAAATAGTCAATCATTGTAACAAACAGCAGCCAATGTATAGTCAATCAACGCAGAAATTGTCAATAACAGCCTGCAGAAATAGTCAATCATTGTAACAAACAGCAGCCAATGTATAGTCAATCAACGCTGTCAATAACAGCCTGCAGAAATAGTCAATCATTGTAACAAACAGCAGCCAATGTATAGTCAATCAACGTTGTCAATAACAGCCTGCAGAAATAGTCAATCATTGTAACAAACAGCAGCCAATGTATAGTCAATCAACAAACAACAGCCTGCAGAAATAGTCAATATTGTAACAAACAAGCCAATTGTCAATCAACATTAACAGCCTGCAGAAATAGTCAATCATTGTAACAAACAGCAGCCAATGTATAGTCAATCAACATTGTCAATAACAGCCTGCAGAAATAGTCAATCATTGTAACAAACAGCCTGTATAGTCAATCAACATTGAATATAGTCAATCATTGTAACAAACAGCAGCCAATGTATAGTCAATCAACGTTGTCAATAACAGCCTGCAGAAATAGTCAATCATTGTAACAAACAGCAGCCAATGTATAGTCAATCAACGTTGTCAATAACAGCCTGCAGAAATAGTCAATCATTGTAACAAACAGCAGCCAATGTATAGTCAATCAACATTGTCAATAACAGCCTGCAGAAATAGTCAATCATTGTAACAAACAGCAGCCAATGTATAGTCAATCAACGTTGTCAATAACAGCCTGCAGAAATAGTCAATCATTGTAACAAACAGCAGCCAATGCCTATAGTCAATCATTGTAACAAACAGCAGCCAATGTATAGTCAATCAACGTTGTCAATTACAGCCTGCAGATAGTCAATCATTATGATAAATCTAATTTGAGCAAATCATAAGTTCTTAGCTATACCATAGTTAAGTAAGTGTAAAAATGTTTAGCAGAAAATAACAAAACCTCTTCCTTCCATATTCGGTAACCAAGGTAACACTGATGACATGAATAACCAGGAAAACAGCATCCCTGTGACTACACAACTCCCTGTAGAACTGAAGATAGATACAGGTCATATGCCACCAGAAGAGTACTACTGACAACACAAGCATTCCTTACCTCCTGGCTCTGTGTAACCATGACCACAGGCATCTGTCCTGCAAGGTGGTTGTAGAACCACTCCGCTGCCTGGTAAGTACTTCTGTAGGAGCAGCAGAAACATCATACACATACTGTAATCGTATATATTTTCACAGGGTGCAATTTTCGCAGAAAGTTCACCAAAGACCTGTTAGCGCAGATGTTTTTTCACGCATTCATCAAACACCTGAGTGATGGTATCCATCACAAAGTTTTCACAACCGATAGACATGCAGTGATCAATGCTAGCCGCCATAACTGATTCGTGTTTACTAAAACAATCAGAGAGAGAGGTGGGATTATTCTTGTGTCAACATGACAACACCTGTCCCAATAAGTGACGTAAGTGAGCTTCGTTCATTTTGTGATTATGAGTAATCAGCTATCACTTAACTGACAAACTGATAACAAACATTTGCTGATTATGATCGCTATTACTAGTATATATGCCTCTATTCCTTTATATTTTGTTTTGATGTTGTTGTTATCTGAGAGAATAAACAAATTGCATGTTGTTCCTTCTTCAGTATTTGTCATGACTTGACCATGAATATTTTGCTTGGTATTATCACTGACACATGATCTTTTTGTGCTAAAAGCGCGAAAATTAATTCCACGTGAAAATAACTACGTTTACAGTATTACATTTAGAATATACATGGATCAAGTTGGTTGAAAGTATCTACACAGAGAGTGATCATTCTAAAATGGTCAATATTTGACCTAACATGGCAGTTAAGTCTGAAGAGGGAATAACATACATTCCATAATAAGTCACATGATGAACCTGCTTAGCTCAAATAAACAAGTAACACCTTCTTAAATTCATCCATCAACAAAATGTTACTGTATTGTATGCAGTGACTTATCCAGGAATCCAAACAAACTTATATTGATTAAAGTTTGTAATTTGTACCAAGGTTAGTATGTTTGAAAATTGAGAGGTATATATCATCAACATTGTATTTCAACACTGCTTTCACTGCAAGACTTGAAAACCATGACTCAATCCTCCTCATTGCCAGCTGTGTTACCTGTAAAATACAAGTCACCTCTACATAACCATGAGAATAGTTATAACTATGACTGTGAACTGTGAAACTCCAAATTTGGAATTGAAGCATATTTGGTGCCAAATTCTTGGAAGGTCAAGATAAATCCCAGATTGCATGGATCCCAGTAAAAACCAAATACAGCACAAGTCTTCTTCTAGGGGCAAGGGTCAAAGGGTATACAACAAAATGGTATGACTGGTGAAGGTTAGTCAAGGTGCAACCCTGGTGGCACTGGTTGCCAAAGTGTAACACTGGTGACATCAGTTGTCAAGGTGTAACACTGGTGGCACTGGTTGCCAAAGTGTAACACTGGTGACAATGGTTGTCAAGGAGTAACACTGGTGACACCGGTTATCAAGGTGTAACACTGGTGACACCGGTTGTCAAGGTGTAACACAAGTGACACCGGTTGTAAAGGTGTAACACCTGTCACAATGGTTGTCATGGTGTAACACTGGTGTTACTGGTTGTCAAGGTGTAATACTTGTCACAATGGTTGTCAAGGTGTAACACCTGTCAAAATAGTTATCAAGGTGTAACACTGGTGACATCAGTTGTCAAGGTGTAACACTGGTGACACCGGTTGTCAAGGTGTGACACGGGTCACAACAGTTGTCAACGCATAACAATACTGGTGACAATGGTTGTCAAGGAGTAACACTGGTGACACTGGTTGTCAAGGAGTAACACTGGTGTCACTGGTTGTCAAGGAGTAACACTGGTGACAATGGTTGTCAAGGAGTAACACTGGTGACACCGGTTGTCAAGGTGTAACACTGGTGACACTGGTTGTCAAGGTGTGACACGGGTCACAACAGTTGTCAACACATAACAATACTGGTGTCACTGGTTATCAAGGTGTAACACTGGTGACAATGGTTGTCAAGGTGTAACACTGGTGACAATGGTTGTCCAGGTGTAACACTGGTGACACCCGTTGTCAAGGTGTAACACTGGTGACACCAGTTGTTAAGGTGTAACACTGGTGACACCAACTGTCAAGGTGTAACAGTGGTGACACCAACTGTCAAGGTGTAACACTGGTGACACCAGTTGTCAAGGTGTAACACTGGTGACACCCGTTGTCAAGTTGTAACACTGGTGACACCAGTTGTAACACTGGTGACAGTCAAGGTGTAACACTGGTGACACCAACTGTCAAGGTGTAACACTGGTGACACCAGTTGTCAAGGTGTAACACTGGTGACACCCGTTGTCAAGTTGTAACACTGGTGACACCAGTTGTCAAGGTGTAACACTGGTGACACCAACTGTCAAGGTGTAACACTGGTGACACCAACTGTCAAGGTGTAACACTGGTGACACCAGTTGTCAAGGTGTAACACTGGTGACACCAGTTGTCAAGGTGTAACACTGGTGACACCAACTGTCAAGGTGTAACACTGGTGACACCAGTTGTCAAGGTGTAACACTGGTGACACCAGTTGTCAAGGTGTAACAGTGGTGACACCAACTGTCAAGGTGTAACACTGGTGACACAGGTTGTCAAGGTGTAACACTGGTGACACAGGTTGTCGAGGTGTAACGCTGGTGACACCAGTTGTCAAGGTGTAACGGTGTCCTCCCAAAAGTTAGACGTCCCAAAAGTTAGACGCGTTAAAATAACAAAGGTTATGGTTGGTTGCACTGAGGTTCACTACACTGTTACCTTCGTTAATTAATGGACTAGTCCAAATGTATTAATCCAAACACAAAGAGAAGATATTGTGGATAATGACAATGACTTTATTTGACATAAAACCAAATAAGTTATTTCAACAAGATAATTAGAAATGATCTATGGATGACTTTGTAATAACTTTATTTGGCATTAAAAAATATAAGTTAATTTAACAAGATAATTTAAATGGTCAATCAAATCATTCAAGAGTTGAGATTTCACATCTTTCACATCATTCACTATACAGGCAAGAATATCAACCAAGTCTGAGCAAATGCCCAACTGCATCGAGGAACTATCAGCCTGTTCTCAGTTTCCCTGTAGACCCTCTTTGTCTTCCACATTGCCAGTGAACAAACTCCCCCCTGATTCTGTTCTTGGTGTATGTGTGGCCTTGAAGGAATATCCGAGGAGTACCCTTCTATGACTTCACGTATTCTACTCTCTGAAGACCATCGTTTGTTCTCAACCCTTAGTTAGTTATTTGCTTTATTTAGCGCTGCACGCACAACTAAGGTAAAAAAGGAAAATAATATGAAATAGGTAAAGAGTAATAGAGATTTGGAATTTAATATATATGTAGTGTAATAAATGGTTATTGTTTGAGGACAGAAACCTGTTTAATTTGATTGTATTTTGTTAACATGTTGCTCTGCAACCAACCCATGTTTAAAAATATATTTATTAAGTGAATAATGATGAACATATAAAAGGTTAAAAAATGAAGTTGATAAAAAGAGAGAACTCATTTGAAAAGTTAAAAGAACATATATACATATTTAGAACAAGTTTTAAAAAGGTAAAAAGTGGAATTATTGTATTATTGTTTTTGTTGCTAGATTGTTTGGTATAATTTTGTATGAATAAGATATTTAGTGAGTGGTTTAATTAATTTGGGGTTTGTTAGAATGTGCTTGAGATCAGAAGAGTTAGCATTATTGAATTTGGCAAGTGATACATTTGCCGTTTGAACATTGTGAACATTTGGAGAACCCAGTGACTGAGTAAGCCAGTCAACATTACCATTCTGATCAAAGTATTTCTGTACAAATGTGAAAAACATCTCGTTATGTATGGGACAGGCTCATTATATCAGTGGGTAAGACTAGGTTGTAATGACAGTCATGCCTGATTGATTTGTCTGACAACTGGGACATCTGACTATCGGGACGTCTAACTTTTGGGAGTAAACCAGTGTAACACATGTCACAACGATTGTCAAGGTGTAACACTGGTCACAACGATTGTCAAGGTGTAACACTGGTCACACTGGTTGTCAAGGTGTAACACTGGTGACAGCAGCTGTCAAGGTGTAACACTGGTGACACACATGAGAAAGAAAAGAATCATAAGGACAGATGATGGTTCATTATCCGGCAGATCTATGATGATAACCAGCGGAGGCCAGTGGATGACGACAGAGTTAGACATGAGATGATGAGGGTCCAGTTTCCTTACCTGATGTGCCAGTCATTTAGGGGCTCCCCCCCTTGCCTCTCACAGTAGGCATATTTCTGGAATTCATTGTGGAAAGTGATGGACCCACGCCTTGGATCCTTCACAATATTTTTCAGTCGGGTGTAGAGACGCTTACTTCCATCGTGTTGAACCTAAAACATGTATAATGAGCATCACTGAGTAAGTGAGTGAATTTAGTTTTACACCGCTTTGAGCAATATTCCAACAATATCATAACGAAAGACAGAAAAGGGCTTCACACACTGTACCCATGTGGGGAATCGAACCTGGGTCTTTGATGTGACGAGCGAACACTTTTTACTACTAGGGTACCCTACCGCCCTATGAGCATCACTGTGCACAATCATTGTGAACTCTCATTTGAGTGAGGACATACATATGTCACCACAAAGGGATGTCGAATAGGTTGAATGTGGCTGCATCAACCTTCATTTCAGTATCAATGTGTGCATGTCTGTTATAAATATATCTTCAATAGTATAAGTAATACTCATTCTTTCAAACAAAATATAATAATTATGTTTTATTCCTCTACACCACCACATCATAAAATTGTTATGAGTAAAGTATGATAGCAAGATATTGCTATAACTAACCAATGAGATATTTTTGGTTTGTTGTTTAAGGCAACAGTAGGTAACAAATATTACAGCTATTATAATGACACCAAGAAAATAGCATTTGAGTCAGGCCAACAATTGAAAGAAAGAGCAATGCCATGGAAACATTGTGAAACATTTCCAGCCACTTACACTGTTAGCTACAGTTTGGGTGAAGATGATCCCTCTTATCTCCGGCGCCTCCAAGATTTCTAAGTAATCTCTAGCCACCTGACAGTCAGGGAACACGTAGTGGGTCACGTCACTGGGGAGTAGGGACAGGCTTTCTGTGTGATACACCACGGTACATACTGGATCAGAATTCATGCTTCATACAGACTACAAAACTAACATTTCAAAGTTGAAGAGTTAATACTGTCATTCACCAGTGATCTTTTTCTTAGAGATTTGCTAAATATCAATATACCAATTTAGACATGTTTACAAAGTGAATTTCGTCAAATATTGAAAGATTCAAGTCTCTGTAAATCTTTATTAAAATGTATATGTTCTCAAGGCATTTAAGGAATCTATATTGCAAGGCTCAACAAGTGTAAGTCTCACTTACCACCTTTGTTAAGACAACCAGCAACACACAGAGAACTCTGACATGGGATGTCTTCACGTAAATACAACTCTCGTACAACACGGATACGTCCCCCTTGACGGCTTTTCACTCGCAGTTGACGCTCTGTGCGTACAGTTGAACTGGACAACAAAACCATTCTGCAGTTTCCAAAGTGTAATTTCTTAACGTTTATGGTAAAATGCCATTCCTATCTGGTCATGATTTTCTACAGACAGTTCTCATAGACTGAGGACAGGTCATTGCATGTGATTCTGTGTCAGTGATTTGTTGCTGTGATGACCCAGATGTTCCTCAGCTTTCTTTACACACCACAAGACATCCTCTGTAAAAAAGATCATCAGGTGTGCCTTAAAAGTCTTTTGAAATGTGTTTGAGATAAATGATGGTCCTTGATGGGTCCCCTTAATGTAGGAGGAAAGCCCCAAATGAATCAAGATGGAGATGTTGGAAAGATTTATGCTGTAACCCGCACATCAATATACAATATTTATTACACCAATGATTGTTAATACTTCTGGCCAGAGGTTCAATTATTTTTTTAATCTCTGACCTGTTCTGAAACAAAGGGGAACCAGTCAACTCGTCCACACAGGGCGATATTGTATTTATTGAATCATGTATTGTTTCAAGGTTTGTTGTTATTATTGTACGAGGCGATGACAACTGACATGCATCGTGACGTCGCTTACATTGTGACGTAATGTAAAATGGTTCGATTACGAGGGGGCACACTAGAATGGCGCAGTGACGGGATAACGTCATTCAATTGTTACGTCATCAAAAACCTATACCTTTATTGTCTTATAATGTATTTTTTTTTCGATTGTTCTAACCGCTAGGCATCTTAGAAATCTAGTTACTACTACAATATCGGTCGTATTATGAATCCTGTCAACTCTTCCGCCTGCCCTCTCGGACATGCCTTACACTGAGTAACGATAAGGCATCGTCTCGCTGTCTAGGTAGCACCTACGTTATCAACATTAAATATGTACATGACATTACTCACAAACCATAATTCATGATGTGCAGTAATTTTATGTATCTTGTCACTTTTCATCCAAATAATACCATGGAGGCTGACATGTTGAATTTTGCGCCATCTGAATATTCCATGGGAGATAAGTAACTTCAGCCTGGTTCCCAGGGTACGCTGCGCTGACGCATCAGAACCAGGTAAGCTGGGCTCCGTCTCGCATATCGCGTGTTCCCGGCTGCCTTTGCGCGCGCTAACGTTCACCAATGATGATATGCGAGACGGGGCCCAGCTTAAGTTTAGCAGTTGAGTTCCTAAGCTCCGCACAGCGTCTTGTATTCACACCACCATTTCGGAGCCTTGACGTGTACACTACATTGGCGGTGTGTGTGTGTGTGTGTTGGGGGGGTGTATCCGCCCATGTACTACATGTGCGAAGAATAAATTGACACTTGTTCAAAGTTTGATCAACAATATGTTGAAATTTCTCAAAATCGTGTTTCAATGGGCAATTGGTTTATTTGACGATACGTAATTTCATATTGTATTTTCGGCAAAATAATCAAGTGTTATCTCCATCCACAAAGCAGAGTTACCGGGTTCATGACTTGCCTTCAGTTACTCATAATATTAAACTTTCATTTGCACACATTAAAAGTGTCAAAATGAATTGTCAATTCTGACAGTCTCAGAAATAAGACTTGCGACTTACGTACCCAGTCAATTCGTATATACAGTAGACTGTTGTCTCCCGAAATCTGATCTCTCTCTCTCTGATTACTCTCATTACATCTATTCATCTCTCTCTCTCTCTCTCTCTCTCTCTCTCTCTCTCTCTCACTCCTTGAATATGACTGTGAAGGTTAGTATCAATGATGTTGTTGATAATCTTGAAACTTGTAACTGAAATCAAAGAAACACAAGGCCATTTCCTTTCTTTGTATGTGTATGTGTGTGCCGTGAGCGTGCGCGTGTGTGTATGTGTGTGCCGTGAGCGTGCGCGCGTGTGTGTGAAAAGAATAATGACAAGAATTCTTTGGATATATTTCCCTTCAACTTTCTGCCAACATCTGGCGTTGTAATAGTGTTCTTTTATTTATTTATTTCTCGAATTGTTTACAAACAACATCGCACAGAAAACAAATATAATTGTACAACCGACTCTGCTTTTAGCGGAGATGTCTTCATTATGAATGTAGAAAGGGTTTTGTCGTTTACACACATGTACTCTATGTATATATATATACACATGTATAGTATATATTTCCTTTCAACTTTCTACCGACTTCGGGCGTGATCAGGCTCGTGACCCTGTGTGGAGTTCATGTGGAACACAAATTTATAGTGGTATGCAACTCCCAGGCAGCATTACCTCCCCACAAAACGTAGCGCCACCGTCGATAGCAATCGGAACCTTTCTTACAGTGCATTGTTCATGGTAATGTAGGCGACGTACCGAGGCTTACCGGAAAACATCGACCTTTGCCTACTGTTTCGAACACACGTGAAAATGGCGGACGTTTTGCTTGTGAAAGAAGATGGTGATGAATTCGAGGTCGACGAGGAGGGAGATCGTAAGTGAAAGCAGCCGAAAAAACAAATTATGAAATTACAGTAATTATGGTTTAGCATAGTTTACAACGATTTGTTTGGAAGCAATATTTATGTGGAATACCTTTCGTGTAGTTAGTGTCATTTGAAAAAGAATGTTTAGAATCGTGATTCCAAGGCTATAAAAGAAAAAAACCCACTGAAGTGTAAATCATTATGCCTTTGGCTCTCAGACAATGGCCATGGTCAAGATGCCATATGATCATCATGATGAACACAAAGGCCTGCATTGCTTTTTGTTCCTTGTGTTTTTGCAATGCAAATATATGGGATATCAAATATATTCAATAAACACAGTGTGAGTGTTAGATTTTTCAAGATTATGAGGGTTGCAAATGTTGGACGTAGGGTTAGAGATATAGCTGTAAACTCTCAATAGATCTATATTCACATGGTCACCACATGAAATATAAGCATGCTTTTCGTGAGACCCTCAGTTATTGCGGTAATTAATGTTATTGCTCTTGGGAATGTGAGTGAGTGAGTTTAGTTTTATGATGCACTCAGCAATATTCCAGCTATATGGCAGCGGTCTGTAAATAATAGAGTCTGGACCAGACATTCCGGTGAACCAATGGCATGTGTCAACCAAGTCAGCGAGCCTGACCACCTGATCCTGTTAGTCACCTCTAACGCTTGGGAATATGACATTTGGCACTTAAATATTTTTTCATTTGACTGAAGTGTAATCTTCTTTTCTGTTGTAAACACTGTGGCATATGGTCTCTAATCGTTCAAAGCTCAGTTGATCCGTAAATTGAAGCGACTCTCTATCACCACAGTATTGCTATTTTTAGGCTATGGCATGCTGTACAGGCATATGAAACTAACTATTACCTACCACAGGCAACTACTAATGTTTATAGTTTTAATATTTAAAATTATTTTTGGATTTTATTAGGATCAGTAAAATGTAAGTTTCTTTTTAACCCCAGAAATGAATCTTCTATTCATTAGGATACAAGTTAACAATAACATAGCAAACTAGTTCTTAGCCTTAAAGTGTACCATAGAATTGGCAACCGTGTGCAGTACATCACTTCAATTTATGTTTTTAGGATTATATATCTGCAGACAGCCTTATAGTTGTCACAGGATTACTCTTGACAAAGTTGGTTTTGATTTGTGCCAGATGCAAACTGCAATGCCTGTAGGGGTCACCAGTTTCAAAATGTTCCAGAACTTATTGCAAAGATGAATAATTTACTGCACTTATCATTTTTAGACCTGACAGTCCCAGAAAAAAATCACTTTTCCAAGAGCACTGAATTTGACCTATTTTGCATGTGTAAACAGCCAATGTTGGGCGTGGTGTTTCCACTTTCTTGATGTTTTCACACGTCACGATATTAGACGGTCCAAGTATACCAATTACCATGTTATCATCAGCACAAATTATCATTTTTTGTCTTCCATGTGTTACTTTTGTAAAGTATTACCATGGTTACCTGTATTTGAAGCGGAACTGTGTGACATATTTTATCTTTTGTGACTGTTATAGTAAGCTTGGTTTCAAATGTATTATTTTCCACATCAGAGGGTTTGCTGAAGCTGAAGGAAAAAGCAAAGAAGAGGAAAGGACGAGGGTTCGGTTCAGGTCAGTGAAACTAATCAAAACAATATTTATCATAATTATTACCATGAGAAAATCCTGTTTACTCCAAGTGTCAGTTTATCAGTTGTTAAAAATCCTAAATCTTAGAGAATATGGCTTCAGTTTAATTATTGTAGGAGTGGATTTTTTGACAGTTCACAATGAATGCACATAACAGAAGTTATAAAGTATTGTACATTATGCAGATGGCCCAACACGGAGCGGTGTCGAGTCATTTGAGGCGATGGAGGTGGATGAGACAGATGGACCAGGACCACAGAGATGTAAGAAATGAGTATATTTGTCAGTAGTGATAACATGATCATGAACCAGGAACTAGTTGAGTTTTTTTAGTTTGTGAAAGCAGTTCCATTGATTGGCATCAGGCATACAGAATGAATTCTACTTTTTGTGTAATTGTATATCTAGACAGATATTTTATGAAATTGTATCCACAAGAAGTAATGACTCACTCACAGAAAATATCCGTATACATGTGAAACCTTGATAATGTTCCACTTTCAGTTATGATAGAAAGTTATATAAAAGTTTGGTACACACTTTGAATTTCTTTTTCGTATTACCAAACCACGTTAACTGTAAGACATTAAAATAATTTTGGACTTGATAGTCTGGGTCCTGTTATGAAAACTCCATCCTCGATAATCTCCTGGGTATACATTACGATAAATCTCCTGGATGCATCTACGGCTCGGACCGATGATTTTTTTACCTCCCTTGGGTGGCTTTTTATCCAATCAGGTGTCTATGCTGGGAAGTTGAGCGTACCAATCACAACTCAATTTCGCTTCATAAATTATTTAACCGATTAAACTTGGCAATACAATTGATGCAGAGGTGTTCTGAAAGAGGTAGAAGGAGTTCTTGCATATATTTCAAGTTTCAGACCTGTCAATTTGTCAGTATGATTTCCCTCAAAATCTGAGTCGCATTGCGAACATTTGCGGCGAACAAACCTTCTTTGTTGACACTGGCAAGCTTGGTTGTAACGGCGGCTTAGCTGATTGGCTACTGTGAGAATGCGGAGCCAGCAAAGGGAGGTAATAAAATTATCGTGCCAAACCATAGATGCATCCAGGGTACTTGTGGAGATTTATCGGAACATATACCCTGGAGATTATCGAGGATGTGAATACTCCTGATTATCACTGAACTGTTTTAAGTGTGATGTTTCTGGTGACAGCGGTGGAGGGCTGGATTCTGTTTGTGACCGGGGTTCATGAAGAGGCCCAGGAAGATGACATCTACGACAAGTTCGCTGAGTATGGAGAAATCAAGAATCTTCACCTCAACCTAGATCGAAGAACAGGGTTTCTGAAAGTAGGTTTTGATGAGAGTCTGTACCATACTCAAATATGCCCACGACATGCAGGAGGAGAGTTAACTGTGTGCATGAACAACTTTCAATTTTTTTGTCTGAATGAAACATTTACTTAAACTTCTTTTAAATTCATGACTGCTGCACTGGTTTTAAAGGTGGGAACTAACAGACCAGCCTTTTCTTTAGCCACTTGTTCTAAGTCCTACACTAGTAATATTCTTGTATATTCTTGTGGAAATACTAAAAGTGATGCCAAGAGCCAATTTCAGGCTTGTAGAAGCTTTTGTATAAACTGAAATACTTTTACTTTCTCTTGTCTCTGTACATTTCAATGTATCATTTGAAAGGCATCTAGTCTTCTCTAATCTGTCAAAAACGGGTGCAGAAGTTGGGCCTTTGGGAAGATATGAACTTTCTAAGAATGTTACATGTTAAGTACATCTGAAGGTTATTTCAGGTGTGATTTGACTTTGTACTGGGGATATACATAATAGTTTTCTAACTCCTTTTTTCCAGGGCTATGCATTGGTGGAGTATGAAACATTCAAGGAAGCAGAGAAAGCAATGGAAGCACTCAATGGTACAGAGATCCTGGGTCAGTCCATCAGCGTGGACTGGTGTTTTGTCAGGGGGCCCAGAAAGAACAAGTGAGTAACAGTCGAAACGGACAGTTGTCAGTCAGCTGCCATGTCACATGGAGAACTGTATGCCGGTTGAAGGCAATACATTTTCTGCAGAGTAGCAGTTAGAAGCAGTTTGTCAATACAAATTACAAGATAAGTGTCATAATACAACAAGATATGTGTAAGATATGTTTGTATCTTGGTTCAACTAATTGAAATATTTGTAAAATTCCGATCCCCATTCTGGGATGTGAATATTTTGGAGTGAGTGAGATAGGGGGTTAGATTTATGCTTTGTCCATACATCTGCAGTTTTCCATTGTTGTTGTTAACAATATATCCCAGAACGTATGTGGGGATGAGGATCAGTTTGATGCCAAGAAGTCCTAGGATTGTATGCCAGTTCCAGTTAATATAAAGGTGACCTTGACCACTATTCCATGGTCAAGGCAATAATGTAACAGGTTTTCAAGTGATAGGTACAAAATAACAAACAGCAAATATTGTTGGATACAAGGTATTCATAGCCATGTACCATCCTGACAGGTAACAGACTATTCCTGATTTTGAGTTATTTTGCAGTTTTTGAGACAAACAGAATGTATGTGTTAGGCATATGTTCTGTATGCTGTGCATGACACCATTCAGTACTTTGACTGCCAAACACCCAAATCAGGAGAACTCTTTATCAGAGTAAACAGAATTCATAAAGGCGTTATTCTGCTACCTCTGATAGAAATCGCAATATGTTATTACCCAGAGATTTCACTTATTTCAAAAGTAAGACTTGAGTAAGTGAATTGCAGGTATAACTTTTTATCATGTTAAGTCTATTATATTTCTAATGCAAACCATGTCCTTTTCAGAGGCAGAAAAGATGATCGGAGACGACGCTGATATGTGCTGCATTCATCAGAATCATCATTATTAGCATACCCTGTACAGAAAGCTGTGTATATTGTTTGTAACACCCAAAGTTGAATGAACTGTCAACAAACACATATTTTGTCTTCTAATACTAATATTGCTATGTTACAAACAGGACTGTATTTTGACTACACTTATGGGGATTGCTAGGGTAATGTCATAAAAAGCGTTTGTCTACTAGCAAATTTTTATAACTCTTCTGTGAGATGCCATCATGTTCATAATCATTTTTCTCATATGTGTTCATTCACAGACTGTATCACACAGATGATGCATCAGTCCTTGTATTTATTGTCAGATACTATGTTTGTTTGCTGAAGGTCAAGGAAAGTCTTCCTCATATACAAACATTCATCAGGATGAGCTACAGATACCTAGGGCTGTACACATTTTATGTAATCATTTCATTTAGTTTATGTCTAGTACTGTCATGGTGTTATGTTCATTTTACCATTATAATAAATAGTGATAACCATGAATTTCTCTTGTTTTTTTATATGAATGCAAGGTGAAGATAGCAGCCTAACTCATTAATGTCGTTCATTTATTATCTCTAATTTATGTGATTTTCACAGATTAATAAGAAATTGTGGACAGTTTCCAATTTGAAAGGTGGGAAATAATGATGCCAGGACCAGTGATTGATATTATGATCAATGATGTTCTCTCTTGGTTGATGCCGGTCATTGTTTCATAGTTGTGTGGAGCAGTGTTCATGATGTCAGTCAGTGAATTGCTATACTACTATAGAAACTGCACCATGTGTTGAGCACATAATACAGAGGCACACTGAAGACACCTCCAGGGTAGCAATTGTGCAGCTAAGAGACAACTTTCTGTATTTACAATAGCATTTATTAATAAATGACTGTACAATATATGGACAAGATCAGTCTAGTGACAGGCTTGCACACCACATCTTAACAAAATGGTTAAAGTTAGGATAGATCCAGATGACCACATCCAGCGATAAAACCAATTTTAGAAAGGAGCTTTGACCTAAATATATTCAGAATTGACGGAAAGAAATATGAAACATAGATGTAGATGAGTTTGCTATTGCCAAGAATGTATTATTACAATAAATCTTATACTTGAGAAGCACATGTAACCCTCCATATTCCTGCTATGAAGTGTATCTTTTCAAAATCTGTACTGTCCAAAACATGTTTATCACAAAGTTAAAAATGTTCACATTTTGGGATAGTTTTCCAGCTCATATGGCTGTGGTTCATCCCAGTATTCACTGATTGGTTTACTGAAGCCATCATTCTTGCGAAACGCTGTGTCTCGGGTCTTCACCTGCGTCACACCCTGTTAATGTAAGAAGTAATACTGTCATCATCAACAGAAACTTCAGTGTGTATAAGCTGAATATGGTTCAGTGCCAAAACAAAATGAAGAAGAAAGGTCTTGTTTAGCCATCATGTCACGAATGATATTTAGCACAAAAAGGAAGATGGCAGATACAGTATTTGACATAGGAAAGCTTATATAATTAGGTTTACCCAGAATTAAATTGTAACAACTTAATGAGTCCGATCAAACAAAGGACAGATAACTCACTGTTGCTCTGTCTCTGTGCTCTGACCAGAAGCTGACTGGCTGATCTGTCCGGTAATCATGATTCTGAAATGAATAAACAAAACACTGAAACACAGCTGTGTTGATTTAAACAAGTTTAAAGTGTATGTAGATCTGACAATGGAATTTTCTGCTTTTTGGTTCCGAATACAAACTCAACATGTTTTGAGTTCCTTTGCAGTAAATGTTAGGTGTAATCTAACATGAGTCGGTGTCATTAGCCACTGTTAATGGACAATATCTCTCTCATTTTGTTTTCCAGTTTGTATTAACACAAAGACTTTCTGTTTGGACAGGTGAAGAAATCTGTAAGATATAATCAGATTTATTGTTGAATACTCACAGCTGTGGGTTTAGGTTTGATGGACACAAAATCAGGCTTGTTGAAGTCAGCCATTGTGACAGATCTGAAGTCGGCCTCTGGTGGTGGTTGGTTGAACTCATCATGCACTTCTTGACTGTCAAACAATTTCAACACAAACATAAGCTGCTAGCACTAATTCAGAATATCGTTTAGACATATTTTTCCTTGTTATTATCGATTTTTGTAAAACATCTTAATACCCATTAAAGACTAAACTGTTTGAGATCTTACCTGACTTTCTCAAACAACATCTGCTGCATTAATTCTGCTTTTTTCCCTGAAAAGACAAGTTGTTTCATTATGAACATCTTCATATTTTATACATGTTAGGAGTGAAATGATACATCAGTTCAATTTGTATTCAACCATATGAAGCACAATCTGTTAGTCACTGAATCAAAACAAGACAATACACTTATGATTCTTTTACTGACACTCCCCAACCCATAGTTTGTTATGTCAAATATTGGAAATGAATTGGTTTCAGCATACAGGTAACATGTTTAATATGAACAATAGACACAATCAACATGACATTGTGTCTCCATCTAGCTTTTCCTTGGAACCTGTACAAATAGGAAGTTTCCATATGATGTTACATGAATATGTGTATTGCAGTATTTATCGTATTGTGACCAGTTCACCTCGGTGTTATATGCTGCAGTGTTCTCCCTGTTCAGAAAACCAAACTGCACAAATAGATGTACACAGGGGTGAGTGAGTATGGTTTTAAGCTGCTTTTAGCAACACCAGACACCAGAAATGGGCTTCACACGTTTACCCATGTGGGCAATCGAAGCCGGGTCTTTGGCGTGACAGGTGAATGCTTTAACCACTTGGCTACCCCACCGCCCCAGATGCACACAAGAACAGACTTTCCACACACATGATGTTACTGAATTATGCATGCTTCATTACCTATCTGTCTGACATCAGGCCTAACAGGTTCCCTATATGAATCGGTAAATGTTGTGAGCTTCTCAGGTTTAGCATCGAATGCCGTTGATAGGATTCCTTGATGTCCATCTTTAAACCCCTGAGCACTGGCAACATTACTATTAGCATTGTCTGGTACTATCTCCTTCACCGCTCTCTGAAATACAAAAGATTGTACAAATTGATGTCAGTGTCACAGAAAAATTCAGATAAATTGAACAATTCAACAATCTATCCACTCTTAAAAGTTGCAGGTTACAGCATGAGGAGGACACATTGTTAATTTTGATAAATTTAAGTTTGTAGTGCTTCATATAAGATCTTTCTATGATTTTTGGAATGTTAATGAGAACACAGTTGTAATCATGTAAAGTACCTTTGAATTGAAAGTTCCCCTAATGGAATGAAACAGTGATCAGTACATGATTTTTAACATGGACTATTCCTTTTCCACTTTTGTTTTTAAAAAGGTTGAAATATGGTTATTTTGTATTATGCAAGATAATGCATTAGTCAGCAAAGTACTATCACATTTCTGTATATTAGACCCAAATCCAAATTTATATAGAACCATTATAATAAATTGTTTTGAAAGAGTTTCATAAACTTTTTGAAAATCAGTCTCAGTATATGGGTGGGTGTACAATGGGAATGTTTTCCCCCATCTTGGACTTGTATTGTTTTCATTGACTTAAATGCCTGAGAAATGTATGCCAGATTAATTTTACCATCTAATTTATCTACTGGGTCTACATTTACTGTTGGAGAGTAACAGTGTTTTGGTATACCGGATACTTATAGCTTTGGATTCTTCATTTATGTCACCACTGGATTTACATAAGTTTCCGTAAAATTATTTTTGTTCTTTGATAACAGCTTTTCTCTATGTTACTTCCTCACCATTGTCATTTATGACGGTGTTAAGAATAAGTTTAATCATAAATTTGTATTTTCTATTTTGCAAGTGGAAACGTGATTCGTCATCTCTCCTTCTTTCTACCGATGTATTTTGTTACGAATTTGAATTTGATCAATTTATTCTTCGTTTATTTTTTGGAGTTCAACTTGTTTCTGGATAGATATATCTAACTATATTTTACGCATGATCTACAATAGTTTGCAATATCATTCTTTAATTTATGGATGTCCAAAATAGCTTCATAAATATTTATGCAAAAAATTGTCCTAGGTATTTTTTTCGACATTAATGATATACTTGATGAATGTTTATAAATATTAGAGAGAAAGTTGTGAGCCAAATATCCGACGAAGAAACTTACACAGTGTAAAATTGTATTTTGTTACACAGGCCGTAATGGTCAAACCGCCTACTTACCTCTTCGACCCAGTTCTCTAGCAAACATTTTCCTTCAGAGTTGTTGAACCGTATCTCATTTCGACCTTGATTAAGCAAACTCATATTAAAAGGTGTGCGATTATTGAGAAAGTATGTCAAATTCACGCGCTGTCTCAAAAAAGTGAAGGCGATACAACAAGCAGTCAGGATTGTTTACACGGAAGCAGTATGGCTGACGTTGCTATGGTAAATGCGCAGAAACGATGCGCATACGTCCATCGCACCTGTCCCGTTATTAGAAGCGCACGTAAAACGTCATCATTACACAGACGATGGACCACGACTCCCATACACATTTTTTACCCGCTTATCTTAAATGACTGGGCCCATCAGCTGGCACTTTGTATTTTTATTGCAATGATGACACTTGATAGTCAGTGATCCTCTTTCAAAAAAAAATTCAAAGTGGTGCCATCACCATATTATTGTCCTGTGAAAGTTTGAATCGAAATTTGGCATTCAGTATGGGGAATGGGGCATATGTTTTTGGTCACTGTTTCCCGGCAAATATATATCCATCCAGTTTTTCACTCATTTTCATGGGTAATAGGAACACGAAATAAATTAAAAGAACAACTTTTTCTTCTTTTGAACATTATCATTTCAATTCTATGTCAACAGTGATTTCAGTAAAAGCATTATAAATCAAACAACCCCGTATATTCTAGTGTAAATATCATGTACTGAACCATCGGAATCATTAAGACAACGTTTGACAGGTTTGTCTTTACATTTATCACTCTGTACTGACACTGTTCTTTATCATCGTGATGTTTGACAACCTCTCCCGGTGCATGGAGTTAAGCTGCAAAGCGTCTCCGGCGTGATTATAGCTTCCAAAGTCACTCAACGTAATCACTTTACTCCCTGAAAGTGTCTCGATAGCAATCGTGTTATTGATTGCCAATTTTCCATTCACTTTGCCAGTCAGCAAAACAATATCTGTCTCCTACCCTTGCTGCTGTTTGTAACATTAATGCTTCAAAGAAAGCTTTATTGAATGAAAGCCCAAACAACCCTACGACGGAACTGCTTTGTTTTGATCAATATTATAACACTCTATTGGGTTGATCGATCGCGACTAAGTTTGATATAGTTAAATATAGTGACAGAACATGAGAGCTGACCTAGTATACTCCCTATAAACAATAACGGCATGCTAGATATGAAATACTCGGTCGGTGCACACGTTATAGTAATGTTTGCTACCAGTCACTAGCATGCTAAGCTACCGTCAAGACGCCAGGAGGCCGGGGCTTTATGTGGACGCAAGAATGGGATTTGTACATGTCGTTTAGCAAGGGTATTTAGTTGTGTTTACCGGCTACTCTCGGGGTGCTGTACTCTTTCAGTAGGTTATGTTTACCCGCGACACAAGCTATGGGATACTTTTACCGGCTTCACCAGATATAGCACAGCTGCCTTTCACTTTGTGGCTAGTTGAATCACGTCACTTTCCGTTGCTGAGAACAAGTGAACACGGACAGGGCAAGCGACAAAATCAGATCCAGATGTATTGATTATTTTGTTTGTCAAATCACTCCTAGACAGAGTGAAGGTGTTGGACTACAGAACTTACACAGCCTTGGACCGTCCCTTCGTGCCCGTGGGAGCAGACGACACTGATCGTCTGCCATCTGGGCAGACGACACATAGATCGCCTGGTGCCGGGGCACAGGGGAGAGTAGACGAGACAAGTTCCATTTCGCCGAGCTGTGACACGCTGGTTTCCGTACACCCGGTAAGATTGTCCTGACTGGCTCTGTCCGTCGTGACATAATGAATCCTGCAAATGCTAGACACGAACAGTGTAGTTGGTTTCGATATTAACGTGACATGTCTGAAGATTCATTTGGAGATCAGATAACCCGCATACAGTGGTAGGACTGGAACATAGACACTCCGTTTCTAAAGATTTATCGCACTATTACCACTTTAGGATATGTCGAGTTTTTCACTGACCCTAGGATTTAGAACTCAACGCTATAAGGTATTTTACGTGGTTTATTAAGTATGATCGAAGTCTGTGTGATTAATTCCCGTGTGTTGTATTTGAAGACGGGGAATATAGAGTTTGCCTCGATACCACACCTATCTTGTATTGGTATCTTGAGCGTAGCCATGTACTGTTTAAATACTGGTGTTTTCAAAGACAGCACAAAACATATTCATATACAAAGAATGCGGATCTCAACAGTCTCTAGGCTTTGCATGTGGTGAGGTGGGGTAGCCTTGTGGATAAAGTGTTAGCTCGTCACGCCGAAGAGTCAGTTTCGATTCTCCACGCAGGTTCAGTATTTCAGTCTATTCCTGACGTTGCCCCTGTCATATGGCTCTGGATGTTGCTGAATGCGGACTAAATAACTCAATCACAATATATACAAGATTTTCCAGTCATTATCTGAACACCTTAAGTACCACGATATAAACTCACAAATTTATATACATGTACAGGAAACGGAGCAAATAGTGTTTCTCCATATGTCTGGGAAATGATACATACTTACAGAACACATGGATACGATGTTATAATGACAGCGTGGTTTCACGGGGCATTTGTATCTAATACATCACCATCTCCCTTAATTAGGTGTAGTGAGTGAGTTTGGTTTTACACATTTTTTGCATAATTTTCAGCATCAGAACAGTGGGGCTCACCAGAGTCGGACTTGCACATGTGGAGAACGGCGCTTCGGAGTGACGAAAAATGTTCAAACCATTGAGCAATACTACCTACCTTATATACATTTTATGTCAAATATCAATTGATAAATAACCTGTATATATATTGATAAATCTGCCCCGCTTCGTTATCTGGAGTGATGCACACATTCTCAATGAGTGGTTTGCTGTTGGCCTTAGAGGGAGGAAGGGGTTGACGTAGCCTTGCTCCAAGGCTGTACTGAAGGCTAAGCCCATGTATGTATAGTGATTCTATCCTTTAAAGAGGCAAGTCTAGATAAGCGGACAGTACAAGGCCAAGGACGCCAGTCGGTTGGAGAAATATGTACATTCAATTTCAATTTCTTTTATTCAGGGTACTGATGAAGCCACAGGCCTATAGTACAATACAAGTGTGTACAGTTACATGGTATTTAAAACATATTTTCTACTTTTGAACCCATGAAAGATGTACATTGATAGATTTTTAACAATTTGTAGATTTGTTGCTTTCAACAATAACCTTAATTTATATTCACAGTGATTGATGCGGTAAAATGGGGGTATATATAACATTCTTAAATTGTGAAAATGCGAACAGACTAATATAAAATGATACTCATCTTCTATCACCCCTAAATCACATAACATACACAGTCTATTTTATCGTGGAACATTATGATATCTGCCCTTTTCTATATTTAATTCATGGGATGTACATCTTAGTCGTGCAGTTGCTGTCCTAAACTTTTTAATGTTAACATCAAGGAGGTAACGCTCTGCTATAAGATCTGATTTAAAAGTGCTATATAATGAGGTTTTGGGTGATAGAGTTAGCGAAGCAGTCCAGAGTGGCAAGTACATATCTTTTAACCTTTGTGTTACAGATTTAATAAAAACATTTATGTACATATATGTACATTCTTTAATATTTAGACTATATGATTTAAACTATTAATTATTTCCTTGTGCAAGTCTAGGGTTGACGGTGAGCTGTAGAATGACTACACTTGGACCACTTGGCAACTGAAGGAAGTGTGATTCATGTCATAAGAATTCACTCTATTGTCTCTTAACTGTAACTGTGTGTAGACTGTAGTTAAATGTTGTGGTCACCCGTTGGCTACAGATGTCATGTTGTAGCCAGGGCCCGCAGCTGCACCAGTTACCACATGTTTAAGACAATATTTGACAATCAACGATGTAGAATATCCAATATTAAGTCAGCAGTAGAGTTTTTCACCAACAGTTGCAAACTGCATGAAGATAGGTGCAAGGTGACTAGACCGTCTGGAGTTGAACTTAAACAATATTCTCTACAACATGAATGGCAGGGCCGATGAGTGTAGACCAGTAAGAATAGAATGTCGCGCCTCACCCTGAAGACCCTGGTTCGATTTTCCAGCCTTATTGTTATCTGGTTACTGACAGAACTGCTTCCGAAACCAGCTGATATATGATCAGCGTAGATACTCACACACCGGTTGAATGGAATAGAACACACCGTTTAGATAATAACGTTCTGCTATGGCCAGTCAGAAGGTTCAATATGGAACATTCTCAGAAACCAACCTGAACGTGGCTCTTGTAACGCCCTCTCTACGAATATCGTCGGTAAATGCACCTTGATCTGAATTGAACGTTCAAGGAGGAACTAGGCGTGGTCGACAGCTTGATCGTCATTTAGAGCGTTATTCTGGACAGTCTGTAATTCGACCAATAATTATTGATGTAAAACATTGAGGTGAGAGACGAGCACATTTTAAAACACATTTCAATTCTTTCGATTATGTTTTATCATCTTAAAAACTAGTTTGAAATAGCGCTTTGCACAGTCATTGGAATGTTTACCCTAGACTATACACAGGTATTGTGTTTATGCAGGATACACTTTTGAAAATCACGCTGGGAATCCTTCACAGCACGCCAGGAACTTTGCCTGTTAACGCATAACTTCCTCACCCAATGTTCACTGTGTTATTTACCACCCATGAGCCATTTCAGGTAGTGTATATAATTATATGCTCGGTCTTCTCCGACTGCAGACTGGAGGATGATCCTATTTCGGTCGGGTCTTTGTGTTAGCTTTGAATATCACATTCATGGTGAGGCCTTTGTGAATAACGGAAATGAAACCTATATCTTATCTAGCCGGAGCTCGTTAAGTGACAAATCGCGCTGCCATGTATACATACACGCATGTAATTGCAGATTTAACCGTTTGGCTCTAACCGTTGTGGACCCCTCAACTGCGGTCACGGTAAATACACGTACACCAACAAGATCACTTCACAGGAAGCACACATTTCTTAAACACCATCTGTTCCTTTCAAACGGGTCCACTTGCATTCATCTTGATCCTCACTCCCGATGAGACAGTGAGGACAATGCCTAAAGTCACAGAGGCCAGAGGTCAAGCAGTGACCCGGGTTTCACTGGCAACAGGTGCTTGGAGGAACAGGTAGCGCGTTACTGCGACAGGTGTGTGGCTCGACAAGGTACACTTGTTATATAGTGGATCTGTCACTTATCAGTGTGAAAGAGAGTTATGGCCATTTCAAAGTCAGAGACCCTTTAGAGTGGATGGAGCATGGTCTGTTCTCTCTTCTATTTTTATAGATGTTATGTGTTTTTATGTGCAAATAATAGAATTCAAATCTTTTAAAAGCTAGGGGCTTGCACTTATTTACCAGCCATAGAAGTCATGCAGTTAGGCTATGCATGCTAAAATCAGTCATGTCCATCAGTTAGAGGTTATTCCTGAAGATACATAAGGGTTCCAAGTCCCCACTCTATACTGTAGTCATCCGGTACACCAACCGCTAAATGTCCTGAAACGGTACTTGGTTATTTCACACAGAATGCATGCGTGCTCAGAAGCTTAGGGATAAATATTCTATTTGTTTGTCACTTTGCTCAAAGAAAGACGAAACATACATTTCAGGATTGAAATATCGGCATGTGTATATACCAAGCATACTTTTCTAAGCATCCGGCTTAGGGATGGCGACAGGATTGATTCCACAGCCTTTCAAGGTGTGATGCCGGTGTCTTTGTACCTGCAGTCTCTCTTATATACGGTAGAAACCTCGCACGCAGTGAACTAAAATGAAACATAAAATTCTTTCCAGTAAATATATATAATGTCATACAGCTGGCGTGTCTTATAATAACATCTTATCCCAGAATAAGATTAGCTAATTTAGAAAATGTGTCAGCAAGATAAAAAATATATTCAACCTGAACCCAGAACAATGCTTAATTTCAGAGCTGAGGCAGTTAGGACTTGCTAAATAATGATAGCCTGAAGTGGGATTTATTTCTTTCATATGTGTATTCTTTGGGATATGTAAGACAGACGGAATGAAATCGAGATGAATAGTCCATTATCAAATTATTATAAGCCTCGTTGTTGTTTTATGTAACCTGAAGACGTTAAGACACGCCGAGAACTATGGGTTTTATGACATTCCTCTGCGCATGCCTGTAATGTCACATTGGAGGCGCTCTAGTTATACGTACATTGTCGCGCCCCCTCCACGCGGCTTGCCCTTGTGACAGTAACAAGTGGGGTGACGGACACGTTGTCAAACACATTACTCGCTCGAAAACCAATATTGATCAAGTATTCTGTTGGAGATAACCCCTGCCCATACCCAGCTGCAGGTTGACGACGACGCTATAATCCCCCAGCCCCCCGCATACCCCGGTGTAAAGCAGGGCGATCGGGGATACACGACTGAACAAAAATAATGTCAGTCCTAAGTAGATTAATTCGCGAACAGAATTTCAGTAATACGCTTATCCCTACGCTATGGAGTAATTTCTTACAGGCTGTAAACGGTACACTCTCGAACTTGATTGACAACGGCAGGGTTTGGATGTAGGTGTTGACGATGTTTGTGAGGAGAGCTGATTCCGAACGTCAGCTGCAAAGTTCAAGGTAATATCTGTACAACACTCTGTAGTGAATTCATAACGCCGCTTTATACTTCATTTATGTTTTTATGCTATTTAATGGAGTATATATGTTGGCGATACTACCTTTGGATAGTGCTTATTAAAACCTCAAGTATTTATAGCTCTTGTCGATATTCTTGGAGTGGTGTTTATAGCATGTTCTATACGTTAGTAGGTTACCATAAACGGTGCATCGTGTGCTTGTTTGAAAATAAACTTTCTAAACTTTACCTACTGGCGAATGTACGGCAACCCAACCTAAATTATGGTGTTTTTGTTGTGATCTCAGTTACAATACCAATATATCGGCGATCAGTCGAACGTGAAAACGTTTCTTGATCTATGATCTTGATAGGTATATATCCCATTACAGTGACTGACAACGTGATCCCCACGTACGTACAGTTATGCATTATAATCAATATATTAAACCGGTGCCCCTTTGTGTTCCGTGTCAGTGGCCCCACCATACAACACGTTGTGGACAGGGCTGTACGCGGAGGGCTTCTATTGAGACATTCTTTAGAAACCTCTCTGAGTTGGGTTCGCTGTTGTGAAAACAATTCTTGACGTCACGTCAGACATTTCACCTGTTAATACAAGGAGTAACAGTTGCTAACATGTGGTCATCGCAGTAGCTCTGTATTGGCAGATAGCTAGAGCAGAGAAACCTGGAGAAACAATACGGTAGCTGGGTTCGAACCCGATACTTATCCCGATTATGATAGTTGGTCCCTTAGCTCTAGACCCGTGAAGATCCGGGTCAGAATTGATCTTCAGTAACCCATGCTTGTCGTAAGAGGCGACTAACGGCATCGGGTGGTCAGGCTCCCTGACTTGGTTGACAACATGTCAACGTATCCCAATTGTGTAGATCGATGTTCATGCTGTTGATCCCTGGATTGTCTGGTCCAGACACGATTATTTACAGACCGCCGCCATATAGCTGGAATATTGCTGAGTGCGGCGTAAAACTAAACTCACTCACCCTTAGCTCTGAACCTTGCATGCACTTTGCTTTCTCCTTATTGTATAACCAGGCGTTAAACCAACCCACTCACCAACACAGAGCCTAGTGACCCGACAGGACATGTAAACATTGGACACATATACTACTCACAAGAAGTTACGTACCACCCGATTCCTTCACAATATACGGCATGGCAGATTAACCTTAGTCATATCAAAGAAAAGGCTGATCCTTAAATCTTTTTAGTGGTATAGTTAATAAAATTGTTTCAGCAAAATGGAGGTTTCAGTGGTGGTTGTACAGATTATGGGATTTGCTACATTGTCATACGTATTTTACAGGTTTTGATTATGGTCTTGCACATCCTTTCCTGGACCTCAGCCTGCTTTGGCTCGATATAAGATCATTATGGGATATCACTGTCGATTAACCTCCAGTGAACAATTGACCGAGTCAAGAGGATTAACTAATCTCCCTTACAAGCTAGAGGGATTAAACGGAGCCACGGTGAAACCAATTGGGCCATGTAATGAAATACATTTCACAAAGTGCTGGATCAAGAAAATAAAAGATTAGGATGTACAGTCGAAACGTCAGACTAATCGTCTTAAAAATTAGCGAAAACGTCACTTCTGTGGTTCAAGAATACTTTAGCTCTGTACATGAACAGTTCGGATAGTTACGTACACTACTGTATTCCATTACGACCAGTTCGGATAGTTACGTACACTACTGTATTCCATTACGACCAGTTCGGATAGTTACGTACACTACTGTATTCCATTACGACCAGTTCGGATAGTTACGTACACTACTGTATTCCATTACGACCAGTTCGGACAGTTACGTACACTACTGTATTCCATTACGACCAGTTCGGATAGTTACGTACACTACTGTATTCCATTACGACCAGTCAGGACGAGATCCAGACATGTGGTCATGGCGTTTTAAATGACAGCGTCTGGTAAGGTTACCGATCTATCTAACACACCCCTTCATTTACAGCTACCTCAATAATGGAGTTCGGCTGAAGATAACCGACCAAGTTTAGTGACGGTTGTCAAACTGTAGCGGAGGTTGGCATGTTGGTATTTGACGGCAGTGTGACGGTGTTGTGACAGACGAAGAGGAGAACATGGAGACGCAGAGGAGAAGCTTTGAGTTCCGGATGTCCAAGAAGGTGGCGGAGCTGACGCAGGTCGTGCACATGCTCTTCACGCGGAATCACGAAAAGGAGGTAACACTGTCAAGATGAAAATGTAAAGATATAGATACGTATAGAAGTAGACTTAGATTGTTACTCCATAGTTTCTAGAGAAAGGTGGAGAATATCGCTGCATGTCTGTCTGTCATGTTTTACGTCAAGACGTTCTTGAAACGTTCATCAAGGTGCAGCTGTAGGCATCCGTGGTTAAGTTTTTGTTCCATTTCATGTGTTAAGTTCGGGTGTCCCCTCCGTGGTTTTATGGAAACTTGCCATGAACGAGGTGAAACTATACTAAATAAATAGGCCACCTGGGCTTAAAACAGAATACAATTACGCTTGTTAAAACAAGAGCGCTTATTGCCAAACAACATTTTACGAAATGATAATTATATCTTATAGTTGAATTTTCTATGTTTATCTTAATTCAGGTTGAAATCGACGCGGTGAAGGAAGCATACGAGCTGGAGATACAGAATATCATTCAGGACGCCAGGAAGAGGTTGTCAATCCTACAGGGAGATTTGGAGGACATGAAGTTCCGGGCTGGGGACGAGGGCGAGAAGATGCGACAGATAATGGAACAGGAGTACATGCAGCGGGAAGCGGAGCTCGCCAAGAGGCTGGCGGACACCGAGCAGCTCCTGGCCGACGAGAGGAGTGAGTGCCAGAACATCAGGGACCTTCTCATCACCGCCCAGAAGGACATTGAGCAGTTACGCCAAGGAGTCGCGGAACAGCTTAACCTGAAATCAGACGAGATAGCAAAACGAGACAAAGAGATCGAGCGGTTGCGCAAACACGTGACAAGCCTTGAAAAGGGAATGAAGGATTCGGAAAAAGAGACAAACTCGGCTGTGAGAGATTTCGAGAAGAGCAATGAGAAGCTGGAGTCTGAGTTGACTCGCGTGCATGAACTGTTGGAAGAGAGTCACAGGGCCAAGGATCAAGTGCTGACCAAGGTCAAGGTATTGGAAACTGAGTTGAAAAATCTGAAGCGAGATTTCAACAGACGCGTCACAGAAACTGTGGCTAGTCAAGTGAACAAGATGCCCCGCAGTGCGCCGTCATACACAGTAAGTAACCCCTCCCGATATATGTAACGCCGACTGTAGCCAGGTTTTAAGGATTATATTTCAGTATAGTCCCTTTCTCAAAATTATATCAAAAGATGTCATAATCAATCGTGATGTAAGGTGCCTATGTGCGTCGAAACAAGATCCGCTAATGGTTGGTTTCGAATTCGAGATTTTTTGTTATGGTTATCAACACTATACCTCTGGGTCGATTTTCCAGGCAGACATGGGAGACATCTGATGTTCTGTTAAGAGTGGCATTAAGCCATACTCAACTGCATAAAAAGCAGGGGCCATGGGGTAGGCTAGTGGTCAAAGCGTTCGCTCGTCACGCCGAAAACCCATGTTCGATTCACCACATGGGAACAATGTATGAAGCCCATTTCTGGTGCATGTCCCCCGCCGTGATATTGCTAAAACCTGTGTAAAACTCACTAACTCACCCACTCACTCACCAACCCACTGCAAAAGAAGCAGTTAGGTCTTAACAGAAGAGAAACATCATCATAAATCTGTGTCGTAGTATAGTACTTAGTTCTTGAAGGACTGGCGCCCCCACCGCGTTGAAATCATTTCTATGACACTACTGTGTACCTAGTCATGGGTAATTTTGTGCGGTAAACCTGCTATGTTGAAGGGGCACGTCCGCCCTGATTGATTGGTCCATGCCTTCTCAACTCACTGCAGTACCTTGTGATTGTTTTATAGAACCACAACGAAGAGCTGGAGCGACTACGTCGGGAAATACAGCGTTACCGCCTGGAGCTCAGCAATAGAGACTCAAACTTTAACCGTGTGTTCACCACGCAACAGCCAGTCATTGTAGACCCTCGGAGCGCTAAATCAGGGGCGGTGCAGTCACCTCAACCTAACAAATCTCTCAATCGAAGCCAAGGCAGCCTCGGCCATGGTCAGTCAGGGACTGTGATACAAAATGGTCTTGGCCAGCCGGTGTTGGTAAACGGGTACACAAAACCCGGGGGTCGGGGCTACAGAGGCACCGCAGTGCCCTCCAGCAAGCCCCACTTCTCAAGTACCATACAGACGTACTACGAGGAGGTAAGCCCAAGGTGCTTGGTCGTTCACGTGAGTCTGTAGATGCATGCTGCTGAAGTATTAGTACTATCATCTTATATATTGTAACTTACTTTCAAAATGGTTTCTTCAGTCTCCTGTGGCATGTACGAGGGTTAAAAGAATGGGAATCAGTAGTTTAAACTATCTCGGCTCTATCACCATCATCCCACTTTATGTATACATCTAATAATATACAAGTTGCGTGTACACAACATACATAACATAATAACCATTGACGCCAAGTGTTGGCTGCTTGCCTTCGTAGCGATATGCATTAAAAAGTCCAAAACACAATATTAAAAACACTGTGCCATTTTGCCTATTGTTCAAATTGAGGACATTAACTAATTTATATATTGAATGATCCAATGGAGGCTTCATGCATGCATGAACTCTAATGCAGTGAATAATGTGTAATAGGCTTTTCGTCTCCCATACAGGGTTTAGACATGTATTCTGCTGTTGTCAGTTTATGCGACAGACTGCACACAGACCACGAACAGTACAACGTAGAAGTGACCCAAAACCTAACGTTTTTAAAGTTATTGGGATAAATGTCTCCATTAGACCGAACGAACCCAAGGGATTGAAAGTACCGAAGGTGTAGAACTTGACTAATCACTCAGTGCTTTATAATACCACATTATCCGCGTTCGAAATTAACGTCGATCCTTAGGCCCGCAGCCGACTGAAAGCCGCTCGGACCCAGAGCCTTGCTTTTCTGCAGGTCCTTATGACTGACAGCTTTTTCATCCCCAATAACTAAGAGTATTATTTTTCAGAAAATATCATTCAGTAATTTCTAGTTTTAATCTCGATCAAAAGCTGTTGTCTGAAAATGAAATGGCTATCATTTTCGAGGGAGCAATTTAGACATTTTTTAGTTGCTCGAAATGACGTATACTGTAGGTAAAATATAGGGCCTACACATTCTGATCAGGGCTCACAACCATTTGTTGTTCTGGGTCCTTAGAACCTTCAGCCTTACTGGGTTAAGAGCAAACACTGACCACATGAGAGCCGAGTCTGTATGTGTTTAAAACTTTAGGGTGCATTTTGTGCTGGAATGTTCTGAATTTTAAGCCTAGGTCGTGTGTATATCCATAAGTCATTTTTGTTAATAATATTAGAGTTTCAAGCTTTGTTTCAGTTTGATTCCTGAATTCAAACTTCAAAATATGACATACCTGACTCTGTACTTTTCGCAGATATGGACATTTTGACTTAAAGCGTTTCCGCCATATGTACATCGACTAAACGTAGAATAATTGAAACAGGATCAATTTCTATCAGTTGAAGGATTGTTACAAAGGTTCTTGGTAACCAAAGATGGCGATGTAGTGAGATTAACACATTCCATTTTGATTTCTACCTGCACTTCCATGAATCAGGAAAGGGATTACACAGTCAAAACAAGTATAATACTCAGTACGACTCTTAATGGTTGGTATTAAAAGTAATGATATAAACGTATTTCCAAATGAACGTATATCAAATTTAATATCAATTTGAACGTGTGTATTTTTTCCAGCTGAATCAAAGTCCGCGGCCAAACTCGGCTTCCAGTCAGTTACCATCCATTGCTTCCTCAACGTCTTCCGCCGAGGGAAGGTCAAGGTCACAGAAATTTTCGAAGCCGAGGCCGCTACCAAAGGAGATGCTCTTTTCAAAATGACACCATGGAAAAAGGCAAATACCACTGCACGAGTGACATTTACTATGACGTACTGTGCATTTGAAGACTTCAGTGATGGGTAGTAATCAGCCATTTAAGGAGGTGGACATTGTAGCGAAGGGTTCAGGAAGAATGTGTCTTTTGAAGAAAAAAACCCTGTTTGGTGTGTCGGATGGTGTATAATTTCAGGTTATATTAACAAAGCAGTTCTGTGATAAGCCTGTGTGGCGGACACTATTGTGATTATACCATAACAGGCATTTATGTGACGCTATACACCGATGCAAGGTCATACTCGTGTGGTTCCCTTCCCTGTGATACTATTACGTCATAGAACCACGCTCACACATTTGATCTATTCAAAACCACGTCCTAAAAACATTTAACGTCATTCAAAAGGATATTAATGTCGGACACTTCAGTGACGTTATTCAACGTGTTACCACGCCAAAAGCTACAATTCAGATATTCACTCATGATATAACTCATCGTGAATTTGACATTATTTATGTTAGTTAATTATTTAATGTCGTGTACTCGAGAACCGGCTTTTCCGTCGGACGAGGGTTCGTATGAACCACACATGGCTGCATGATTTCAGGCCCCTTTAAGAATATCCTTGCAACGACCCATCCAAATGAAGAATTGCGAAATATATATGCACATCCAGACTATGGACTCAACGACGCTAGACTAACAGACGACATTCTAAAATATACATCTACCCTAGTAACTGTTTGACACACCTTTACATTTATTGTTCAATGAACGATCAGTTAATCAATGACGACTTACATTTGTAGCCATATGTTCAAGAAAACAATTCGCATCGGCCAGTATGATGTAAATACATTAAGACGCGCTCTGACCGACGTCCTGATAACATTTTTTTAATCCAGTTGCAGTAATATTATATAAAGAAATAAAATAAATTTTCTAGAAATCAATGTTACCTTGTCACGATGTGAAAGAATATTCTACTTGACTCTATAAGGATTCTGTATGACAGGAGAAAATAAAACGAAAAACAAATACTATACAAGTAAATTACATATAATGGTATGCGTGTAAAGTAAATTTGTACGTATGTATTCATCTAAATTATTCCATGAAGGAAATTGCGTTTACGTTGAGTGTGGTCGCCAGTAAACCGCACTACTTTTCCATTGCGTACATGGCACTACACGCATCTATGGAAGCGTATTGGTGCCAGTCTTTTAAAATATTTTCATCTACATAGACAAAACTTTCTTCTACGTTGAAGATACTCACACCATGTAAGTGATACCTTCATTGATGTAGAAGACTCTTTTATTTTCTTAAGTGGAGACCAGACCCAGAATAACCCTCGAATAGTCAAGAAAATATGGTTAAGAAAGTCGATAATACGAAGATGAAAGTATTGTTTACGTAGAGGGACGGTGGGGTAGCATAAAGGGTAAAGAGTTTGCTCTTCACGTTAACGACTCGGGTTCGATTCCACACATGGGTATTATGTGTGAAGCTCATTTCTGATGTAAGTGATGTTGCTGAAATAATGCTAAAGGCTGCGTACAAGACCATACTCAGTCACTCTTCTCAGTAGATGAAAGTATTAAACTGAGGCACTACGCATCACAGTCATATTTGCTTCTAATAATCTTCTCATCCCTAAGTCTCAATATTTTAAATTTTGTATGTTGTGAATGTGTTTTCCTGAGATTCTGATATAGGAATAGATACATATACTGGTATATAGATGAATTGGAAGCATATACACACTCCCATAAAAATGCTACAATACAGTAACATCTGAGTCTTTCACTCAATCTACACACCTACACACACACACACACACACACACACACACACACACACACACACACATGGTCAGTTGATCATCCACTGGTCTATATAGAGAGTTTGAATTAATGTGCTAAACCTTTCACAAAAACATCATATATCGGCGTTTGAAGTATCGGGAAGCATGGCTACTTAGGGTTTGAACTATGTTTGGCTGTCAGACCTTAGCATGCAGTTTGTGTCCCGCCCATGCAGCAAATATTAAAACGCCCAGATCACCATGTGACTGATGTCATGATAGGTCACCACACATGCAGATAATCTTGTGTTAGGCGTAGGCAGCAATGACATCGCAACAGTTCATGTCATTATAAATGCAACAGAATGGCTGCTGTTGGTTTGGGTTTTTTTAAATATAACCAGTACTTACCAGTTAATACGCGATGTTGAAGGTATTAAGATGGGTGTAGTTGCAGTCTTAAATATATCCTGATCAAAATGCACTCAGTCCATCCATTATGAAGCTACGGTTGTCGCATTTGTTATGTCTACGACATAAACCAACCACTATTTTTGTACATAAAGTATGACCAGAAATTATTGAGAATTTTAGGAACATGTTTAATTGGATTTCTAGTATAAACAACCTTGACCAGCTATCAAGTGCTTGGTTTCATTCCAGAGAGACAACTCTGTTAATCACTTTTTCATTAGTTTGTGAAGAGTTATCCCCTTTGTTTACTTGCTAGCAGACGACATTTTCAGTGATCCTCAGTATGGATGATTTAGAGAAGAGGAAGTTGATTTTAGAGTATTATAACAAGGACATCAGATCAGCTAAAGTGATTTCAAGTAGAACAGGCATCCCTTTGTCCACTGTTTATCGTGTTTTGAAAAATATTGCAAATGGATATGGCATTGAGCACCAGGGAGGCGCAGGTAGGCCCAGACAATTGACTGTCGGTGACAGGAGACGGCTTGGTATTCTTGTTTCTAAAAACAAACGAAGGAGTTTAGAAAACTTAAGGCTGGATATGATTGATAGAGGAACTGTGGCTGTCTGTAAGGAGACAATTAGAACTGAGCTGCATGCAATGGGTTGGCAGAAAAAAACGAGGAATTCCATCACCGATCATGAAACCTGAACAAAAGGAGCGAAGGTTGAACTGGTGCTTACAGCATAGAAAGTTTAACTGGGACAATGTTATTTTCTCAGATGAAAGTTCTGTGTGGCTGTTTCCTAATACACTGAAATTCTGCACCAAACAAACTGAAAAACCTTTGTATCAGCGCCCAAAGTACAGTCCGAAATTTAACGTGTGGGGTGACATATCTGTGTTAGGGGCAACGCCCCTCTGTGTATTTGAAGGGAATATGAACAGTGAGCGGTACACAGATACCGAGGGACATTTACTTCCATCTGCTCACGTGTTCTATGGAAATTGTTGGATTTTCCAGCAGGACAATGACCCAAAACATCGTTCAAAGCATTCACAGGCCTGGTTTGGACCCAAATATGACATTATTAGTTTGACCGATATTGGGACAGCATGGACCACGACTTTCTAACTTCTTTGATCAGTAGTATGCCCCGCCGCATTGAAGCCTGCATTGCTGCCCATGGTGACTTGACAAAATACTAACTGTTCACCTGTCTTTGAATCTGGAGTTATGTTCTGCTAATATTCACATTTAATACGTGAGTAATGAGTGAAAAAAATATAAAAATTTACAGTCTTTAAATTCTCAATAATTTCTGGTTGTACTGTACAATAAAGCATTTTTATAGTCCATATCTCGTTTCTTCTTCATTGGTAATGGGAGCTGCTGCCTAACCACAATAGGCGTGTCACCGACAACGTGACAGCACCGAAGGGGCCCCCAGGTGTTTCTTGTGCTTTACCTGTTGACAAATATCACAAAAATACTCCACCGTCATATAACTGAATTATCTTTCGGTAGGGCGTTAAAAAAGAAACAAAACAAAGATCCATTAACAAATTTAGCTTTTGTTTTATATATACATGTACGTATATGTAGCTGCAAGTTTGATCGACTGAGCGAAATTACACCCGCGATGGGTTCAAATGATAAAGTTGTGTTTATTGAGGAGCAAACGTCTTCAGGAAAGCGCATTTTACGAACTCTTCGTTGGATTTAACCCCACACGTGCTCAAACAGGCTCTGAGTGAAGAGGGCCAATACCAGATTAACTCGCTGGCGAGGGCTTGCCTCTCCATCTCTATATCAATTAGCGTCATTAAGTTGATATGGATTTCTAGTATAGAGTACCTGTCTGTGTCAGGTATATGTGCTTTAGCCAATTTCTTTGGATTTGTCCCGGTCTTCATTAGTATTAATTATAGTTTCACTGATTGGTTAATTGATGGTCAGTAATATTCCCACAATATAACGTCGGGGATACCAGAAATGACCTTCACACTACTAGCTAGCCCTGTGCGGATTCGAACGAAGGTCATCGGAGTGACGATTGAACCGCCAGGCCACCCCAGCGATGCTTTAAAAAACGATTGTATGATACAATACTTCACGATATATAGGTACAGTTGACAACTCACAACGTCGTCACAGCGTTACCTACTTGACATCGCTTCGTCAACTTAGTCTACCCGATCTAATCTCACCCCACATCAATGTAATTTGTCTGTTGAAAGGGGCTTTGATGTAGTAGATTCGAGTACCATGTAATATTTGTTTTACGAATATGGTCTTCTCTACACCACAGAGCTGCAGGTAGGACGCGAAATATCCAACTGAATGAATTTACAGAAGATGAGCAATGTTGTCATTGCGTGCGTAACCGGAATGTATTGTTTTCAGAAGGAAAAAGCTTTTGTCAATATACCCTATTATTTTCAAATACTCCATTTCATTATGAAACGCAATATGTAAATAAGAGATTCTGTCCTGCAATATACAGGTGGTTTGGTACCTTAAACTTCTTTTTATTATTGAAATCACCGCCTTTAATCATGTCCCCATCACCAAACGACCATATTTGAGGACGACTTCAGTGGCCCTCTGTGTTGTAGTTGGATCTATTTCTTTTCTAACAGAATAAGTTGGTTGTTTAATATCAGTACTGAAAGAATATGCACTTACAAACCACGTTAGGTAGATGCGTCAGTAGTTCTAGAACAAATAATGTATCATTGCTATTGTTATACGTTTTTAATGGTTTTGACATACTTGTTTTAAATTAGACTTGTCGTGCACCTGCGGCTGTGCTTTTAAAATATATTGTCATATATTTTCTAGGTCAAAAGGCTTCACAATTCGTTCATTTACAACTGTTCTGCAAATATTTCCAAAACGTATTTCTAAAACCAAATACTTTTTAGTTGTGCAGTAATGATGGGTTCGGCGGCGGGTGACCTACAAATCTAACGCGCTAGATTTACCAGCTTTTGTTCGGGATAGTTGTCGGCCATCAGCTGATTATCCAGGTCGAATATTCTTATCTTTCGCGGGTTTGTGATTCAGTAGCCAATGAAATCACGGGATAACTTGTTTGACGTCACTTCCGACTTTAGGAACGGCACGCCCACTGCACGCGGTGTGGAATGAAACATTGCAGTGGCGTTTGTTAGACGTGAGTGTGTAGACCTGAAAGTCACACGAGACAAAACAAGTCAGCATATCTCCGGAACGAGTAATTTCATAAGGGGAACATTACATTCGAGGTGAGGTTACCATCTTCGCCGTAGCTGATCGTCATAAGGTGAAATTGTCGGGAACAAGCTGTGTTCAAACAAAGAGGGCGTGTGATCTTACAAGACCAGCTGATTTTATGTGACCTTTCAAGACATCAAAATGACACTCTTGCAGCATAAAGACTGTCGCGATTATGACACAAACCTGGCGGCAGAATGCCTTGTCGCAATGTCAAATTCATGTTTTAACCCTCGATCAGACGACACAGCAGCTGTGTCAGTTGAATGTGAGGAGAGAGTTGCCACAACAACGGACACTTCGAGAAGTCAACCGGAGTCTTTGTTCATGTTGGCCAGAATTCTGGCTGATTTGAGTAAATTCAAGCAAGACCCAATTGACAATGATTACGATAGTGACGAACTTTGTAGAATTAACTCCAGTAATCATCACAACACATTTGACATTTGTCAGAATGTTTCCGCGCAGCGTAAACGAGTGCGACGGCGAAGAGCTAACTCGACCACGCCTACTTTGAGTGGAAGTGACTGGGAGGGGAAGAAAGGAGACCAACTTGGCAAAGACATGTCAGCAGCAGTTAAGAAGCTTCACAAATGTCACTATCTGGGATGTGAGAAAGTGTATGGCAAAAGTTCCCATCTCAAGGCCCATCTTAGAACCCATACAGGTAAGAATGTACAGCGGTTATCCTCGCAGTGTGTTGCGCGCCATTGTTTGTTGTCGACCGCATGGCGAGGTAAACACAGGCCAACGCCTTCTTTCAAAACTCGAGTTTCCTAGTAGTTGTAAGGATAACAGTCGGTCTGACAAACATTTATCATTTGTGATAACTATTTTATTTAATAATTACGAGTTTAATGTGTGTTATTCTGTTTTATTTATGGAAAATAAACGTTCCCGCCCAGTGAAAATTACGTCAGTTCATCTTTAGTTTGTTGGGGCTTAAAATAGAACAGATGTAATCGGATCGATTGGCTATTCGAGTAGCTTATTTATTTCAAATACTGACAGCTCATCATTCATGTTGACGTATGATTGTATTCTGTGTGTTGGAAACGTTTTGCATTGTATGTCAAGTTGTGGGAACACAGTCGCACCCATTCCTTTGTCCCAATAATTCTGTGCTAAATAGGTCAGAGGCCATGTGCTCACTCCCATGCGAACTCACAGGTTTAGCAAAGTGCTTGCAATCTCAACAAGAACCCCACTAAACAGTCACACCCATTTAACTTTCAGATTCACTGAGTTACTCAATTTGTGATATTAAACTCGAAAACATTACCGATATTGTCAGCTTGTTTTCCATAATTGATCATGCCCAGTTTATGGGTAGGTTCATGGAAAGAAGGAAACTAATATAGCTGGCCCAAGAGAACACTTGAAACAATTGTATAGATCTACAGTGTGACAAGAATTTTGGTAAGAGTTCCTCGCGTTCCCCTTCCCAAATAACATTTATAAATATACTAAAATTGTTTACAAAACTTAACACAACAATAACCAGAGAACTCAATGACTAAAAGTCCAAAATTTAAGTTAGGTTTAGGGTTGGGGGGACGGAAGGAACTCTTTCCCTCATATATGTGATGTCAATGTCAAATTGAAGTTTACAGTCTGAGTGTAACCCTGTTGTTTTTATCAAGATCTACCAACTTTTGTTTGTCATGTTTTTTTAAATTGATATGAACTTCAATTAAACATCTGGAAGTGGAAGGGGCTTTTACTTTGAAATGTATCATGACAAATATTGCCACTTCTAATGTTTAAAAGTAATACCAAATACTCCTATTTGCCCATGCTCCCCACTATGATTACATGCTACTATTCTGTATTTGGCTATGCTGAATCTTACCAGTATATTGTGAGGAGTGGTTCAAACAATGGCTAGTGTGAAACCAGCATGTCAACAGTCAGTCTCCATGGATACCAATTATTCATGCTCTCTTATATTTTGAGAATATTTTCTGAACTTAGGAAAAGTCTATACCTTTATCCATTGGTAAGGTATTTTATGATTGGATTATTTTCTTCAATGGCTAACATTTACTGCCCCTAACAGAACTGAATCATTTTCATGCGATTCAAATTCCCTGTCTTTTTTTCCTTCTTCAACTGCTTTGAAAGTCAAAACTGCACTTGATCTCATTTCAACGTTTGCTAAAATGAGCTGTTGAACCACCCCGATATGTCTGTCTCTGAACCATTTCCTTCAAGCTGTTGAACATTGCCTGTGGTCACTGAAGCATTGCAACTGAGAATGTTTGAGTTTTTGTCTGGGCTGATAACGGCAGGTGTTTTTAGGTGTGACGTCTTTGTGGGGTTTTGTGTAGGTCGGGTCGTGTGCAGGCCACGTGCCATCTGTCCCGCCTCGTGCCCGCCATCCCGCTCAACCAATATAATAACTTAGCTATGATGTCCCCCTCTACACCTGTATTCAAATGAGGTGTGTAGGTAAGCCTCCTTCAGTCCTTTGTGTGGAGATGTGCCACTACGTTGCCCATGGTTTTGGCTCGTGGCCTGTCGAACAAAGCCAACTTCTCTCCCCTGCTCCCTGTCCTCTCACTGATCACTTTCATTTGTCTTCCCTAAAACTTTGTTTGAATTGTCTCGGTAGGAGTAACTGTGTCGTTTACCTTTAGGGCAGGTCGAAGGACTTGCGGCTGCTACCAACCACATCACCTGTCTTTAACATCCTGAACTTTGCCTTATCAGCGACTTGCTCAGTACTTGAAAACTTTTAAAAATATTCTTTTTAAAAAATGGGTAAACAGTTGTGCAGGCTGAACTGGTTAGGTTTGTTTAACTCATGCTGACCTACTTTTATTTCTTTCTAAACAGTCTTAGCTAAATGGTGATGAAATAATTAGTGTTGTGGAGGACATTTTAAAGCTGTGATCCCAGCATGATTTTGTTGTGTATGTAGCATGGCAACGCCCAGAATTTTAAAAAGAAAATATGTCTAGCGTACCAGTGATTAACATACTGCCCAGATTTTGAAATGTCACATATTTTAATTTCTATCAGTTAGTTTGATTGTAGCATATTTTTGCACAGAAGAAATAGGACAGTGCTTGTTTAATAATCCGAATACTTTACCTTTCTGTGAAACTTATCCTTACAAAGAATGCTTAATTACAAGTTTGTGCTAGACTTAATGAGCTTCAATTGTCAAGTCCCAAGCTGATTTTTATCTGTGTTTGAATCATGTAGGCATTGAAGCATGTAAATCCCCCAGTGGAACCTGTGATTTCAGGTGGGCTTGCTTACCAGATTAATTACTGTCTCATGGCTGCTGACAATAGGACCTAATTATCTCTGATTTAAATATCTATGAATATGACTTACAAGGTCTGTTTCACTTTCAGCCCTTTATACAAGAGAGAACCACTTTGCAAATTACACACTGCAGGAATATGGTTTCAGTACAGTGACACTTTGTTTGGGTGGTTAAATTAATCAGTTGATTTGAATAATAAATTTGTTCAGAAAAGGTAAACAAATAATTTGAAATACGGTCTTATTTCCAGACAAATATTTCGAGACACCCGTATTTTACTACTAAAACAAAGACAGTTGCACTTTCTTGTCAGAATAATTTAAAGCAACATTTCAGGATGTTGTGAGTGTATTGTCTTCTAACCATGTATTTATTCCTGTAAATGATAGGAATGGTCACGAGATATGTGTCCTACATATTATTTTGGCAATAGAACACAGCAGTGTTGTACAAGGAACTGTTTCACATCAATTACGTTTTGTTACATATATTTTGAAAGGTTCTGTTCTTAAGAATTTGTTGTTGAAGGCTACACTTGTCTCTTGACACTGTACATATGTTTTGTTTTTCTTTTCAAATTTATTGTTTAACATAAGTTTTAACCAAGAATGTATATGAAGAAGAAGAAGAAAAATAATTTATTTAAGTGTCAAGCGATGCAAGCATTAAACACAATATAAAATACCATGTAAAACATGGCCCGGCCAACTTGGGCCTATTTGACACTAATTGTCTTAAAATGTACATATAAAAGCACCACATGGTGCTAAAAGGTAATAATAAAAGTAAGCGATTGTGATTGAGCTTGCATTAAAATACAAACAGAATTTTTTTATTAAAAAAAACACGTTTTAGGACACATTTTGAGTGAGTCTAAATCTAAACATATTTTTAATTAAAGCGGCGACGGAGTGGTTAAGGTTTGGGTGTTTCATTAAAAACAGGAGTTGTTCCTTCGCAGACAGGTGGGGGAAATTTTGATCTAAAGACGAGGCGCGATTCAAAAGCGGGCTTCATACGGCTGAATATAAACTGCATGTTGTCAGAAAATGAACGTCTTCAATAACCTTAGCATTACAAAACTTGCATAGGCGATTCTCAAGGGGGATTTTAGGTTTTGTGAAACGACCAGTCTCGATTTCTAAGGGGAGTGTGCCACTTCTAAATTTTGCTAAATAGCTACAGGCGACTCTGTCATGTGATTTCACATAGTCTGAAGTACAAAAAGCAGTTTTATAGAGACGGTACGTCCTTAACTTATTCCCATTAACTTGTCCCCTGTCGTCCCGGAGTTTTAAAAGCCAATTATTTGTATCGATATCTATAAGTTTACATTTTAAAACGTCAAACTGAGAAGTCAAAGATAAATTAAGACTTTCAAATAGCTTCACAACTATACAGTCCCATGATTTAGGCACCGACAGGGACCATCTGTGAATAAGAAAAGGTAATCTATTTTCACTAACAAGGCATATTCTCTTATAAAAAAGGAGCAATTTTGATGCTGTGTTTTGCTGCATTAGATATCCACCCCATATCTCCATATCATATGTACTGGTGCCGCTAATATTGGTGCAAGTTAGCTGATGTAGTATTGAGAAATATTCAATCCATCACTCACAACATAGCAGTTCAGACAAGGAAGCTTTATAGACAAATATATATCATGCATTTTATCCCGGTTTGTGAGATGTATTTATGTCAATCTTGCCTATTGTTCACTGGGTGCAGAAATTACAGTTCCTGTTCCCATTCCTAACTTAAAGATGGAGTTTTAACACATTCAGTCACATTAACCAGTTTTTAGAGGTTTGAGAATGTTATTCATATTGATTATTAGCTTCACGATGCACACAGAATTACTCTCCTGTTATCACAATTAAGTTTGACTGAGGATTTGAGCAGCTACATCCACTGAATGTCAGCAGTTATCTGGTATCCCCACACCTTCCTGTAGGGCACCTTCCATACTCCCGCCTCCACACTGTCAGCTGTGCTTAGGAGCCTCCACTGTACATGATAGCTGTCTGTCACACTGATCTGTGTGGCCCAGCTGATATGTGTACAAGCAGTTACTGTGCTGCCTCCTTGTGGCGCTTGCTTGACCCTGGGTCACCAACTGCTGCTACTGAGCTGAGAGCAATGTGTCACTAATGACTAACTTACCCTAGTTGTACAGGGCTTGTGTACCACTCAAAGGAAGTGTAGGAATGCACACTAGCTTATGTGTGATGTCTTGACAGATTAACAATTATACTGATTTCTAATCTCTGAAATGAACATATTTTACCAAGAAACAAAAGTTAAATTATCTCAGTTAAATATAATGAAAAGGAGCCTAGAGACTTGGTTCATATTTCGGAACTGCTGTAATCTGAAGTTGTTGAATATATAAAACTTGTATTTGCGGTATTGGATATACTTGTTTCAGTGTCTGTGTAGCAGATCTGTTACAAATAGTCATTTGGCAATATTGGTTGTTTGTCAACTGTTTTTGAGAACTACATGCTGTTTTATTCTGAAAGATATATGTCTATCCATGCATCCTGGAACGTATTATTTACAAATTGTTAACATGTTAATTTTCTTTTGTTTTATGGAGATAGCTTTCATGTTTATCTGAATTTAGTGAAACATGTTAGTTCTTCAGACATGAGATTTTTGTCTGCCTCTGTAATGAATATTTTTAAGGATGTATGCTAATTAAACAACATCTTATTTTAGTTATAGTTTCAAATTAATTCAAAACAATACCTGGCCAAACTTCTCTAAGATTGAAATAATACTTAACACATGTATTGAATATGTTTCCGTTTTGAATATAATATTTAATTAAGGCCTGTTCAGTCTGTCCGAACACCGTGGCTGCACACTGCGTCTTTGTCAAACACTCAGTGGTTACCTTACCTATAGATGAAAGTATTCACCTGTCCAAGAAGGCGTTGTTTCATCTGTTACCAAGATTGTATGTCTACAGGCACCAACAGTGCTTTGTACTTATTATTACAAAGATCCATTCTACTTTTTCCACTACATTTAACAGTATTATTCTTTAATACATCAACTGTGGAACATATGGTCAGATGAGGAATATTATTATTGATTTTTATTGTGCATGGCTTTTGGCTCCAATAAATAAATCTGCTGATAGAAATAGTAATATGTTTAGCAGGAATAGCCTGGCCTTGGGGTTTGTAACATGTTATATGCATTTTTATGAAGTCTTCATGTACTAAATGCATCACACAGGGCTAATAAACACATCAAATATAGCCAATCACTTTGTATAGATGTTCAGCTAGTACTAGTGTCCTGTACATTGATTAGGTCCAGTGTATGTATAGGTATGTTTTGAAAAGTCACAAGTCAACAGCTGCCTTTATAAACTTTGGGTGATTTTACATCTGAATGGTTTTATTTGCATTATTGTCATATGTGTCCTGTTACTTCGAAAGTGACAGTACACATATTTAAAGGTGAGATGTAACCATAATCTGTTGAACCAATGCTGTCATGTCTTCCTACAAATTAATGTTGTCCAAATTCTTATTAGCATCTTAAGGAGTTGGGTTAAATGTGAAACTGTTCATGGGACATCATTGTACTCAAATATTTGTCTTCACACAGTGAAGGTGTAGAGTGCAATTGCCAATTTGTATCCATGGCTTTTTGAGAGGACTTGTCTAATGATTCACGTACTGTTGGCCTGAATCAGATTGTGTGATGTTTCTTCAGGCTCTTTGAAATACTTAACCACTTACCTCTTCACCTCATGTGATAAAACATCAGCTTGTTAAATAATCAACTTGTAATTATGTGACATTTTACAGAATCTAACAGGAAAAAGCTTTATGTACCCATTGCATCAGGGTGATTAATCTGTGTGTTTATCCACAGGTGAACGACCATTCCCATGTACTTGGTATGGATGTGAGAAACGCTTTGCCCGATCTGATGAACTTGCACGACACATACGCACTCACACAGGTAAGCCAGCTTTCTGTATTCTCAATACTGGATTTACATTTCAAACAAATCTGAATTAACTCAATATTCTTTAGCTGTGTTGTGTTCATTATCTTATGGATGCTTAGATCTGTTGATGTCCTTATATTTTGGAAGCCACAAGTCCATTTAGAAGAGTATTAAACAGCTAGTAATAGGTCAAACATGGTGAATCAAATACAGTCAGGCTAAAATATGCCAAGGGAAAACTAGGGTAAGGTAAAACTGAAGTTAAGTCAATGGAAAATTGTATATGAAAACTGATGCTTTTAAGCTGTTCAGCTGTTGCTAGTGGATTTATGCTGTATCTGTTAGAATGTAAGACTTTAAGCCTTATGGTATAACTGTGGAAACAGATGGGGATAACTCAGCTGCTATCACCGACCAGGGTGGGGCTGTGGATATGAATCCCGTTCTATAAATAGTCAAATCCAAGCCACCTACCTTTCTCTTTGCTCCACAGCCTAGATATCTGCAGCATGTCAGTTTAGAGACTTCTTGTTTTGGGTTTGATCAAACTGGTGAATTTCTATGTGTTGTTTTGCATAAATCCTAGAATGTTTCACTTTGTTTTGCTGCATGTTTACCGGAGACGTCAGAATTGTTTCTGATTGTATGGTGCTTTTTTTATTATTTTTTAGGTGAAAAGAAGTTCTCATGTCCAATCTGTGAAAAACGCTTTATGCGTAGTGATCATTTGAACAAACATGCTCGACGCCACCCTGAGTTTGAACCTGGAATGCTCAAGAAACGACCACAGCCTAAAATAGATATCAACAGTGATGGAATATCTGACCGGTCCAGTCCTGGGGCATCACCGTAATTGTCTCCCCCCTCCAAGACATGAAGCCTCTTAGGAACGGCCAGCATGGACAATGTCACTACACTGAGATCTTACTGTTAGGCTAACCCATCAGAAAGGGTTGAAAACTTAAACAGTTTCAGATAACATGAAGATGTAACATCCTTGTCAGAAAGATCACATCCAGTCTTTATGTGTACTTAATGTGTGTCTGACTATCATGAGTCAATGACTTGGCTGAAGTTGTCCCTATGTGGAGCCACCTCTCTATAGTGCTAGCTCGTGTGCTGTGTTCATCCCACAAAGTGTGCCTTCACACATCAGCACTGTATCCTGGTGTAGGTCATGACTCAAACATCCAGGGTCTCCTGTATTGCCATCACAACACTTTGCAGGCAAATATTCATCAGCTGATATCAGTAAACTAGATTTTGCATTCATGGTACCGAGCCTAAAATAATCAAATGAGATGGAGTTTCACATAACATAGGTGTGCAAATTCATTGATTTGATACCTTAAAAAAGGAGAAGATTTATTTTATACTGATTCAGCATCCAGACTCCTGAGAGTTACTTTTATTTAGTCATTAGTGTAACAGAAACGTCAACCAGTTGAAGACACTTTGGAATTTCATATATTTTCAAATCAAAAATGTTCATTTTTCACTTGTTTATGTTAATTGTTATTTTTGAGTCTTCTGATAACTGTTATTAATGTCACAGCGTTTGGAAAATAACATATGATTGATAGAAGTTATGCATTATCTTCCATTCACTTCCTAGGTGGTAGTAACTGCGTTGAGATGACAGACTGCAAACATACTGTTGAACTGATGGTGAAGTTATGAGTGTAAAGTGTACATAAGAACCTATATCCTATATTTGCTTTCATATCCTATGTGTGATGATCCATGTTTGTGATGATTTGTGGTGTTTGTTGCATATTATTTGTTGTACATATATCAAAGTTGGCAAACTGCAAGCCTGGTACAATATTTCATACTTTCAACTAGTTTTTACCAGGAATGGAATGGCTGATGGTTTTTTTTGTGAACCAAGGAAATGGTGCTTTTGAAATTCATTGGATCTGAATTTGTTTTAATGAAACATGAATGTTCCGTGAAAAAATGACATTCATTAAAAATAATTTCTCCTGCTGGGAGTATTTCATTCATTCATGTGTAAAGGATGGTTCACTTTTCATCTTTATTTGTTGTTACATGTCTTTCAAAGTATTCCAACGAAATCCAAGTGAAAATGCTGGAGACGCATAGAATAACTTACTTGGTCAAAGGGAGGTAACTCCTTTGTTTTGGGAGCATCCCCCCCATTTGTTTTCCTTCTCCTGAACTTCATGCAGTTATCGTTCATGAAAATTAATTTGCTTTACGTATGAATGATTTTCTGCAAAATGTATTTGAAGACTCAAACCATAAGGTAAGCATGTGGTGTTCATGAAATGTTAATATGATGAAAAATAGCTTGAGATAAATATATTGTTTAAAATGTTAAAGAATTTATTTAGAGTTTATCACAAAGTTGAGACTACTTCCATGATTAAGTCTTTCTGTCTTAAAATGTATATATTGAAGTGTTACATTGAAGTGGTGTTTTGTTAAATGTCAACAATAAATATCTTGCACTGAACTAAATCTAAGGATGAAGTCATAGAATTTGATGTGTCTTTTTTTCAAGATAACTTGTGAGTGACCATATGTTTCAGTACAGAAGTTTGTAATTTGTCAGTCAGGGTAGTAGGTGATATATATGAATCATAGGGCCATAGTTGAAAAAAGATCTGTTTCCTTATTCCTTATCCTATATATTTGATAATTCGAGTACAGCCATTTGATCCAAGAAAAGGAAAATATTTGATTTAAACATGATTGTTGTGTTTGTCAGTCCTTCCATTAGAATGATAAAGAGTGATTGAGATTTTGACTCTGAAGATAATTATTGGTGTTGCTCCTTTTCCTAAGGCTGATTAGACTTATTTTCAATTTTGCACTTGCAATTGTGCACTGATAACACCTGCTGTTCTGTACATGTTGAATTATCTATTATATTGTTACCAACAGTATGGCGCTGTGTGTCTGCTATAGCTGACACATATATACATGACTATTGTTGCATGTCATGACATTCCTTCTGATCTCCATGTCGACCATCTGGCACCACTGTCAGGCTGTCGCTTCCATCTTCTGCAGACATCTTCACTCCAGCAGAAAGACATGCATTCATCAAGACTCACACATATGCATTCATCATAGGACATATGTATCTGATGCCACAGCTTTCATACTGTATATTTTAGCAGAAACTGAAGTGATATTTTCATTTTAGTTCTTCATAGTCATTTTCAAGTATATTTTAGACATCAGTTTTGTCCTCTACTATTTTCTGTGTATACTGCTATTTCTGTTACTTTTCCTCCCCTCAGTACCTACTGTTTAATTTATGTTCATATTTCTTTCATTGGGACAGTCTCCCTCAACCTGTAATCACACAATTGTTTCATGAATATCCCGAAGCCTATGCTCCTTGTCTATGAAAGATGATCTTGCCTACATGTTTACTGACATTTGTTAAACAACTGACTGGTCCTGTGGCAATGTGATTTACACATCAAATGCTTTGACAGTGTTTATTTTATTTGGACCCAACAGATAGTTGAAAACATTAACACTTGTTGATAACAAAAATCTCAATGGATCTCAAATATTGGAATTTGTGATTCTTCACAGCTGACTATCGAAAACTGTTTATTACACATCTTTAGAACGGGTAAATGTTTGCTTTGTTTTAAGTGAATTCATCCGCATTGCTTATTTTAACGTCCATAAAAATTCATTCCTGATTTTCAACTTAGTTGAAATTTCATATGCATGTTTTATGCCGTCACAATCTCCATACAGATCATTGTCACTTTTAGTTTTAATCCAGTCCGATGTTTCCACCCATTTCATTTGCTTGTATAATCTGAATAGTGTTGATATTGTAATTACTGTGTGTATTTCAGTTTGAGTTGTATACAGTACTGTACAAGTTTGATGTTTTAGTTGACATGGGAAGATACGTATGCACTGGACTGTTAGTTCTAGAGCAACCAAGATATTGGCTTTATTGTCCAGTATAGCAGATATGCACTTATCAGATTAATAACATCAAGGATTGATAAGGAAGTACCCAGATAACCCTTTCAACTCCCAGTGAAATATATTTTAGAGGGAGGTGTAATACAAAACTTACAAAGCCACATTTCTGATGTTTGTATACTTTTTTGCAGAGTGTGTTAACAATGTAGGTACAAAGCTTGCTCATTGTATTCATAAGTTATTGTATATGAAAACTTGCCAAAGAAGGAATCTGTACTCAGTAGCAAGACTAACTTATTTATTGCATGGTTGTAAATGACAGGCAGTTATTTCTACAATTATTTACCTTGTGAATATAATTTGATATCTTTTCAAGCAGTTTGATATGCAAGATATATATTCTGCTGTTAATATTTGCTTCAGCAGTTACACTGATACAGGAATCTTCATGTTGGTAAGTTGTCACTTTGATGGATTGTGATTACTACTCAGGATATTTAATTGAATATTTATTGATATCTTTCAGTTAATGATGAAGAGATTTGAGCTTTGTCATTAATATATCTTGGTTCTTACAGATAGTGTTGAAAGTATTCGTTTAATGGTTTAAATATTGTGGAAATAATCAACCTGATTCAGTTTGGAGGAAAGATAACAGTGTGTGCCAGGGAGTCATGAATATTACTAAAGGTTATGACAAAACATACAATGTCATTTTCAATTGGTTTCAAACAGACACCTTCGTGTCTCCCCCTGGTATTGTGTGTAAGTGGACACATGAGGACAGTTGACCTGTGTCACAGTGCTAGATATCTGGGCAGTTGGATCCCAGTGAATGGAAGGAGTGTAGTACCTGTCTGTTAAAGGTAAAATAAACATTGTATATCTACACCACCATGTTTTTTCTTGTCTTTTACAAATTTATGGGTTTCCCTGTAGTGCTTCAACTTTCATATTGCATCCCCTTGTCCCTCTGCTGAGACCCTGCAGAGTCTCAGATTTATTCCATTATGATCATGGGTTCTTAGGCATTATAATTGTGCTGGTGTTTTCACCAGAGTGATTGCCTGCTATGGACTTTCCTCCAACATGGTGAAAGAAACTTATTGAACTGGTCCTCTGCTATCTGGCAGCCTCAGTGGTCCAGTGGATGGAGCATCAGTCGGGAGGTGACCGTCAGTAGTTCAAGTCCAGGCTGCATCATATGGTACTGTGACTGTACCAGTTGCTGGACATTAAGTGGATAAAGCATAGCCTGGAGTCAGTATATTGTATGTAAATATGCATTACAAGCTCAGAATTGTATTTTCAAATAATGTACTCAGACTGACAAATAGTAACTAACAAAATAGGTCACTCGTTAATTAACACTTAACACTTGTGACTTATTTTTGGTACCCGCTAGTAACTTGTCATCTAATGGATACCCACGTGTCATTACAACACACACACACACACACACACACACACACACACACACACACACACACTGAGCTCAACGTACTCTTTCATCAGGCCTCAGTGGAAGCAATAAAGGGACACACACATTTGCATACTCCTCCACGCTATTAAAAAGTAATCTCGAGATACGTTAAACTCCATGCCACCTCTCCCATAACTATTTCTAAATAGGTTTATTTTAACCCTAAAACGTATTTTCCCTTTGACAGCATATGTATATAGTACTGATGTTTGTGAACTATGCATTGAATTTTATTCCTGTGTAAATCCATATTTTATAATTGAAAGTTCTGGGGATTGTCTTTGAAATGCATGACATGTTATTTAGCAATGTTGACGTTACACAGCTAATGAAATTAGGTTGACATGGAACCAGCATAACATTTTCTGACATGTAACACTATTACAAGAACTGCGCACGTGGTAGCATTCCGCAAGCAAGTCCATATGACCTAACACGTGTACAAACATACACGTGCTACTACATCCAGCACGTGTGTCATTGCACACAAGACGCTACAGGCAGACAGGCGGAGTCTGGCTGCATAAGATTGAGGGTTAAAGGACTGTAGGCGTAATAACTCTATGAAGAGGCAATTTGTCTAAATATATCTTTCTAACACGATAAGAAGTTCTTTTTTTTCCAGAATGTTGGAATCAGCAATTGAAACCTATGACGGAAGAACATTATGGTGCGTCAGACCACAGCTAGTTACATGTGTAAGGTACTACAGTCTCAGTCAAATGGATGCCTGTAAACATCGGGAAAATATATTTATTCATTTGGCAGTGAATAATTACGCTAGTTATGTCACAGCCCCAAAACATCTCTGTACAAACGAGCTAGGTTTGGAGCCCGGTTTCCTAATGCAGGAAACCATGTTGGGTAGAATGTATTCATCATATCACCCATGTGTTTGTAAATCATTGCACACAATTAAACGTCACTGTTGAAAAGACCTACCGTAAACCCACACATAGATACCAATGCATAGATGGGTATCATGTTTGAACCACATTTCTCGTGTCCCCCGCCGTGATAATGATGGAATATTGCTAATAGTGACGTAAGACCACACTCGCTCACTTTTAAAAGGGCAACATCGCGTGGTAACAGAAGACACATGCCCCAAAAGAGGGCTGGTTGAAGAAAACGAAATGTCAGTATTATAGTCCGTGTGGCTCAAAAGCGGACCGATGAATTGCAATCTAACTCGAAAACTAATAAACTTAAAATACTCAATGAAACGCTGATCATAATCAAAACATCAGACCAACTCTCTGATTTGTTTGCAGAATTTATCTTCTAAAATAAAAAAAGTTGTTTAACACTTATCATTAAAAGTTCACTATTTGTTACACGGGTGGTCAGGCTCGCTGGCTTGGTTGACACATGTCATTGGTTCCCAGTTGCGCAGATCGATGCTCATGCTGTTCATCACTGGATTGTCTGTTCCAGATTATTATTTACAGGCCGCCGCCATATAGATGCAATATTGCTGAGTGTGGCGTAAAACTAAACTCACTCACTCACTCACTAACTATTTGTTGGAACGTCGTCATATGAGCGAAATATTCTCAAGCACGACGTTAAACCCAATTCCACCACCCCCACTATTTGTTGAACCGCCTCCGTGGTGTAGTGGTTAGAGCGTCCGCCCGGAGAGCGGAAGGTCGCGGGTTCGATCCCCGACCGCGTCATACCAAAAGACGTTAAAATATGGTATTTGTTGGTCCCTGCCTGGCGCTCGGCATTAATGGGTACAATAAGGACTGGTCGGTTCTGAGTAAGTATTATGTGTCTGAGTGGGGTATTCATGCTTCACTGCGGCATGGTATCTCAGTGGGCTAGCTCTATATACATGTACCAGCTTCAGTCTGGGCTAGTACAAGCAGCCGCACATACACATACACACGTATGCACGTCGTCATATGAGCGAAATATTTTCAAGCACGACGTTAAACCCAATTTCACCTCACCTCACCCCACTATTTGTTACGAGGGAGGAGTGCAGAGAAAGGGGACAGCCCGGTGTTAGAGAAGCGAGTGCCGACAACGTTATTGATTCATAAACCTGTGCTGTTCCGTCTCCATCCTTTCTCGCACACCTGGCTGTCCCTTTCTCTGCACTCCTCCCTCGTAACAAATAGTGAACTGTGTCGATATTTTAATGATAGTTTGTTAAACAACTTTTTTATTTTTAGGACATAAATTCTGCAAAAACCTCACAGAGTTGGTCTGAGGTTTTGATTATGATCAGTGTTTCATTGAGTATTTTATGTTTATTAGTTTTCGAGTTAGATTGCAATTCATTGGTCCGCTTTTGAGTCAAACGGGCTATAGTTGTGACCACCATCTGTGTTGAAAGAGACAGCGTCGGTGCATCTAAGACATAAGATGACTGAATACGGCCCGGGAGGTTGTTCCAAATGTGGACCAAAGATTGTGGTCATGTCGCTCCATCTCATCCCAAGTTATGTTCTATTGGAAAGAGGTACGGAGAAACAGCATGTCAGTGAAGCTATGTTATATATATGCATCTCTGAAGTACGTGCACCATGTGGCCGGACATGTTTCAGCTGCAACGCGACGTTATGACCCTGTATCTACACAGAAGGTGGAACAACACCTCCAACGATGTTGTAGTGTTATCAACTGTCTGAGTAACAAAAGAGTCGCTTAAACTTCCCACTGTAAACCCTTGCATGATAACCAGAGCTGTTCAGATGAGACCTGGAAGGTCGCAGTTTTGTCTTTCGAACCTAAAATACTGCCTACACAAAGTTTGGCACGTGATAATGGGTGTATCGTTGGATGTTGACGTTGACCATATACTCTGTATTCTTCACACCATTGACGTCGCAGCCGACGATGCTGATAAGTTAAAATGACGCATCGAACTGGCCGTCTCGGGCGAATACCTGCGACACGTGTATGGTTCCTCGCTATCTGTGCTGATATAATACGCAATCCTGGAATTGCTGTAGTTTTAGAGGTGGCCGTGGTGAGCCTATCAGGGTCACGATGGCGCCTCAAATACGATCGGTCACCTGAATGGTGTTCAAGCTAATCATTCCAAGTTAATATTAGGTTTTCCTTGTTTATTGTACGTCTCATTGCTTGTATTTGCCCCTAGTTCACAGCCGTTCTATCAAATTAGTAAAATGATCATGTAATATAGCTTTTGCCTTTTAAGGTGCAGGACAGCGCCTTTTGGCATTTATCCAAAGACCTGGTATACCCAATAAACAAGCCAAACAGACAATGGGACGTGGACAGAGGATTATTTACTCCGTGTGAAACACGATTGGCACGTAGCGCAAATTCTTTATCCACTTTACAAGTATCATTTGATGCAGTTACTACATCATTCAGAAGTCTTACTTTCGTTGAACAGGATCGTGAACTAGGTCCCCTCGACGTTCCATTCAGTAGTTCGATTACATCATTGGTCTTGTAGTTTGGTAGCACATCACCCAGTACACAACTCCGTCGTCGGTAATGTTGCAGTCTGCAACCATGGATCTCATTCTAGCCTCTATAGTCTGTCTCACAGTCCCTGAACCACATTATTTTCCCTAATGCCAAGCACTCTCTGCAGTGCTATAGCCCTAAATAAAGCAAGTCTAGATTTCCTCAGGTTCTGAATCTCTGGTCTCCCTAGGGCTCCTTTTCAATTTAAATGGGCTTGTTTGTTACTATCAAAATTATATATATTCAGAGACTAAGCCATAGTCTATAGCCTCTAGTGAAGCGTCGGTTGTAGTTAGCAGTTTGGCACAAATCCGTGATGATGACATTATATAGGAACAGTTGTTCAAAGAAGTCTTAGATTTGTTATGATGCAAACGTGATGTAGCTCCAACTATGCCAAGGTGCTGAACGACAAACAATGCGTTATACTGCCCCTGGATCCACACAAGATAAACGCTGCATTATTCTCATGCTTGATTATCTGTCCCAGTCATTAAACAGAGATTGATGTGTCCCAGTGGTCGTGTTGAAGCATAATATACGACACCATGTTCATTGCATAACCAAACAGATTAAATAGGGAGCAGAGTAATTCAACCGTTAGTGGAACTACAGCAAAATACACCTGAGCAACAACCTGTTTAAATCAGAAGTTGGACAGACGTCGCTGCAGATACGAAGCCATCCTTCTCTGATTAGAAACACTGGATCTTTGTCCAAATATTCATGTTGCGGTCTAAACTCTTATCACGATGCCTGTATCTTCTGCTACTGCTGAGCAATAGTTTAGCACCATGAGACATGTGAAACCCTATCTCAGGTCAACAATGGTAACTAAGCGGCTCAGTGCACAAGCACATCTTCTTATCCACCGAGGTTGACTTTGATCACGTTGTTCAGAGCTTTTCACAAGGGCAAAACAGGACATTTGCACTACTCTTTTAGTAACATCGCGAGATTTATTGCCCTGGCTTGAGAGTTGTTAGGAAATGTAACTGGCATCATTCTTTGAGATGTCGTTTTTAGAATCCGCTTGTTTCGTTTGCCAATTTTGTAATTTTACTATTGTCGTAATGGGTTTTTCTAATTTTAATTTCTGTTCTGTTCTCGGTGAAAGGTTTTAAGAATGTGTTTTATTGTATATAGTTCAAAGTATTACTGTCTGTTAAGTGCAAATATTTCAAATAATTCAGCTTAGTTAAACTTCACCGTATTGATCTTTTCCAGCATTTATGTGAATACAGTTATTTTTTTCCCCAGCTACGCACCTGCTTAACATTGGAATATCTGGTATAAGAAAATGTAAACATGAACTGCGTAACTGTTCCCGGGTGTTCATGTCTTGAAGATGAATATTCTAAATCTTGGCAGTTTGATGTCAACTTATTTAATAACATTTTTACTTCAAAAACACTTCCACAAAATTGTACATGCTGGCTTTCACATCCTCACATATTGGTATGTCGACAAACCTGTACACTTAGTCTAAGCATTGTAGATATAAAGAATGATTGATTTTCTCTATGAGTTCAGCCTCCGTGCTACTTCCTAGTCTAGTCTATAGAGCCTCCGAAGGTGTGTGGTTCCAAACCCGACTGCAGTGCCTTGCCAAAAGACGGGAAAGGTGGTCTGTAAAATTTGGTCGCTTCCATGTCTGTTTATTGCGTCTCCGTGGGGTATTTTTTACACTTCGGAGTGGTATCTCATTGTGCTAACTTGATAAAGCCATCATTAACCCCATAGCATTCTCACTGAATCGGGGTATTTAAAGTACGATTTAACTTCACCACACGAGCCAGATCTGTAAATGTTCATTAACTTCAATTCCGAACAAATATATTTTAAATAATAAGATATTAAGCAAACACCGTGAAAAGGTTTTTGAGAATCTAAACATACATATTAAAGTTAATTATTTCCTAGGCAGAACATATTTTGCTAGTAGCACTAATTGAATGTATTTGTAAACTGTTTTTAGGGTTATTCTAAACTTAATGTATGAAAATATTTAGTCAGACCAGATCATTTGTCTTTAAATAATTGAAACTTTATTTCATTGAACGAGATGCGATGTGTTCAAATTTCACAAGAATTTAATTGAATGTAGATATTTTGCAGGATTTTCATTTTATTTAAAGAGTCATGCTCGTGATGTGTCACCTGATTTAAGTGCATTTCTTGTTTCTGGATGAGTGAAATATACACGTTTTCTACCGTGAAGGTCCGGGTTAGAATGAGCCTTCAGTAACCCATGCTTGTCGTAAGAGGCGACTAACGGTATCGGGTGGTCAGGCTTGCTGACTTGGTTGACACATGCCATCGGTTCCCAATTACACAGATCGATGCTCATGCTGTTGATGACTTGATTGTGTGGTCCAGGCTCGATTATTTACAGACCGCCGCCACACAGGCCCCCACTGCCAGTCAGAAAATCGATAAACTAGGCCCGATTTTCTGACCCGCAGTGGGGGCCTGTGCGCCGCCATATAGCTGGAATATTGCTGAGTGCGGCGTAAACTAAACTCATTCACTCACTCACTCAAAAGTTATTCTTATTTAGCCCAGGGAGACTATATATATGTAGATTATCCCTGTTTAGCCCCAGGAGTGTTGCGTCATATGTCTCTGCAGTGAGTACGATTATTTCCTTCGGCCTTCCTAGGCTCAGTGGCAGTTGACTATTAATAATTTAAAACGCAGCATCAAATCACTGGCAATAATATAAATTTAGCTGATACGAGTAACACTTAATGAAATGAATGAATACAAATATGCATCTTTCCGTCACAGTCAGTATTATAATGACGGCCAGGAAAGTGCAGATATGGTCTTGCGTCGATTTAGCAATATTCCAACAATAATACGATTGGGACACCAGACATGGGCTATGCCATTTCGATCTATGGATCTCTTTGTTCAGACATTCAAGGAATGTTCATCTAAAACATACTCCCGCGCAGTGATGACATAGAACGCAACTCTGGGTAGGAGAGTTTATATAAAACGTATATAGACGTCCCAGAAATACCTGTTATGCACCGTTCGCCCATGCGAAAGCAATATCATTAGCGGTTTCATGCAGCTTGGGGTCACTGAGTGACAAATACAGTGTGAGCACAGTAGTGTAAGGGAGCTAAATCCACCAACTGCTGCACAAAGTCCAGACAGTCACCGTGTCCAAGTTGCGCAACTAGGACATGGTACCAGTTTACGATAAGCTGCGTTCCACACTTTGTTATCCGACACCGTACAACGCACAAACTCATGAGCACAGCACTGCCGCGAGTGTTGAATCATGGACCCGGAAGTGATCCAATCACGTGACTCATCATAGCTATGGCCTCTACGTGGGATTCTGTGTCCCAACTTTTGGCGGAGAATTCTAAGGAAATTTTTATCGAAACTTCCGAGTTGTTGCTTAAATTTGCCAGCAATATACTAAAGAAACCGAATGAGGCCAAGTATAGAAAGATCCGTTTGGGAAACCCCATCGTACAGTCGAAGTTACTCCCAATTAGTGGCGCTTTGGAAGTTCTGTTTGAAATGGGATTCTTAGAGGTACGATCACTTTATTTCTTCCATCTACATTATTCATAACTGCCGCAAAAGTGAAAATGGTTTATTCTGTATTTAGTTAACTACATTATAATAGTGTGGAATATGGTAACTGTTGAAGGTACTACTGGGTATGATCACAGTTAAATTCTTTAGTCCAGGTGTTTTAAATATTTAACGTTATGTGTTCATAAATCATGCCTGATGGCAAATCGTTTGCCATAAGTCACTGTAATTTTTGTGTAAAACTAATCCTCAATCAGTGTTGTAATAGTCCTTCATGTGGTTAAGCGGTGGTGGGGTAGTCGAGTGGTTAAAGCTTTCGCTCGTCACGCCAAAGACCCGGGTTCGATTCCCCACATGGGTACAATATGTGAAAGCCATTTCTGGTGTCCCCCACCGTGATAATGCTGGAATATTGCTAAAAGCGGGGCGTAAAACGAAACTCATGCAGTCACTCATGTGGTTAAGCAAATTATCGACATCCAGCCCAGAGAAAGGAAGATCAGCAGATTCATCTCTGGATACATGATACCAAAAGAACTTAAAATATGTTACATGTTGTTACCCAGCCTGGAGTTCGGCATTAAAGGAACAGAACAAAGACTTGTTGACTCGGAGCCATTATGCTGAGTGTGTGGAGATGTACATGTGCATGCACCTCAGTATATAAGCAATGTAATCTTGAACGCAAAGTTATACCCGGTATGCTACTTCACATCACCTGACTATATAATCATCTCAGAGTAACTTCCTTAAAGTGTGACCAGGGAAGCATCCTTCAGAGCAATCGTGCCACCATGACTTTCCCTTCTTTTATGCAGACCTTCAATAAATGTTGTGCTACAATGGCTGTCTGGAAAAGCTCTGAACAAAACTGTTGAACTATATTATCTAATACCTATAAGTCCAATGAACAATTACAGAGCAGAACATTCTGTTCATCATTTTATCAAGATAATGATATGTAAAAGCTACGAACCTACTCAACTTTAAATAACTACGATAATGATAAAAAATACATGGGTCATATTGAGCATAACAGAGATATTTCTAATGGCTTATCCAGTAGGGGTGACTATTGAAGGGGAAACAACTATTGCGATAGCAAGAGTCTATTGCAACATACTATTGCGACCAACTATTGCAATACCATTGCAATAGTTGTTTTCTCCATAACTCTAAATCAAAGTGAACGAATCAGGTACTTCCTGTATTTTGTGCTGCGCATTTATTTATTAACAGAAGTCAATTACTAAACTATTGATAGTCACACATACTATTGATGCATTGATAGTTTTTAGTTTCTACCATAGATTCATTGTTATCGGAGACTCAACAATTGCTATCCATTGATAGTTCAATGCATCGTTACAGCCCTACTATCCACACAAAATTTTGCTGTGTGTCTTATGTGTCTTCATGTCAGTTGCTTCTTGCTGCAGGATGGCGAGTACTTGACAATGCCAGTTGGCTCGGGACTCAACACACTCCGTCTCATCTGTGCTGAACTGCAGTCTCAACGCAGCAAGCTGGGTGCACCTGTACTTGACAATGTTGAATCTGTCACCTCCCAACATCCCACTCTGGTATCACAGTCTCCAGCTCAAACGACATCCATTGCAATATCTACAACGTCTATCTCAACACAAGCTCCCAGCAGTGCATCAACAGCTATGTCTACACCCTCTCTATCTCCGCAAGCTCCTCGCAGCGCTGCAACAGCATCTGCTCAACAGACCATGTCATCGCAGGATGTTCATGTATGTGTGTCTTCCCAGCAAGGGTAACATGTTTGAACAAGGATGCACCATAGTTAATGAAATCTGGAAGATTATGACTATAGACTAAGGTAGCAGACTGGGTTTAGTACATGTATGTATTTTGAAATTTATTACATTTTGTTTGTCTTGCTAGGTTTTAGCAAGTATATCTTTTGCCTTGACAAAATCCTATTTGCAGTGATGGGGGATGGCTGGCGAGCTGGCTAAGGTGCCAGGCTAGTGATCCAGCGAGGTTGAGGTGTCAGGATCGAGCCCACATGTGACCGAGTGTAAAAACTTTGGAGTCAACTTTATGTGCAGACTCTTTCAGTGTTGTCACAACCCTTAGTGTACAGTACACAAGCCTGTGCACTTAAAAATCCCACATATCCATTGGTATATCAGATGGTGGCCACATGAATACGTGCAAACACCTAGTTGCGGGTACAGCAACGTGCAGTGAACTTAGACAAAGTACTGTGACTATGTGTCCCAGTCCACCAGCTGCCTTGAGCATGCACTAGTTGCCTGGGTGTGTGCAGTATATAAATATACTATAATAAAAATGGGTGTGGCTTTAGTGGCAAGAATTTGAAAGTTTGGAAGGATCTTCAGTGTAACACATGTTACCTGAAAAGATTGATCAATTATTAGCTATGCTCTGAGCTAGAATTTATTCATAATGTTATGAATTTAAACTTTGTATATTGTAGGAAATGGAGTCAGTTTTCTTCAGCAAGATTCAGAGCTCAATGTCCCATGTATTGATGTACGAGGACCGTACCCTGCAGCAGAAGGCAAGGGAGGTAATTCCACTGGAACAGCTCCAGAAGGCAGCAGACGCCAACTGGCGGAACCTGATCCAGGAGTGCCCAGCTGGACGTGGTGAGGTGGCTCTGGACAGACAAGACACTCTTCTGTTGGAGCTGCTTGGGTGGTTCAAAAAATCCTTTTTTCAGTGGGTGGATGCTCCTCCATGCAATGCATGTGGGGCCGAGACTCGACTTATGGGTGGAGTTGATCCTTTACCTCAGGAAAGGATTTGGGGGGCATCTCGAGTAGAAAACTACAGGTGCAATTCTTGCCAGCAGCACACACGTTTCCCACGTTACAACCATCCACAGAAACTCCTGGAGACACGGAGAGGCCGATGTGGAGAGTGGGCCAACTGCTTCACTCTGTGTTGTCGAGCTGTGGGTTTTGAAGCTAGATACGTCTTGGACTGGACTGACCATGTGTGGACTGAAGTGTACTCGAATTCACAGAGGCGATGGCTGCACTGTGACCCCTGTGAAAATGTCTGTGATAAACCCTTGCTTTATGAGGCTGGTTGGGGGAAGAAGCTGACATATATCATTGCTTTCTCCAAAGATGAAGTGCTGGATGTTACGTGGCGGTATTCATCCAAACATCCTGAAGTGCTATTGAGAAGAAAAGAATGTCGTGAAAACTGGCTGTGTAGTGTCCTCACACGACAGTGGAACAAGAAAGTTAATGCTTTATCCACGTCCAGGAAAAATGAACTTTTAAATCGCCTGATTATAGAGCTGGTTGAATTCCTTACTCCTAAAACAGCAGATGGTCAAGGCTTGTCAGGGCGTACTACGGGGTCACTAGCTTGGCGACAGGCTCGTGGAGAAATAGGGAGGGCTGAAGGTACCGATTCAAGTGGTTCATTCATTTTCACTCTGACACAGGAAGAGAAAGAGCGAGAAGTGTGTCACTTTCAGTATAACTGTGCTGAAGACAAGTATGTGCGCTTGTCGTCGAGTAACTCGGAGACAGCAGGCTGGCTGAGTTGTGTACACAAGGCATCATCTGTGTTTAGGAAGGAGGAGAGAGACTGGAAGATGGTGTACCTAACGCGGACAGAAGGATCTGCTCGGGCATCAGTCTCGTGGAAATTTGACTTTAAAGGTTAAGGTCATTCAATGATTTGCTAATTGTGAAATGTTTGGAAAGAATGATGTTTGCTGTAGTACATGATTGGAGGTAGAATCTAAACCTGAAATTGTTATCATATGGTTTGAGTGTAGTATCTCTATCCATTATGACTTGGACCCATGGCATCCCTCTTAACTTTTCACATGGTTAAGTAAATGCTTTGAATATGTAATGGCAGCAGAATCTTTAACATGTTTGACTAGTACATGGATATGATTCTTTGTGTGGTTATGGCTGTGTTATGACTGTTTTAGAGTTACTAGTATATACAAAACAGTATCAAGAGCCATAACCATGATACTGATAGCAGATTATATGTCTGGATTAAAATATAATTACTATGGTTACTGAATTGTGTTAAATGTCTGTAACCATAGTAACACAATTATTCATTTACATTAGTTGATTGCTTTGAGTTAATCATTTTTGTCAGTTGAACACATACATACAACTGAAATATATATCTTAAACGTAAATCATTTCATGAGAGTGACTGAAAATTGTTTTCATATTATTCTAGAAAGTGGTCTGCGAGTCAACCGGTGTCTACTGAAGGCAGACAGTTCTGTGTTTGAGAGTGGTAAAGTGATGTGGACAATCTGTGGAGATGACAAGTGTATCAGAATGAGAGGTACAATGTTCTATTCACCCCCACCTATTGAACCCATCAATACCAGCTTCACATGTCCTTCGTCCTGAGCAGACTTCTCATTTAACATGTTTAAGAATATTCAAAATGGCTGTGCTTATAGCTTATTTAAGTTTAAGTTAAATTTGTGCCATTGCCAACATCTAAATTACATGGTAATTTTGTTTACATGTCAAATAGTGGGTAGCGATCTTCAAAATAAAATAAAATTATGTTTTGTACATTTAACATGGTGGTAAGATAAATACGTTGTATGCTTCTCCCTCAGGTTATATGGTCTGATATACGCCTCTTTATAGCAGTGTTATCCCTCGCCTACCAGCTCGGCTAAGACTGCTACACAGAAGCGTACATCAGACCGTATTACCCTTGAGAGAAGCGTACTACTTATAATGTACTCTGTTTACAGGGTGATATATATAGGATGCATGAGCAGCTTTAGTCTCCTTCCCTACGTGGAGAAGACAAGCAGTTGGGAGGATCTAGTTCTGCAATATGGAAATGAAATGTGTTTTTATGTAGCTGATATGTCTTCTTGGACATGTGTCCTTAATCATCATGTGTATCATAATTCCACTGAGTTAATGGCATTTTGATACCTAGGACCCATTCAGCAAACTGAAGCTACCTGGACTTTCTCTGTTTTAACTAACCTAGAACATACCGGTAATTGTTCTGATTCATGATTTTGAAATCAGCAACCAATCGGAATGTTTCTTCTGCATGTGAGTGTGGCATGGATCGCTATTCAAAATCTTCACCTATTTGGAGCTAGCCCCTGATCATATTGAATTTGATGAGTTTCAGCATGTCCAGGGTATTTATCATTGCATAATGGAGATTTAAAACAACTGGGTAATGGAAGATGGTTCCGGGAGTTCCATATTGTATGTTCACCTAAAGTACATTAACTGAAATGGACTTGTGATGCATCTTGCAGGTCCTGAACTGGTGACCTTGAGGGAGGTTGATGTGAAGGGATGTCTGACATTGACTATCACTGCGGACCTGAGCGGTGGTAATGGAGACAATGCCTGGCAACACACACAGCTATTCAGACAGGAAATGAATGCTGATAACCCTCCCTTTGAAGTGAAGATAAGTCTGGCGTGATTTCCTGTAGGTGGTGAAATTGCAGAATAGTTTGTCGTGTCCCACAAATGTGAATGGCTGATATTCAGTTTCAGTAAATATATTTCATAGGATGGAACGGAAAGTTGATATTAATTCTGTCATGGGGAAACATATTGGAGTTCCTATCATGGAAAATTTGTTTGAATGTTATGTACAATAGGTGTCACTATCAGCATCTGTGTCATACATTTCTTTGTAGATGTTCAGATGCTGGGCATCATGGTTGCCGAAAAGTAGCCATTAGGACCCAGGCCTTTGTTATGAGATTCGTCTGTGAAGTAGAACAGTTTATGGGCACAGTTTCAACTTATGCAATAATCCATAAGGTTTCATGTGAAAATAATAACAGGTGGGGCTAGGTTTTGATTTTGTCATATTTAAGAGCCCAAATGGTTTAAGCTATTAAATATTGTAATGGGTTATGAGACCATGTTGTTTTATTTCAATGAATTGGTTTATGAATTTACAAAACAATTCCAATTCCAGCTGAAACATGTTTTATTAGGAATTACACAAGTATCTACAAAATCAAATCATATTCCCTGAGTGACCAACAAGTGGTACATACTCAATGACCTGTCAGTGTTTGCACAACCATTATTCATAGCATCATTCGTTCAAAAAGTGTGTGTAAATACCAACAGGAAACCTGAGAAAGACTCTGGAGGCAAAGTTATAAAAGGCCTCCATGTGTAAGTTCATGAAAAAGTTTCTAGACAATGAATTTTGTAAAGAATTACTCTTTTTAACTGCATTGAAAAAGATCCTGGACATGGTTTGGGTGTGCTCAGTATGAATAAATTACTAACAAGTTAATGTGAAAATACAATGCTTGCTTGCCTCAGTGTAATTCCACATACCATGACTGTATTCATATGTCCACTGGAGGATGAACTTAGGTTACACGTCAAACAAGAAGGGACTTGTAATAAACATGTGTATCAACAACAGTATTACCATTACTAATGGAATATTTCTCTACTATCTGCTGTTTTTAAGGCAATGTGTGCAATGTGTTTGTAGCTTTAACAGTTACACTTCTGTGATAACATGTGTGCTTGCAACTGTTTGTGGGCTTGTTGATGACTATTCATTATGTTAATTTACTTACAGGTGTCAGGTGTGGTGTAAAACATCCACTTGCTCCATATGATGTAACCAAAAATGTGTCAATGTGATGATGTATTTGAGTGAAGTTGTAAATGGTAAGCATGGCGTCTACTGTGATGCTCCACCACACTGCTTCCACAGCTGGATATGTAGTTGTCTGTGACATGTGGTACATATTGTGAGTGAGTGAGTTTAGTTTTACGCTGATTTTAACAATATTCCAGCAACATTATGGCAGGGAATACCAGAAATGGGCTTCACACATTGTGCCCATATGGGGAATTGAACCCGGGTCTTCGGCATGACGAGTGAACGTCTTAACCACTAGGCTACCCCACTGCCCATGTGGTACATATAGCTAGGTGCAGCATATTTAGTCAGAGTACTGTAAAGGGTTCAAGTGTGTAAGTGTGTAAGGAGACTCCTTCCTTGTCCCAGCCTTGTTCTGTCTAACCACTAATTATACATGACCATGATGTATTGTGCTATATTTAGTAATGTTGATGTGATCGACTCTTTCTAAACACTCCTTAATTTGTAGAAATACAAAAAAATTATTAATTCCAGTGACAAGATGTTCGGATTTTCACATCTTTTTCCTGTATGATTAAATCTTGACCTATTGAACACAAAAATGTGAAGATCTGAGTTAGAATTGATCTTCAGTAACCCATGATTGTCGTAAGAGGCGACTAACGGTATCGGGTGGTCAGACTTGCTGACTTGGTTGACACATGTCATCGTATCCCAATTACTCAGATCGATGCTCATGCTGTTCATCACTGGATTGTCTGGTCCAGGCTCGATTATTTACAGACCACCGCCATATAGCTGGAATATTGCCGAGTGTGGCGTATAACTAAACTCACTCAATCACTCACTTGACCTTCTGTCTCCCAAGCTAAGACTTGACAAGATATGTTATGTTACTCTGTTTAATGGTAAATATGTCAGGCATATCTTCTTATATTTGTACAGTAAAGAGCAGAAAATATGCAACATTTTACAGAAGTAAATTTTTTTTTTCAGTCAAATTCAAAGATCTTTTACATACACATACTTTGGATATGGAAGTTTAAGAATATGCAAGTCAATAGTCTGTTAGTGTGCCGTTTCTCTTGATACACTGTTGGATGCAGCGTTCCCTGTTTATTAAATTGTCTATGTATCCCTGGGGTAGATCTACCCACATTTGATTGATGAAGTGGGACCATTCCACGACACTCTTTGCTTCGAGTTTTTCGAGTTTTCTTCATTATCTGCCACACATTTTCAATGGGGTTCAAGTTTCTGGGAATTTCTGTAAAGTCACGTGATTTGTCTCAAACCAGATACAGGTGTGTCTTGACTTATCTACAGGTGCATTGTCCTGTGACAGTTTAAAAGGTGTGCCACTCTGACCTAGATGTGATTCCACTATAACTTCTTGTATAAGTTGGCAGTACTTGAGTGAATCCATCCATCCTGTAATAGTCAGAAGAACCCGTGAAGGTTGGGGTTGGAATATTGATCTTCGTCGTAAGAGGCGACTAACGGGATTGGGTGGTCAGGCTCCCTGGCTTGCTTGACACATGTCATCGGTTCCCAATTGCGCAGATCGATGCTCATGCTGTTGATCACTGGATTGTCTGGTCCAGACGCGATTATTTACAGACCGCCGCCATATAGCTGAGTGTGGTGTAAAACTAAACTCACTCACTCACTAGTCAGAAGAGGTGTTTGCTAATGCCACCCCAAATCATGACGCTTGGTGATTACTTTGGAACGATTTTACAGCAATGATTACCCACTGCTTGACCATCTTACCCCCTGAACCACCCCTCTGGATCCGCCACTGATATGCACTGCTGTCATATATGGGATTTACTTTGGGACTCGCTTGACATACCCAGATTGCTTCAGGGGTTCCTTAGAGCCTTCACAGCAAGTTGTTTGGCAGACCAGTTTGCGTGTACCGCTGCAAGACATCCGTCGCCTGTCATTCACACTGAGAGAATCCCATCGTCCCGATCCAGCCCTTCCGCTCTGACCCAGTCCAGCTTCAAATTTCTTCATATTGCAGGTAGATTGAACCCCTATGTAAATCTGTCAAATTCACAGTCTGTTTACTGATTTTATACCATATTCATAAAATGTGTGTTGATTTCTGTTGCTTTGTAACATCATGCTTAAGCTACTAGCAAGGAGGTCAGGTGACCAAGCTGTCTCAAGGGAGATAATCTCGTAACAACGGCATAAGCTACAGACAGATCAAAACACATTATTTGGGCTATTTCATGAGTGGCATCGAATCTGAGGAAACATGTTTGTCACTTCCTTTCTGCTCGCTACTATATATATCAGATGATATGTCTCAGGACCTTGTTCAGTGAATACCTTCCCTGTAATTAACAAAAGAATGGTTTTGACACCAGTTTGATTTCCTATGACTATGACCAGTTATGAATTTAGAAATGTCTGTGTATTCAAGAATCTGAAGGAATATGAATGTATACATGTAAATATTTATAACTAACACCAAGGTGTAGATTTTTGTGCAAATTCTTCTAGCATACCTGCATCTACACACACATACATGATTATGAATCAGATGGGTTCTTAGAGCTTTTAATGTCACATTTTTGCTTTTTCTGGTAATTTTATGAATGGCTGAATAATTGCATGAATTAACTTTATTTGTTTGTCTTGTTTATGTTTTACACGCTATATGTGGAATTATGTTTTACACGCTATATGTGGAACGGAATGTTGATATTGTTGTCAGTGGAATGTTGTAGAAATTAATCCTGCGTGCCTTTTTGTCAAAGATTGCCACCCCTTGGACATGTTTTACGACCGACCACAGCTTCATGCATAGTGGTGGAACTGGTCACTTGCGAGTAATATGTATATTCCTGTGTACAGTTGTATGTAGAACTTTCATGTGTATATTTGTGAGACTGGTCACTTGTATGTAACACTTTCATGTGAACGATGATTAAAAGATACTTTCTTGTATATGGATTGTTTCCATCACATTGATTCACTGATACTAATCAATTTCTAAGTATGTCACCCCATGTGTCATCTGAAAAGTTATCTTGTAACAGGTTTGGGAAACAGTCATAAAAGCTTATTCTAGCACGACATTGTGTGATACTCGATTCTGATTGGCTGAGAGCACATCAAAATCGTACTTAAATGGCAGGTTAAGACCGTTAATTAAAGTGACCGATTCACCGCGTATGAATACAACGAACTCGTTGACCCTATTGTTTGTAAACAAACATGTCGGACATTGGCAGTTTCTGCCGCGTCAGCATCTTTGGTGCTTTTGAAGTAAAAAGCGAATGGTTTAAAGACGAATTTCTTTAGCCTAATCCCAGTGAAGAAACTACGAAGCTGGAAAATCCGTCAGTAGCGCAAAAGCAGTAGTATATTCAAACCGGGTACAGATCTAGGTGGCATGACGTCGACAACACGCTTCGGCCCACACGTCCTAACCTGACCGCTTCCTACCCGGACGTCATGCCCAGTCCTTCCGCTTCCACTGTCCATGTATCCCACATAAAACGTGGCATTTCAGGTCTTTTGCAAAATGGGAATAGTCGGGTGGTTATCAACAATTATTTCCGTGAATAAAGTTAGCGGCGACTAAACTTAGCGAGTTCACTGCTTAAATTGGGGCAAATCGATTGTCATACAGTAGGGGCGGTCAATAATTCGCTTGAGAAAAATCAAATAATTGTACTTGCTCGCAGTATAAAATGTATTTTTTTCATTTATGTATGCTACTTGTTATAAATACAAGCATACTGGTTCCTGAAATAAAGCATTATGTTGTTGAAAATGTCTTATTTTGTTCATTACACAACCTGTCCCTCAACGGGACAATTCCAAGCGATTTCCAGGAAAAAGGCCTCTTCATGTCTTGTGTTCTTGCGCGCCAAACAGTTCGGTTTTAAAACGCTTATCAGCCGTGCTAGAATGAAGATAAAGCTACTCTGTTTTCAATTTTGCGATCCGTTATCGTTGATTTGAGACCGCTAAATGTTTGGTTTTAAATTAAACTTTTAGCGGTCTTAAATCAATGATAAAGGACCACAAAATTTAAAACAGATTGTTTTTCTTCTAAGTATGATGCTCTGTGGTATGTTGGCTGCCTCCTGTCACTTCAATGTCAGGTTTTAGAAACTGGCTGACTGACCCTGTTGACAGTTGTCTATATAGAGAGTCACTGACTCAACTATCAACAGACATCCAAGTGTTGGATAGCGATTGTTTCAAGACAAATTTGCAGATAAAGAACACCTGTGTTAAGTTTTCAGTAACCTAATAAAGGTGAGCTGCTGTACCTCTGATACTTTTGGGTATATATTTTAATGACCTTCAGTGTGTGCTTTTGTTGGTGTCCAGGTGACCAAGGATAACAAGACTGAATAGACATTTGAATAGATGAGGACGTTTGTCTGTACAGTCCAATAGATTCTCCTTGTATTATCAAGTTGTATATAAATCTTATTATATATTTGTTGGAGGTTATTGTGTCTGTTGTCTGTTCACACTGATTCTGCTAGTTACAGCTGGTCTTTAGGGGATCTCTTCAAGTACTCTTCAGAGTCAAGGAGAGGGAGGAATTAGCTTCATTTTGAAATGAGGTTCAGAACTGCCAGCAGTGCCAGTTGGATGTGGATAATGTGGTGTGAATCCATCCACCATCTTTGAACAGTACTGTTGTTCGGTTGGCATAAAACACATTTCACTCACTAACTCAATATCCTTATTGATCCCAAACTCCAGCTTTGCCAAGTTTACACCGTAACTATCTTTAAATCATATCGTAGTCCTCGGTATGTGTAGCGGTACGGAACACTAAGATCTGATTGTAATAAGACTGGCATCCTGATTATGAAAAAACCGGAACCGAGACAGAAATCATCAGCATCTGTGTTTGGTTCAGTTGAAAATGTGTGGGGTTCTTGGACTGACATGCAGAATGTATTCTAATTCTACAGGAACATGTAACACCTCATATACATTTACCACCGCCGTAGATGACTTGGTCCTTTTTGTTAAGCTAACGTACACGTCTGCCAGAAAATGCTGCACTAAAAAGTAAATGAAACAAGTCTTGATTTGTTCAGTTTCACACATTTAGGCGCACCTTTAATTTGAATGAAGTTCTGAGACTATGCCTCTCTTTCTCTGTCTCTCTCCCTCTAGGTGTGTGTGTGTGTAAGGTGTGTCTCTGTCTCTCTACATATACATACATACATACATACATACATACATACATACATACATACATACATACATACATACATACATATATATATATATATATATACATACATACAAAGATATATATATATATATATATACTAGGCACATAAAGAAACTGTGCATTGTCAAAATATTATCCCAGTTGATAAGTACGATAACAATGTCAAAGGTACATATAAACTTTAATGGAGGGATCATGAGACCATAACAAGTCGGGAGAATTTCAATTGAAAAGTCAATCACAATGACGTCACGAGTCCACAAGCGGGACAGGGGTCAAACGACCATGTCACAAGCTCAATAACGGGTATGTCCGCCATCGGCATTGAGAACAGCAGTGCATCGACGATGCATAAAGCCTATAAAACGTGCAAGGAAGGCTTGTGGGATTTCACGCCAGATTCTCTCAAGTTCTGCTGCAAGGTCAAGGACGTTATCTGGCGGATGAGGAAGACGGCGTAGACGTCGATCCATCTCTTCCCAAACATGCTCTATCGGGGAGAGATCCGGTGAATTTGCAGGCCAAGGCAGTAAGTCAACGTTGTGGTTTTGCAAGAAATCCATAGCAACCCTTGCCGTATGAGGGCGGGCATTGTTCTGTTGGAATGTTGACCCAGGGCCATGACGTTGCAAAAAAGGAATTGCCACAGGTCGAAGAATCTGATCCCTGTAGCCCACACCAGTTAAATTGCCCTGAACAATCACCAAAGGAGTTCTTTGGCGTGCTGTTATTCCACCCCAAATTAACACGGAACCACCACCAAAGCGATTCCTCTCCAAGACACAGGCCTGTGCATAACGTTCTCCCACGCGTCTATAGGCACGTTGACGTCCATCACTATGGGAAATGTTAAACCTGGACTCATCTGTAAAAACAACATTTCTCCACCAAAACAAGGGTCTGCGGACATGATTTCGGCACCACATTCGGCGAGCTTGTCGATGACGTTGTGTCAGGATAGGCCGTATGGCGGGATGTCGTGGTCTGATCCCGTGATGACTTAAACGTTGTCGAACTGTGTTGGGGTGGATACGGCGAAGTCCTGGGATGGTTCGGGCAGTCATCACTGCAGTCTGAAACCTGTGGCGAAGATGGGTCACCCTTATCCATATGTCCTGTCTTGGCGTTGTTACACGTGGACGTCCAGAACGTGGCCGATCGATGACCTCATTTGTGTTCTGGTAGCGTCTCACCTGTGCAGAAATGGTGTTCCGCTTGCAATGGAAATGTGCAGCCACTTGTCGTTGAGACATTCCCCCACGGGCCATGCCAATGGCCTCATGACGTTGTGCAGACGTGAGCCATGGCATGCTATGCGTTTCAATAGCCGTTTAATTTTTTGAACGATCGCAAGGGCAGGCGTTGAGCTTTCCAAAGTGACAGTATTGTGTGGCATTTATTTGCTCTGTTTCTCTTTCCCGGAATGCATGGGCAACAACGTATTGCACGTCTCAAGGACGCACCCACTGACGTCACGGAACGTGGCACGTGCATGCATGTTGGATACATGTCACTAATCTCTGAGTTTAAATCCTTATGTGTCTACACAGGTTTGATAAATTTAGATTTTAAATTTTTGTATGCACAGTTTCTTTATGTGCCTAGTATATATAGTTTTATAGTTGTCTCCATCTGTGGTCATAGAATTATATTCAGCACACAGTTGTTGGCAAAATATTTCTTACCCGACGAATGCAGAGCACATAGCAGCATGTCACGTCTGTAGATCTCATGGTGCATACAAATATAGGCGAGACTTCGCCACAGCGCGTGTTCTCCGTCATTGTTAGGGAAGAACAGGAAGGCCTCGCTCTGCCAAACGTCCCCTGAGTGGAGCTAAAGCAAACTTCCTTACTGATATGCTGACGATCCAATAACTGCAAGAATCTCCAGGTACTTTCATTTTCTTCTCCGAACAACTACTCACATAAGTCATTGTAATAAGTTTAAATTGCTTATCTAATGTCGATTTATGTTTTCGAAACATGGCGCAGAGATACATGTGGATAACAGAAAAAGATTACTGCTGTACACTAAATATAGAAGCCTCAGGCTAAAACGTTAATTTGCGTTTCAAAATTTAAACTAACAGATAAATCATACATACATATCTTAAGCTTATGGGTAACATGAACTTAAAACAAGCATATTGGTCCCAAGCATCACAGTTGATGCAAACGATGTGGCCATTATCGCTGGCTGTATTCCTGTCGCGTTATAAAGAACAGTCTGAAACAGATCGAAACGCAGATACACCGTACCCTAATCATCTAAAATATGTGAATTATAAATGTCTTATCTGTAATGTATGTGACATTTCTATTCTGCAATGCCACATAGCAGCTTGCCCGATTTCAGAAATGTGGCATGTATTGTAACGTGATACAAAGGTTCAACATCATGGTATTAATGCATACATTTTAAATTAATCGGAATGGTTGACATGTTTTTAGTGTTCGCAAAAAAAAACCGTTTACTTTGACAGAATCTCGTGTACACACTTTTGTCCTTCACCACTAACATTAGTATTCTCGCATATATACTGAAAGTCATTAAAACGCAATTTGACATTCATACTTTCTTTACCCACACAAATGTCAACATATATAAATGTAACTGGCAGATATGTTTTAATTGAACATCTGTGAATAATTTCATCTGAAAATGTCCAATCAACAACAACATCAGTGACGCAACAACGACATCAAACAAAGAAGGGGTCACTTGCAATCAATATCGTGTGTCCACCGTGCGCTGCAAGACATGCTCGCAGTCTTCGAGGCATTGAAAGACACAGATGTCTCAGGAATAGCTGTGGGATGGTCTGCCAGTGATGTTGAAGGGCCTGTGTCAATTCAGCAACTGTCCTTGGTGGCACAAGTTGATTTCGAACTCGCCGTCCAAATTCATTCCACAGATGCTCGATTCATGTCTGGGCACAATTAAGGCCAGTCCATCACACGAACATTCTCATTATTTAAAACAAATCCATTGTTACCCTGGCTGCATTATCATGCTGAAACACAAAATGGTTATGACCGCCATGTTGATCCATCATTGTGAGTACAGCCGGACGAATGATATTGTCCTCAAAACGTTGAGCATTCAGATTGCCGTTAACCACTACCATCTGGGATCGGAAGTTGGCATTGAAGGACACAGTTTAGCTAGTCTTTCGCCTCGACGTCGGTAAATCCGTTTGCAAAGGATACGTTAAACCTGGATTAATGACCTGGAAAATATGACATCTCGCTATGGCCTGTTAGCAAGATTGGTCCCATTAGCTGCCTATCGCTGTGTGGCAAGTCAGTGGCGATGCAATAAGGTTGGACCACGGTACGGTACGGGCGACGACACCGGATGTTGAAGACAGCAAGGCGTCTCCGCACCGTTTGGGCGCTGACATGACGTTGTCTTGTCCCAATTGTCCTCCTTGCCGTATCAGCAGCTGTTTGGAACCGATTTCGCAAGTGTGAAACTCGTTCCTGTCGAGCTGTCGTCGCAGGTGGTGCACCAGGTCGCGGACGATCAGCAACACTTCCGGTGTCCCGAAAACATTGTCTGATTCGACCAACAGTGGATGGATGCACATTAAACTGCCTGGCAATCATCACATCTGAAGCACCTTGACTGACCATACCAATAGCCTGATTCCTTTCGTCTTGTGTCAAGCGTGGCATTTTCTCAAAGTGATTGAGTTTCACAATTACTTGTGCTTTTCAAGGGCCTGGGTGCAGGTAATGCACGTGCAACACGTGTTTCATGAATGTGGTTGTGTTTACGAGAAATGTCAAAGGTTCAGTTTTAACAGGGAGAATAGAAGACGTGCTGTAGATTATCCCTGGTTTTAAGCATCAAAGTTCATATGAGAGGAATGCTCTGGGACTCGAGCTTGACATGGGTCAGAATAACAACCTTTTATCCCTACATCCTCTGTATCGCAGGAAAAAAATATACAATAGAACTTTTGTAAGTTCCAGGACAACAAATACCAATTGCGTTTTAAATGGCTTTCAGTATATGTCTATCTGCGCTCAGTTGTAAAATACTATGTTAGTATTATTATCATTTCATTGAAGCTGGGAATCAAGATTAATGAAAACAAATATCTTTGAATGAAAGATAAAGAAAATTATATAGTGTTCCTTGTATTTTCGGCAGACAACTGAGATTTTCTGGCGGTCACGTTTCACATCTCATGTTCAGTATTGGTATGTGTGTCCCATAGTAGTGTAGTATATTCGTGCATTACCATAAGATAAGAAAGACTATCGCTTATATTTAAGCAGTGTGGGCTTTCGTATTAGGATAGATCTCCAGTATCTCATACTCACGGTGGGGTAGCCTAGTGGTTAAAGCGTTCGCTCGTCACGCCGAAGACCCCAAATGGGGACAATGTGTGAAGCCCAATTGTGGTGTCCACCGCCGTGTTGGAATAATGCTAAAAGAGGCGTAAAACCATACTCACAAACTCACTCACTCTAAGAACAGACTAAACGGGTTCGGGTTGTAAATGAAAGTGACGTAAGATACCTCTGGTAAAAGCATAGTCCATAGTACATTTCCGACTGCATCATGAGTTCATGAATCACAGTCACAATAGTGATGATACCAGTAAGCATATCCTTACTTGCTTGTGGCACCCGTAATAAACACCTCATGGGTGGATTGGTATCCAAGCTTTCAACCACTGGTATGTATCATCCAGTGTATTCTGTAGGTGCGTATCGCTGTAATATTGCTTACAGCGGTGTTAAAAAGCTTTCATTCCTGAATGAACGAACGGAGTGTTCTGACGTAACTTTCTCTAAGCCTCTTACTGTCGCGTTTCCTCGGGTAGAAGTAGTCTTCAATAGCACGTGCTTGTCGTAAGGGGCGACCGAGCACACCTGCGCTGTCCTGTTTGATTGTCATCGTGTTACTTATCTCGATACTCGTTATGTTAATCACTGGTTTATCTGGTCGAAACTGGGTTATTTTGAGACCATGTCATTTGGTGCGACGTTAAACAAACAACAACAAACAAACATACAAACTTTAGCGTCTCCCACAGTCCAAGTGCGATAGGTAGACTGTACTGATTTACATTTTCAGTGTAGGACTACACGTTGTAAGAGTGTCGTAAACGGAGAACGGTAAAGCATTTCAAAACTGCATAAAAATATTTTCATGAGCAAATTATCGATTCAGAAATGTAGTGCAATATACATTCCTCATATTTCCTCTATTGTTGTTCATTGACTCAGATCAATTGGATCATCTATACTGACGTACAGGACAACTGACTCAACACCAAGATGGCCGCCCTTCCCGCCTTCACGACACGTCTAGTACCGTCAGACGATGACATCCAAGATCACGTGTTCCACTTCCGGTACAGTTGCGCCAAGGACATGTATGAGCGGGTGTCGTCTGCTACAACAAGGAGGAACACTGGATGGCGCAACCTGACTTATGGAGAGCCCCGGATGTACCGTCACGAGGACCAAGATGCTATGTGCGCCTTTCTTGCACGTCAGGAGGACCAGGAAACCTCTTCCATTGCATGGAAGATCGACCTGGAAGGTTCAAAATATAGAAATCAAACGTCATATTGCGTTCAGATTTTTTACACCAATGCATGCACACTCTAAGCGTCAATTCGTCTCAGGACTTCACCTTTAGGATTTTGGATCAAAGTAGTTGCTTGGAATCTCTTGTCGCTTGTCGTAGTCCGACAAAATTAGGCATCGGATGTTCAATTTATTTGTGTATAACTGTGTGCTGATTGTACAGACCATCGCTCATGCTTTAACGGGCGAGTGTGTCTGGTCTTGATTCGATCAGTTACAGTTTTAACAACATTCACTAACTGTAAGCATCTGAAACCTCAAAAGAGGTTTCTTTAGTTTGGTTTCTCTAGGGTTCGTTGACATCCCTTTGCAAAAGTGCGCTGTGAATTAACTTTGAAAGTTGATATTAGGGAATGTTATTTTTGTCATCTGATTCCACGTCTCGCGCATCTAATTGTTTTCAGGAACCGGTGTCCATGGCAAAAGTCTTGAACTTCGAGCTGTGAGTCACGCCACAGGAGAAGCCAAAGTCACCTGGAAGATCGTCTGCGGTGACAAGTCACAGACATTAGACGGTAAAAAGGGATTTCTCGTTGGTTTCAGGGTCATTGTAAATGTGTCTATATAGTTGAGTTAATCCAAGTTGTTGATACCTCCTTCATATTTTCTTCCAGCTGCCGACTTGCTGTCAACGTTCACCGTGGACGTCCAGGGCTACAGCAGTATCACGATCATTGCCGAGATACACGGGGGCACGTGGAAGGACGCGCACCTGTTCAAGCAGTCATTTGTTGATACTGATACATACCCCTTTGAAGCCAAACTGCATATGGTGGGTGCAGTAAACTGCATGCTGTTTGAGATTAAGTGAGTGAGTGAGTGGAAGTTCTTCTTTAAGTCGTTTCTGCAATATTGCACCTATTCGCGGCTAGGATGCTGTTGAAACATTATCGGTGACACTGGACCATCCATGCATAGCAATGACCTTCCCCTTCACTACTCAGAGCTGCACGCGATCTTGGATGTCATCGTCTGACGATACCAGACGTGTCGTGAAGGCGGGAAGGGCGGCCCTCTTGGTGTTGAGTCAGTCCTGTACGTCAGTATAGATGATCACATTCAACTGTATGAATCTTGCATTTTCCAGACCTAACTGTGATACTTTTCATACTGCTCCATGTTTTCCAGAACTCCCTATGACACTCCCTGGTCTATCCTGTGTTTTCCAGAACTTGCTATGACATTCTTTATTCTGTCCCATGTTTTCCAGAACTCCCTATAACATTCTCTATTCTGGTCTGTATTTTCAAGAACTCCGATTGACTTCCTTTGGTCTGTCCCGTGTTTTCCAGAACTCCCTTTGGCATTCTTATTCTATCGCGTGCTTTCCAGAACTCTTTATGGCATTCTTTATTCAGTCCTGTGTTTTCCAGAACTCTCTTCGACATCCTTTATTCTGGTCTGTGTTTTCCAGAGCTCCCTATGACATTCTTTATTCAACTTCGTGTTTTCCAGAACTCCGCCTACACAATGGTGTACCGTCTGACTACCCTCGAGAAAAAGATGCAACTCTTCCAGCTCCGCTACTTTTGTGACCAAGACACCTATCACCGGAAATCGTCTGGTACGGACATAAAGGGTCTGCTGAGTGGACTGTACCAGAGCGAGGGAGCACAGCGGGAGGTGGATGAGGGGATGGTGTACTGGGCCCGAGAGGAAGGTCGAAATGAGGCGGTCTATAGGTGGAAGATTGATCTAACAGGTAAGTGAAACATTTCAGACCCACGATGACGCCCTGAATATATTAGACTCTCGATTGGACAAATCAGTGGTAGAGTTACTTTCCACGTCGTTTGGGTACTTCATTCATAGTGGACAAAAATGGGATACTGGTGTCCTTCTTGTCTTCTTGATCCCGGGACTGGACATACGGAATTTGAGGAATGTGAAGCATGACTTGGCTCCGACATATAAACCTAATATTCAGTTTGAGCTGCAGGCTGTTGTGGGTTCATCAAAACAAAACAAACGGATGCATCCCCAATAAATCATGTGTCCGTTTTCATCAAATCATAACTATTATTGTTGCCTAGCATTTAGTTATGTGATCTTATGTCATCCATCGATCTATTATATATTACCACTTGGTTTTGTATGTAAAACAAAAAGCGATCTTGGGAGTCGATACAAAGCTGTTTCTGAAGCACATTTTGCCTTTCTAACACAGACGAATAAAAACATGTGCTTCTTATTAAGTTCAAAAAACAATGCATTTCCAATACATTTTTCTCCTTGACTTTAAAACTGATTCACAAGTTGTGGGTGTTCATGCAGGGAGAGTCCGCCTCCATGATATTGCTGGAACATTGCTAAAGCAGTGTAAAACCATACTCAATCTCATGCATGGGGCACATTTTGGGATGTTTACGTGTTTTTGAGAGCCTCAAACAAGCTGATTGTGCGGCTGAGACTGTATTGATGCAAACTGCATTACCTTGAACCAAATAAAATCTAGCTGATTCATTTATAAAACGTTACAACCCTAATATCAATTTTTTATTTTACAGACTCGGGGATGTGTGTACAGAAGATGGCTTTGATGGCTAAATGCAAGAAATATGGAGATGGTCAAGTTGTTTGGAAAATCTATGCTGATGACAAATCTGTCACACACCAAGGTAGGAGATATGGAGAATATAACATAATCAAACCAAAGCAGATTCAAAGTAAAATCATGTGGCAAATCAGTGATTGACACACAGGGAGTGTTTGTGGTGAGCCAGGTCCCAAATTAACCTCATTTCACAGTAACAATTTCAGTTTTATGTTGAGATGAAGAAAAGCTTGACAATTTGATTATTGTCTACTGTTCTAAATAATCTACTGCTCTGCCCCAGGTGAATATTTGTACAAAACCCGCTCCATCAACATGAAGAGAAGCCAGGTCATAGTCCTGGAAGCCACAGTCAGCGGGGGTTCTGGCACCACGGCCTGGAGGCAGGCCCAGCTGTTCCGCCAGAAGGTCGGGGCCAAGGAACGTGTGTTTGACTGTAAGCTCTACTTGCTGAAGGACAAGGAAGACGAGGAGGAGTGAAAGTACAGCAGACACAACATTGGAAATATTGTTTTCTTATCTATTTCCTGATGCGCCATAATCTTCTGTCACGTGTGGACTCTCACATGATGTTCCTTGAACTATTGGGCAGCCAGTATTGAACCCTTCACAAACTGATAACAAATAGAAAAGTCTTGGCTTCTAGTGGAAAACTGCATCTCACTGGGTGCCCTCACAAAGTTCCTGTTTCCATGAGTTGCCCAGCTATGAATGAAAATGTTAACCTGACAATGACTTAGTTTGCTTTTACTGCATTTTAAGTAATATTCCAGTAATTTAATGGCAATTGACACCAAAAGTGGGCTTCAAATGGTGTTCCCATGCGAGGAATGGAACCTAGACCTTTGCAAGACAAACATAACTTTAACCACTATCAGCTGACCAATAGATTACATGTATGTAGTTTCCAACACGGCCTTCATGCTCTTACTTTGAAAACTGTATCTACAATGAGGTATTGAATGTAGGTTTACTTAACTCAAGTGAAAAAACTATAATACTTTATGAATAACAACTTCTTTATTTTATTATGACATTAAGTGATAAACCTGTCCAATTTGTGAAGGGTTCCAGGTGAACAATCTGTGTCACATTTTTCTTCAATTTATTGATGCTATATCATCGCACGTTTGGGAGCTGTATGTCATTCATAGATGGAAGGCAGAAGAAAATCAGAACTTCAGTTAAAAATATCGGTTAAAATCTACAATTCACATGAATTGAATGACTTGAATATCTATCCTGCTTTTCATCCCTTCGCTTGTGTAATGTATCAGCACCAGACCTAGTACTGACCACCCAGTAATGCCCTGTTCATGTGAATGGAGCAGTGTAGCAAGTTTACTGCCCCTACATGACCACACTGTCTGTAAACAACTGTAAACTGGAACAAACAGTTTACAAAATGAAACCAAAGTCAAGATTTAGGGGGTTCCAAGATTCCACACACTGTAGGATTCCCTGTTATTTCAAACACCTAAATAAAACAGTACTTTCATGGTTGAGTTGTCATTTATTGCCATATCTACAAAAGTGATGATATTTACAATGTAATGTCTGTACAGCTGTGATGTGACGTGATCATGGCCGCCCGAACTTCTCCTCCAGCATCTCGGCCCAGGCAGTCAAGCCCCTCTCACACCCTGCTGGCTGGGGAAGAAACAGGATATTGGTCAGTCTCGAGGGCAGGCACCACACCATCCATACTGTTAATATTAAAACTGACATACAAAGCTTGGGTGCCTTGACAATACGGTAGCTGAAACTCTCATTCTTTACAGCAGTCTTATGGTACAGAGGTAAACATGAGACTACAGGTGTAAGAGGCTTCTAGCATGGTTCTGCCGTAATGCCCGCCAGTGAGATCATTAATGTATATTAGCGAAGACAATACCCTGCTGTAACATACGGATTCAAAGAGTTGTTACAACAGCACTTATGTTTAAAGCTGAAGGACCCGGCTCCACTATCTAAACTATAGAAACTGATGGACTGATTTATTGACATGACATGATACTGATACATTGAGAATTTCTGTAGATTTTAATTATATTACCTGCAAGTCTGTTAGGTCTGTACCCGAATGTCCCTTGATGTCAGTCAGAGTTACCTCCCCTGACAGAGGATACCCCGATGGTATGATAAGTGTGCAGACGATGCTCCCTCCGCGCCCGACCATCACTCGCAAAATATTCTCCTCTTGTATCCAGTCAATAGCATACCTGTAGACAGAAACAAATACCGAGTAGCTGACTCACAGACTGATGTCAGTACCAGCCACTTCTAACAATGGATTAATACAAAACTTGCATGAAGGAAACCAGGCTTTCATTTTCATGTTAAGTGGATTGATGATGAGGGTAAATCAATAATACCAATATTGAGCAGCCACTGTTGCATGCACATACCACATTTCTTCTATTAGACACCTAGGCCCCATTCCTCAAAGTGATCATAGGCTGTCACTGTCGTAAGTCTATGTTAAAGTATGGGAGTTACGATCGTCTTATTGCTACGATTGCTTTGAGGAACGGGGCCCTGGGTGGTATTATGTTCACACAAGCCATTGACCTTGTGCCTTTGGCTGGAGTGTATTACTGGCCTCGCATCTGTTCTGTTTAATGTTGGAACTCTCTAAATTACCTGATCCCAAACTTTACAGTCATACAAAGGCAACATCTGCAGGAAACTGTCATAATGCATCACCATCATATCACAGTACTAGAATCCTCGCTTCTACTTTCTGTGACAGAGCTTACGATGGCATCAAGTTAAAGCATCAGAGGAAATATGGCACATTTGGTGTAAAGTATCATTAGGTCATTAGGCCTATTCTTGTTTGGAATCATACAGAAATGTTAACATCCAGTTGTATCACCTCAGTCGGAGTTGGGACACCTCTGTCAGTAATGGTTGGTGGGACAGCCACCGCGACTTGAGCTTTGTGACAAGTGCTGGCACATCATTGTGGGCAACAGCCTCATGTAGCATCTCCGACACGTCTATGGAGTCGACATTCACCTGCAACATGTCATACATTAGTGTTATAACTGGACGTACAGGGGCATGTACTTGATTACACTACAGTATTAAACAGTCAACTTTAACATTGGCAGCTAATGGTCCCACACAGAGTGCATGGGTCACAAGTCAGGTAAAGTTATGGTTGTCACAGTGAGATGGGGGATAAGTGACCGTGTTTGACAGTTTGACGACTGAGGGTTTCGAGAGTTTCATCCTGTCCCACACTAAAGCACACATACCACATGTGTTCTCTCTACTTTGTACTATGCCTCTGTCCATCCAGCAGTGAATGGGTACCCAGTAGGATGAGATGGTAATGTGACTATTAACCGTGTAACACCCCACCAGGCAGATACAGTTAACTAATCAGCCTGATGGATCATGATCTGGCCCCTACCTCCGCAGACTTCAGCACTAGGTCACCCAGGTTGTTTTCTGAGTACTCCAGGGACAGAGCCAGCTGCACCCCGTCAGTCCCTGCCCGGGGAAACTCCACCCGCATACCACACCAGCTCAGGGGGATCACCGTCAGCCCACTCACGGACTCCATGTTGCCCACAAGCTCCTCCAGGCTGCAACACACAGTGACAGTAGGGTTGGGTGTCCCATTTCAGGACCAACAGATGAAGTAATATCATGGCATGACGACTTCTGGTGTTTGCAATGTAATTCAACATCTGCTGAGGAACTCACTGTGTCCAAATATGACTACCTTCATCTTATGCAAACACCCAGAAGTATAGATTCAACTTATGTGCCATAGTTGAAAGTGACGCTATTAAATATCACAGCATGACTTAAGCATGTCATTGGATGCAGCTGAAACTCTATATACCACAGACACATTGCTTCAGTCATAACATTTCTCACTTGATCTGAATACCAGCACTGTAGTATTATGTCTTTCCTATTAATCTTTGTCACGTTCTACTGACCGTTTAGCAAGCTGTGACATGACACTCTTCTTCCTCTTCTGCTCTTCAGTGATCTGCTTTAGCCTGTTTGTGTTTAGTGAGACCGTCTGCTCCATAGCCTTGATGGTTGGCTGCATCAACTGCAGTTGAGAGGTCACTTGATCTATTGCTTCATCACACTTCAGGATGGCATACTCCACAGCCTCTATCTTTGTTGACTGGTTAGAATCAAGGAAAACATTTAAGATATCGACACCCAATTTCATTCAGGTTTAGTCTTTTTAGATTATGGTTTGTAAAATGCATAAAAACATGAGTGAATGAGCTGAGGAACGTAGGATATGTTATGGATGGCAACTTCTCTATTATATCCTAATACAATGGCTCGGTATAAATTCTTACACCGTTGTCAAGCACGTGAGTTGCGTTTAATGCTGCTTGGAATAATATTCCCGCAGTGACACGTTATAGATGTGTACCACTTTGGTCAAACCGATGAGGCCTAATAAAATAAATGTTGTGGTTCCAATTACCCACCCAACTGACGCTTGAATTCTGGTGCCAAGCCTATATTTTTTAAGCAGTATGAAAGAAAATAAGCATCCAGATACCAGTTTTTTTTCCCCAGCACCGACGAACATCAGTCATTCTGATAGAGACAGTCGACATAATGGCCACAAGCTTGATTGAATAAACAATTACACATTGATAACTGTGTTGTGAATTTGTACTTTACTTCCCCAAAAATATATATAAAATATCCTACCTACCTACCCTAAATTTTAAAGAGGTGTAAATCGGAACCACACCATTTTTTCTATTTGGCCTGAGTACAGATATGGTTCTCACCAACCTAGAACAATAAACAGGGAAATAATCAAAAACCGATGTGGTTTCTGCCATGCACAAGGTATGCACCTAAACAGTGAATTAGACAGCTGTGCCACCTGTGCCCTTAGAACCCTACAATCATGATAATGTAAGTACCCATACCAGATTGTTGATCATTCTCAGTACCCTACGATCATGATAATGTAAGTACCCATACCAGATTGTTGATCATTCTCAGCACCCTACGATCATGATAATGGAAGTACCCATACCAGATTGTTGATCATTCTCAGTACCCTATGATCATGATAATTGAAGTACCCATACCAGATTGTTGATCATTCTCAGTACCCTACGATCATGATAATGTAAGTACCCATACCAGATTGTTGATCATTCTCAGTAGCCTACGATCATGATAATGTAAGTACCCATACCAGATTGTTGATCATTCTCAGTACCCTACGATCATGATAATGTAAGTACCCATACCAGATTGTTGATCATTCTCAGTAGCCTACGATCATGATAATGTAAGTACCCATACCAGATTGTTGATCATTCTCAGTACCCTACGATCATGATAATGTAAGTACCCATACCAGATTGTTGATCATTCTCAGTAGCCTACGATCATGATAATGTAAGTACCCATACCAGATTGTTGATCATTCTCAGTAGCCTACGATCATGATAATGTAAGTACCCATACCAGATTGTTGATCATTCTCAGTAGCCTACGATCATGATAATGGGTACCCATACCAGATTGTTGATCACTCAGTACCCTACGATCATGATAATGGAAGTACCCATACCAGATTGTTGATCATTCTCAGTACCTTACGATCATCATAATGTAAGTACCCATACCAGATTGTTGATCATTCTCAGTACCCTACGATCATGATAATGGAAGTACCCATACCAGATTGTTGATCATTCTCAGTAGCCTACGATCATGATAATGTAAGTACCCATACCAGATTGTTGATCATTGTCAGTACCCTACGATCATGATAATGTAAGTACCCATACCAGATTGTTGATCATTCTCAGTAGCCTACGATCATGATAATGTAAGTACCCATACCAGATTGTTGATCACTCTCAGTACCCTACGATCATGATAATGGAAGTACCCATACCAGATTGTTGATCATTCTCAGTACCCTACGATCATCATAATGTAAGTACCCATACCAGATTGTTGATCATTCTCAGTAATCCTACGATCATGATAATGGAAGTACCCATACCAGATTGTTGATCATTCTCAGTAGCCCTACGATCATGATAATGGGCACCATACCAGATTGTTGATCATTGTCAGTACCCCACGCATCATGATAATGTAAGTACCCATACCAGATTGTTGATCATTCTCAGTAGCCCACGATCATGATAATGTAAGTACCCATACCAGATTGTTGATCACTCTCAGTACCCTACGATCATGATAATGGAAGTACCCATACCAGATTGTTGATCATTCTCAGTACCTTACGATCATCATAATGTAAGTACCCATACCAGATTGTTGATCATTCTCAGTACCCTACGATCATGATAATGGAAGTACCCATACCAGATTGTTGATCATTCTCAGTACCCTACGATCACCATAATTTAAGTACCCATACCAGATTGTTGATCATTGTCAGTACCCTATGATAATGGAAGTACCCATACCAGATTGTTCATCATACTCAGTACCCTATGATCATGATAATGTAAGTACCCATACCAGATTGTTGATCATTGTCAGTACCCTACGATCATGATAATGGAAGTACCCATACCAGATTGTTGATCATTCTCAGTACCCTATGATCATGATAATGTAAGTACCCATACCAGATTGTTTTGAATATTCTCAGTACCCTATGATCATGATAATGGAAGTACCCATACCAGATTGTTGATCATTCTCAGTACCATACGATCATGATAATGGAAGTACCCATACCAGAATGTTGATCACTCTCAGTACCCTACGATCATGATAATGGAAGTACCCATACCAGATTGTTGATCATTCTCAGTACCCTACGATCATGATAATGTAAGTACCCATACCAGATTGTTGATCATTCTCAGTAGCCTATGATCATGATAATGTAAGTACCCATACCAGATTGTTGATCATTCTCAGTACCCTACGATCATGATTATGGAAGTACCCATACCAGATTGTTGATCATTCTCAGTAGCCTATGATCATGATAATGTAAGTACCCATACCAGATTGTTGATCATTCTCAGTAGCCTATGATCATGAAAATGTAAGTACCCATACCAGATTGTTGATCATTCTCAGTACCCTACGATCATGATTATGGAAGTACCCATACCAGATTGTTGATCATTCTCAGTAGCCTATGATCATGATAATGTAAGTACTCCATTACCAGATTGTTGATCATTCTCAGTAGCCTATGATCATGATAATGTAAGTACCCATACCAGATTGTTGATCATTCTCAGTACCCTACAATCATCATGATAATGGAAGTACCCATACCAGATTGTTGATCATTCTCAGTACCCTACGATCATGATAATGGAAGTACCCATACCAGATTGTTGATCACTCTCAGTACCCTATGATCATGATAATGGAAGTACCCATACCAGATTGTTGATCATTCTCAGTACCCTACGGTCATGATAATGGAAGTACCCATACCAGATTGTTGATCATTCTCAGTACCCTATGATCATGATAATGTAAGTACCCATACCAGATTGTTGATCATTCTCAGTACCCTACGATCATGATAATGGAAGTACCCATACCAGAATGTTGATCACTCTCAGTACCCTACGATCATGATAATGGAAGTACCCATACCAGATTGTTGATCATTGTCAGTACCCTACGATCATGATAATGGAAGTACCCATACCAGATTGTTGATCATTCTCAGTAGCCTATGATCATGATAATGTAAGTACCCATACCAGATTGTTGATCATTCTCAGTACCCTACGATCATGATTATGGAAGTACCCATACCAGATTGTTGATCATTCTCAGTAGCCTATGATCATGATAATGTAAGTACCCATACCAGATTGTTGATCATTCTCAGTAGCCTATGATCATGAAATGTAAGTACCCATACCAGATTGTTGATCATTCTCAGTACCCTACGATCATGATTATGGAAGTACCCATACCAGATTGTTGATCATTCCCAGTAGCCTATGATCATGATAATGTAAGTACCCATACCAGATTGTTGATCATTCTCAGTAGCCTATGATCATGATAATGTAAGTACCCATACCAGATTGTTGATCATTCTCAGTACCCTACAATCATGATAATGGAAGTACCCATACCAGATTGTTGATCATTCTCAGTACCCTACGATCATGATAATGGAAGTACCCATACCAGATTGTTGATCACTCTCAGTACCCTATGATCATGATAATGGAAGTACCCATACCAGATTGTTGATCATTCTCAGTACCCTACGGTCATGATAATGGAAGTACCCATACCAGATTGTTGATCATTCTCAGTAGCCTATGATCATGATAATGGAAGTACCCATACCAGATTGTTGATCATTCTCAGTAGCCTATGATCATGATAATGTAAGTACCCATACCAGATTGTTGATCATTCTCAGTACCCTACGATCATGATTATGGAAGTACCCATACCAGATTGTTGATCATTCTCAGTAGCCTATGATCATGATAATGTAAGTACCCATACCAGATTGTTGATCATTCTCAGTACCCAATGATCATGATAATGTAAGTACCCATACCAGATTGTTGATCATTCTCAGTAGCCTATGATCATGATAATGTAAGTACCCATACCAGATTGTTGATCATTCTCAGTACCCTACTTATCATGATTATGGAAGTACCCATACCAGATTGTTGATCACTCAGTACCCTATGATCATGATAATGGAAGTAACCCATACCAGATTGTTGATCATTCTCAGTACCCTACGGTCATGATAATGGAAGTACCCATACCAGATTGTTGATCATTCCCAGTACCCTATGATCATGATAATGGAAGTACCCATACCAGATTGTTGATCATTCTCAGTAGCCTATGATCATGATAATGTAAGTACCCATACCAGATTGTTGATCATTCTCAGTACCCTACGATCATGATTATGGAAGTACCCATACCAGATTGTTGATCACTCTCAGTACCCTATGATCATGATAATGGAAGTACCCATACCAGATTGTTGATCATTCTCAGTACCCTACGGTCATGATAATGGAAGTACCCATACCAGATTGTTGATCATTCCCAGTACCCTATGATCATGATAATGGAAGTACCCATACCAGATTGTTGATCATTCTCAGTACCCTACGATCATGATAATGTAAGTACCCATACCAGATTGTTGATCATTCTCAGTACCCTACGATCATGATAATGGAAGTTCCCATAGCAGATTATTGATCATTCTCAGTACCCTACGATCATGATAATGTAAGTACCCATACCAGATTGTTGATCATTCTCAGTACCCTACGATCATGATAATGGAAGTACCCATACCAGATTGTTGATCATTCTCAGTACCCTTTGATCATGATAATTGAAGTACCCATACCAGATTGTTGATCATTCTCAGTACCCAACGATCATGATAATGGAAGTACCCATACCAGATTGTTGATCATTCTCAGTACCCTACGATCATGATAATGGAAGTACCCATACCAGATTGTTGATCAATCTCAGTACCCTACGATCATGATAATGTAAGTACCCATACCAGATTGTTGATCATTCTCAGTACCCTACGATCATGATAATGGAAGTACCCATACCAGATTGTTGATCATTCTCAGTACTCTTTGATCATGATAATTGAAGTACCCATACCAGATTGTTGATCATTCTTAGTACCCTACGATCATGATAATGGAAGTACCCATACCAGATTGTTGATCATTCTCAGTACCTTACGATCATGATAATGGAAGTACCCATACCAGATTGTTGATCATTCTCAGTACCCTACGATCATGATAATGGAAGTACCCATACCAGATTGTTGATCATTCTCAGTACCCTACGATCATGATAATGGAAGTACCCATACCAGATTGTTGATAATTTCTTGACCAGTGCTCCCCTCCTCTGTGTCATCAGATGCCAGCTGTGTAGTGGAATTCTTGGTCTGCCGCTGTTGCAGTTTTAGTTTCTATCAACAACATTACATAATAACTAGCTGGCAAGCAAAGGGATACAATGTTGACATTCATTGATTCTTGGAACTTGAGATTTGTTCACCAATCTCCAAGAATTCTACATATGTTAGACTTCTTGTAACAGATCATAAATTAACTTTGTCTCCATATAGAAGTGATGTGTTGTGTGCCAACACATGAGAACCAGGAAAACATAAGCATGTGCCATACTCCCTGTGGTGTTGGCTGGGTAAAACTATCTCTGTGAAGAGCTGAGATAAATAATGTCTTGTGATTAGTGACATGTCAATAAATTAAAGCACTGACAGACAAAAGCAGATTTCAATAAATGGATCTTAAGTTTTTCTGTTGTACCTTCTCCTCTAGTTCTTGCTTCTTCTCCTCTAGCAACTGTTGTTTCTGTGTCAGCAAGGAGAAGCCTACAGGAAAAGAGAGACAGTGGTTGATCAATGTTTTGTGTGATTGATGGTGCCAGCAAGTATGGTCTTTTGCCACTTTTGTAGGCTTTCCCTGAACCCTTCACATTTTACAAATCAGCCTATTTGTATGTAAACACTTGGCATACCTGAGCTATATGTATTTTCAGTGAAGAATACTAGTCCAATACAAAATGCACACGACTCATGCTTTAGACAAGTGGGATAGAAAACTTCACTTGCTTCATTACCGATAACATATGCAGAAATGATCTAAAAATCCTGAAATTCTACTGATGTTTGAGGTACCTTACACTATAGCCAAGGTGATTTGACTTATGAGTTAGTGCAAATTTGCATTCCTGCGTCTCCAGTTGCAATCATAGAAGTGAGTGAGTGAGTGAAAATTTAAAGTCACATCAGCAGTATTTCAGCCATATCGTGACTAAGAAAGTTACATATCCATAATAATTATAGGTAAATTATAAAAAGTCTGTCATTGAGGGACAGTAAAACAGCTAGAATATCACAGATATAAATGTAAAACTAGTACTTAAATCTAAAACATTTTAACTATAGACGACAACACAATATAGAAACAGGCTATAGATCGCTAACAACTGTAGGGAGATCACCATACTAGGAACCATGGGGACTTACATTACTTTTTCTACCTGCATGGACCCTAGCTGGATTTACACCATCCCTTCAGCTGTCAGCAATTTTTGACAATCTAGCCATAACATTAAAATAACACATATACTGCAGGTAAAAATCATAGTAAGTTTAAATTTACTTGAATTGTTTTGGGACTTAAGTACCCTCTCAGGACAGCTATCATAGGAACTACCTGCATGTACTTCACCACTTTGTATATGAACATGCAGCTCGTGGAGTAGAGTCTTGTTGACAATGAAACCATAAGTGATGACACACATAAGGCGTCAGTTACCTTCCTCGGCAGACTCGCACAGAGACTGAATGGCCGTCTTGACATCTTTTATTTCACTCTTCACTTCCTGCAACTCTGATGACGCTTCCTCTAACTCGGCATCTGTAATGTATGTGAGTGAGTATGTGAGTGAGTGAGTGAGTGAGTGAGTGAGTATAGTGCGGGGACACCAGTTATTTGCTTCACACATTGTGCCCATGTGGGGAATTGTGACGAGCGAATGCCTTAACCACAACATGAGTGAGTGAGTGAGTTTAGTTTTACGCTGCACTCAGCAATATTCCAGCTATATGGCGGCGATCTGTAAATAATCAAGTCTGGACCAGACAATCCACTGATCAACAGCAAGAGCATCAATCTGCGTAATTGGGAACCGATGACATGTGTCAACCAAGTCAGCGAGCCTGACCACCCGATCCCGCTAGTCGCCTCTTATGAACCACAACATGACATATCAAGAGTAATCTTATGACAGAATGTAATGATTGAGGATATCTTCTATCAAACATTAGTAGGAGACTATAGAGCACAACTGTGATATATCACATGACATTACCTGCTTGCTCTGTAGTCAGCCAGTTGCTAGGATCCATGTAGAGGCTCTTGAGGAACTGCTTCTTAGCATTCACAAAGAAATAATTTGTTTTCACAAACATCTTGCGCTGTCAGAAAAAAGAAACAGCATTGTGCTAATCCCAGTGATGGATATGGCATGGGTGCATATAACATAAGTTTGACAAGGTATTTGACATCAAAGAATATGATGAAATATACATGTAATCTGTACCTACGACCATTATGACTTTATTTAGTCTCTTAACTTGTTTTCATTGCTCTGTCCATATTGAAGTCTGATTAGAGCTATCTTACTCAATGTGTGGGTATTAATATGTTTACAAAACCAGTCTCAGAGAGACTGGCTGAGATGATCCTGTCTTGGTCACCCAGTCTTATACATATCAGCATCTATTGTGACCACAACATTCACATTGTGGTATCCTGCAGGGGTGGAAATAACTTCAAAATTGATGGTGTACTCCGCTATAGTGGCACATGGAAAGTTACTTGCCCTGATAATTTTTCCACTACACCGACCGTTTTCTTGCTGATTTTTTAAATGAACAATATAATTAACATTGGAAACTCAACTGGACACCGGTACAGTGTGATATACAAATTTGCTTGCCTGACAGAAAAAAACACTGGACTCGGACGTCGGGCAATGGGTTACTTCCACCCCTCTCCTGTTATTTAGTCTTAGGATGATAGGATAAACAAAAGGGAAATATAGTTTTGACCATATAAGCATATTGATAACACTCACAGCCACACAACTATGGCATCTGGTGTAACCATGGTATGAACTATCAATAACATGATTGTTTGTTGTTTAATGCCGCACTGAGCAATATTCCAGCTATATGGCGGCGGTCGGTAAATAATCGAGTCTGGACAATCCAGTGATCAACAGCATGAACTTTGATCTATGCAATTGGAATACAATGACATGTATGACTACACAATCCTGTTAGTCGCCTCTTATGACAAACATGCGTTGCTGCAGACCAATTCTAACCCGGATTGGATATTCATGAATAACAATACAAATATTATACATACCTGCTGTACCAACTCCATCTGTGCATACAGACTAGGATCAAAGTTTTCCTTTATCTTCATTATTTCCAAAACTTCAGACTCCATTATATCTTGATCAATATCTGATGAAAACATGGAAATAATTAATAATACCTATCAAGATCCTTGTCAACACAAACGACAATTTAAACAGTCGATCATGTTAACACGGATCACTAAACCTACATCACAATTCTGTTTCATCAATTGGTAGATTAGGGGGAACAACTGCATAACATTAGCAAGTCATTCCGTATCTAATAAATGTTCTCACCACTAGGGCTGGAACGGGTCCAAATTTCCGACCCGGGTACCCGTTATATTTTGGTTGGTTTTATAGTTTTAGGGCGACATGGGCCAATAATAGGCGTATTTGTGCCCAACACATTGGCTTGATTTAGTAAAACATCATAGTTATTTCATTGCCAAAAGGAATCGTTTAGTTAACATAAAAGAACAGACAACATTATTAATATTCATTTGGATAGACGTACACATATATCAAATAACCTCTGCTTCCATTTCTGAAACATGAAATACTTATTCATTAAAAAAGAAGTAGGTTAACCGTTCAGATGACAGAGCGTTAAAATGATTTAAGCCACTTGAGAGCTTGTCTAGATTACATGATATTTTCCAGATGACGAGGCAAAATCTAAAACTGCCCGTTGCACGGACCCGTACATGATATTGGGGCCCAAAACTGTTTCTAAGGAAAATATTTCATCAACCTCAAGTACAGAACTTCTGAGATTGTGTCTTATGTTGGGTACCTGTTATAACACTAATTGCAAGTTATTCCCCTTCAATAAAATCAGTTATGGCCGAAATTAAGAGTGGCGTCAGGAAATATTTTGAATACTCGCATCAGGCACAAGACAAAATGCACTTTGTGCACAGTGCAGCTAAGTCAGAAAGGAGGGAGTACGTAATCGATGTGGAAACATCTGAACAACAAACATCCCTCTGTAACAAACCAGGAGCTACAAACAAATGGCGTTCCAATCTACATGCAAAATACAATTGAAGGTAAAAATAAAAAGTGTATACCATTAAACTAACAAGTAAACAATGTAATGTAAACATAAAGTTTTCAAGGTAAATACCTCTCTCCCCCACCCGTGGACTCATAATCCAATCACAATAGTCAGACAGACAGACAGATTGCTTATTTACGTCTCACCATATGTATATTAAAATAAATAATAATACATACAAAAATATACAGTAAATATTATAAATGGAGTTCCTTCATAACGGCAGGTTTCTGTACGCGGAGGCACTGTACCCGTCCTGGGCACGTCTGTGAGACTTGAGGAGACTCTGAGGTAGTGGTGGGAATTGGTTGTGATTTCATAATCGATCATCAGTTACAATCGGATTGGCCCAACCAATCAATCATCGATTAATATTCGGTTAAATTAAATCCCAAGAATACCCTCTAAATAATAAATATATTACACAAGGCCATGTGTTTGTTATTGTCTCAGACTCCTGAAGGTAAGCAAGTACAGTTCAGAGACAGATGGTTGAACATGTAGAGGTACACAAAAGAAAAGATTTTTTTGTTCTTTTATGGTTTATTATGTACCATCAACAGCATCAATTACCAACCATTCAACAAACACCAGATCTTGTCAGATGTCATAAAAACAATACATGACTAAATTACGCCTTGAAATGAAGTGTAGTTTACAGAAAATGGATGACGAGGCGGTAATCAGTTTGTGATTGTTGAGAATAATGTTAAAATTGGTACTATCACGGTTGGAGTGAAAAGCGTACCCTCATGAACATGGTAAGCGGAAATTTTATGCGCATGGAATGAGGTGAAATACACATGACAGTTTGTTGTGATCGCAAGCTCCAATAAATATGACATTTAGCAAAACAAAATATATGTATGTATCCATTTTCTGTCAACTACACTTCATTTCAAGGCGTGAGTAGACACAATATGATTGTGATTTCTGTGAATAATACGGACAGAAGTTATAATTATAGGTAACTGCCAGTTGTCTTGTGGTCTGAGTTGGGTATTCATTACTGTTTTCGTAAAAATTATTACCAACAATCGACTATGAAATTTTGCAATCGATTGTCGCGATCTGGAAAGGGTAACCAATCAATTTTCAATTATAATCGATCATCACTACTGTGAGGTGTTAAAACATAGGCCTCTGTTATATCGAATATTGATTTATGGATTCTGTAGCACAGGCCCTCGAGTCTTATGTGAGGATTAAAGATTTTTTATAAATATATAAAAATTTGACATGACCCCCGACTCGAAATGCTTCACAATACAATACATCATGTATTGTACTGTGAAGCATTTCGAGTTGGGGGTCATCTCAAAAACAATGTTTTTTAAATCTTTAATCCTTGCAAAAACACGAGGGCCTGTGTTCTGTAGTGCCAGAGTTTGTTTTCCCCCGATCCACGTTTTGCGTTCTCCAGGTGTGATGAATTTTCCCTTGTTTTTATAAAAGCTTGTAACGATAGTTCTTCACAGTCTCTTACAGTGATGATATTGTTTAAAAGAGCTTCTTTGGTGATTCCCAATGTGTTCATTCGCCGGTAAAAGGCTAAGTGCCAAGGCTTGTGTCTGTTCCAAGCTTGACTATTTTCCCAATTGAAAACATAGGGCTCTAGTATACTTTCTTGGTCTATATTCATCATTTTCCTCCAGTAAAGAATCAAGCATATATCTTGTAGTACATGTAGTTGCAGGGTTCCATCCCTTTGTCACCACTAACTTCTTCATTAGCCTCGACTTCAATAGCCTAGACCTAGGTAAAATCTCATAGCACTGTTTTGCATTGCGTTGATTGATGAATAGTCCTCTGTTCCATCAGAGACCATATATTATATGGTCTCTGGTTCCATAGATTGAAATGACTTAAGTTACAACTGCCCAAAGTAATGCATCGTACAGTTTGGTAAATGTTTTGAAAACGAGCTACCTAATCGACAACAATAGGTCTACCTTCACGGACGTCTGTGTTCTTGAGTCTTTTACATTTACACAATTAACTACTTGGCGTACTTGCAACCTATGTTACACGTGACATGATAGTTGTCGACAGTTGATACCTTGTGCTAGTTTAGTCCACAATTTCAAACATAAGACAACAATCTCGTTGTAAATATATATAATTATTAATCAGGGCTCCAGATAATTTTTCATGATCAGGAGTACGCACTCCTTATTTATTCAATATAGGAGTACTGGAAAACCTTGAGTACATTTAGAGTACTGTATGGAAATTAATGGACTATCAGTAATCTTGTGTTTCGTTTCATCAGAGACCATATGATAGAGGGAGGGCCCTCCCCAACAGTGTATCACTAACCATCAGCGCTACGGCCTGGCATGTAACTGATACACATCGACACCCTGCTATGATATGGTCTCTGATTTCACAACATTGCTACTCTTGTGTAAACAGGTCAATAAACAATAAAACAATAATTTTTCAGATAAATACGTCTGTAAATGATTCTAAGACCGTACACCATTGCTGTGGTGCGTATCTGCTACGCTTTCTAAATTATTTCCTACCGTATCTTGCATATTTTTTATCCGTACATACGCCGATACGGCCCTTATCTGGAGCCCTGAATTTAATAATTATAAACACATTCAATTAAGGCTTCATTTATTAGTCACGTGATCAAAGAGGGTCCGGGTAACGTGACGGGTACCCGGGTCCAGCCCATTACCCACCCATCCCGGGTACCCGGGTTACCCGTCCCAGCCCTACTCACCACCGACTGCAGAGATTTCGAAGTTTGTATATGGCGCTCATCTGAATCACTTCCGGTGTACCTAGAGTTGAATGTCGATAACAAGATGTCAAACAGATGTTCAGAAAATAAAAGAAAGTATATATATCATCAGTATACAATAAGATGAATAGTGTTTAGATATATGTTTTATGGCAACATATTATATCTTATTAATTGGAATAAAAAAAAACATCATACGTATATTTATGGTTTAGTACTATGTCAGCTTCCTGTAAAATGGCGGCTTCCATGAAAACCGAAAAACAACAAATGCTGCAACGTCTGTGTTTCGTATACGGTTGATGACATTTAACATAACTGATCATGACAACAAGCGACGATCTGAGTGATTCCGATTCTTCTCTGTCGAAAGAAAAGTCTTCTTCTAGTCATAAAAAGAAACGTAAACATAGTAAACACAAAAAGTCAAAACATAAACACCACGACAAATCCAAAGTAAGGGAGCGCAGTCCGGAGTTCCACGATCGTCATGTATCTCATGCAAAACATACATCTTCAGATGACAATAAGAGGTATCACGACATCAGACGATACAAAGATGGGGGTGCCGACACTAGCAGTAGACATAGTGCAGGAGATACCGACGATAACAGTAGATACACGCATCATGAAAAGCCTTCAAAACGTAGGCTAAGTGCTGTGGAACATGAAAAGGCACGTGATATTTCTCACAACAAATACAGTGATGTAAAAGACGTGTATGCAACAAACTTTAAGGACAAAAATCGTCATGGAAAAAAGGCTGCTTCATTAGATTCTGATTCGGAAGATGAGCAGCAGGACACGGACTTTGATTTCACTCAGCATAAGCCATCTTTGAACAGAATATTTTTCAGAGATCAGGACTTCATAAGAAGGTAAATACTGAATGTACTGTGAAACATCCAAACTGTCCTTCATATAAGTTGCAGCACATTTGATGGTTATAATTTCTTTGTTGTTTAACACTGTTCACAATTAATGTTCATCTACAAAACGTAACCTAAATTCATGGATTAACCTTGATTTGTGGATTACAGTAATTATCATGCTATCTCGTAAATTTAGACTCGTATGACGTCACGATGCAGTACTTTTGATGAACACACAATGCCATGCCTTGCTGACAAAAATGTTCCAAATCTCTGCATTACACATAAATACACTAAATCTAATTGTCCAGCACTGAGAAAAATAACCCAAGATCACTAATGCCACTAATACCGAATTTTATCTTTACAAAATGTCAAGTCAAAAAGATACCGTTAGCACCAACCTTCTTACATCCCGTTGTCTGCTTTCCTAGTGTCAAAACTCACTGCAATGGGCTGTCGTACATAGTGATATATTGTAACCGACTACGCAATCCACGAAACAAGGTGACGTCACATTTTGTAAGCACATGAATGGGTGATGAATGCAAATGACTTTGGTAAACAACCGTTTCATTCACTAGTGGAATATTAGGCATTTTCAATTTGCTGAATCAATGTATAAAATAATCAGTGAGCATACAAAATGAAATCATGCATTTAAAATATGATTTTCGCTGCACTTCCCTTATATGACTGACTGAGTTTGGTTTTACACCGCTTTTAGCAATATTCCAGCAACATCACGGGGCGGGGGACACCAGAAATGGGCTTCACCTTCCCTTATGTGATGTCAACCTGTTTGTTTTTCAATCTGTTTGAGGACCAGCAGAGCTAAACATACGCATAAGTCTGTATTTGTGTAGACATTCTCTTTCTTCAAGTTGTTTTATGGCCTGAACATGCTCATGGACTTAGTCTGTGTTATTTATCTTTGAGCAGAACATTAAATAATATTATTATTTCAATCTTTCATGACAGAACATAATGAAACAAAAGTACACCTAAATTTTGAAATTTTATAAAAGATCCCAAATTATTCTCAGTATTCTTGTCAAAATATACCTAACTATTTGTTGTAAAAATCTGTGTTTATTTCATATTGTCATGATTGTGTTGCAGCATAATGCTGTTGTGTGTCAAAATACTCTCTGCATGTCACTTCATTGACTGTGCATTTTGTCATAACTGGTATGGGAGTAAGGCATGATCGTGATGGAAAAGGTTATGACCCTCTTTTGGCATCTTTCCTATCGTCTTGCTTGTTTGATTTCAGAGGAACCAAACAGTATGATGATTTTTGGGCATTCCTGGTTAAATATCAAGAGTTCCAACGGAAGAAGGCAGCCAAAAAACATCGTATGTATCAATTTCATGATGTAAAAGCAAATATTTGGATTGGTTGGGAAAGCATGTTAGAGTTATCTAGCAGGGCATGGAATCATCCAGTAGATGACATCCTTATGTTGTCAGCTTTGGTCATGTGGACAAGGCTCTGACTTTGGATCAGAGGGTCTGTGGTTCAAATCCCAGACCAGTTCTCTGAAAATTTATGGCAGCTACAGTTACATGCCCTTATTTAAAAAAATCACAAAATGTCAAATCTAAAATTTGGGACCCCATTCCATAGAGTGATCATAGGACTATAGTAGACTTTAATCAATGCTAAAGAATGGGAGTGGAAGTAAGTATTGAATATGATGTGGACAGGGACTAGAAACATGATAACCTGTTTGTTGATGTTAAGCATAGGCGTACGTATGTGTCATTTAATGATCTTGATGTATTAGGGGTTTCAATTTCAGCTACAAGTAAACCATCCTCGAGACTGGAAGATGAGGGGAGGCTTGGCCTACCACAAACATATGACAACCGTTACCGCATCAACCTGTCGTTGGTCAGCAAAGATGTGGAACTGTTCCTCAAGAAGGGGCGACTTGTTGGTGAGTATCAATGGATGCTGTACAGAGTTTCACAAACATTGTGGACCACTAGACAAATGGCAGCATTGATCTGTGCAGTTGTAGAATCAAAGGGGATCGACCTGACTTGTGTGTGAAAAGTCCTTTTTGTTTTTCCTTTAAAACTGAATAAAGGGTAAAGATTGAGTGGAATTGGAATTTGCAATGTGTACTGTATCTAATGATTGTTGTCACATGGTGTACCATTATCATACTGCAGCTCTGGAGTGCATGTAGAGATTTCCCCCAGTTGTGAATTGACTTTATTCTCTGCTTGTTTGTTACACATCCTGAAATACAAATTTCTGGTTCACATGTTTACCTGTCACTGAAATGTATAGTGTCTCAATCAAAGGTGAAATCACACATTTATCTTAACTACAGAGAAATTATGCCACTGTCATGGTAGCTAAATTTAGTTAGTTTAGCTATATCTTGTGTTTTTCAGTATTGGTTCTACAAAAACTTTGTTAACATCTTTTATGGTGCTTCCTTTCATGGATGAAGAGAATGGCCTCAACTAGTTTAATAATCGACATTAGCTTTTATGTCTCATATGGAATGTGATTTTACCAGAAGGTATCAACATGGGGATTTTAGGGATGTGTAGTGAAACACCTAGAAATCAAGGCATGGTGTAACAATCATTAATATATTAGTCCATGTGTCTGAACACTTTGCTTCCTTGATGCCAGACTACGATGTGGGGCGAGAACTGACCCGGGAGAGAGTGACCAAGTTCAAGGGCATCCTGCTTCACTATCTTGACTTCCAACAGAAACAGAAGGTAGGGCAACGTGGAAAGGTCTTTGTGTGTTGGGTAGCATATATTTGTGTGACACATCCATTTATTAAAATGTCTCTGAATGTGTTATTAGGTGTGCCATGCTTTTTGCTGCAATATTTTTTACTCCAATTATCCAAAGTACTCAGTTATATGAAAATAGTTTTGGCATATATAGCTGGCAATGAGCCAATAGCCGATTTCATTGGGGTACTCACATTTATTTTACTTTTAGAACATTATGACGTAAATGTTTCTGTTCCAACAGCCCAGTAGGGATATCAGGTCACAGTAGGTCCTCAGTGACTTGTTCCAAATGCCAGTGAGATGTGACTCTGGTATTAAGTGAATGAGTCCATCATACTCCAGTGGTGTGGATTGTTGCTTTCAGTCACTGATTTGCCTGGTCCAGGCTTGTTTATATGCAGTCCATCATGAATGTTAAGTAAGTGATTAACAAACATACACTTCCTTACTGTATTTTGTCAGTTCTCCAAGTTGAGGAAGATCCGTGCAGACCAGGAGAACTTGCCCATTTTCCAGTACAAGACCATGATCTGTGGTATGGTGAAGCGCCACCAAGTGGTGGTTGTTGCCGGGGATACAGGATGTGGCAAGTCCACACAGGTAAGTAACACAGAGATAACCACATGCAGATCTAGAGGGGGTCTGAAAGGGTGCGTCTAAACATACATGAATCTTAGAGAAGGTCAATAGTGGTGTGCATGAACATACATAAATCTCGAGGGGGTCTGAAAGGGTGCGTCTAAACATACATGAATCTTAGAGAGGGTCAATAGTGGTGTGCATGAACATACTTAAGAATCTCAAACATACATGAAATCTTAGAGAGGGTCAATAGTGGTGTGCATGAACATACTTAAATCTAGAGGGGGTCTGCAAGGGTGAGTCTAAACATGCACAAATCTTAGAGAGGGTCAATAGTGGTGTGCATGAACATTCTTAAATCTAGAGGGGATCTGAAAGGGTGCGTCTAAACATACACAAATCTTAGAGAGGGTCAATAGTGGTGTGCATGAACATTCTTAAATCTAGAGGGGGATCTGAAAGGGTGGACATCAACATCAATCTTAATGGGGGCTGTGGGTGTACATGAACATGGCTTACAAACACAAACTGTTGCATGAATGAATAATCACACATTTTTTATGTTTTACGCACCCACTCCCCAATCAACCCTTTTCCAAAAAATATCAGTAGTGAAGTTACTCACTCTGAATTACTATTTTGTGCATGCAAACTAAAGATTTTTTGTGTTAGCTTATATCATGGTGGGTTGTGTGCCATTGGTTTGCCAAGTAATTGCACAGTGAATTTGTTGTTTGTTCCTCTAACCAGTGATTGTCTGCTGAATGAATCTGACATTACTAAATGTACGTATTGTTGAGTACTATTGTGTGAGACTGTGTGGCTGCCATGATCAGATGTTTCTGTTGATGGAATCTTGCAGAGAGTGACGTAAAGCCTGACTCACTGTAGCACCATTACTGACCCGTTAATCTAGATCTGTGTGATCAACTGTACACAGTTGTGTCCTTGTGCTGCCATCTGATACATCTGATACATGGGTCTGATACATCTGATACACGTGTCTGGTACATCTGATACATCTGATACATGAGTCTGATACGTCTGATACATGTGATACATGGGTCTGATACATGTGATACATGTGTCTGATACATCTGATACATGAGTCTGATACGTCTGATACATCTGATACATGGGTCTGATACATGTGATACATGTGTCTTATACATCTGATACATGTGTCTGATACATCTGATACATGTGGGTCTTATACTGATACATGTGTCTGGTACATCTGATACATCTGATACATGAGTCTGATACGTGTCTGGTACATCTGATACATCTGATACATGAGTCTGATACATACATGTGATACATACATCTGATACATGAGTCTGATACATCTGATACATGAGTCTTATACATGTGATACATGTGTCTGATACATCTGATACACGTGTCTGGTACATCTGATACACGTGTCTGGTACATCTGATACATCTGATACATGAGTCTGATACGTCTGATACATGTGATACATGTGTCTGATACATGTGTCTGATACATCTGATACATGAGTCTGATACGTCTGATACATCTGATACATGAGTCTTATACATGTGATACATGTGTCTGATACATCTGATACATGAGTCTGATACATCTGATACATTAGTCTGATACATCTGATACATGAGTCTGATACATCTGATACATGGGTCTGATACATCTGAAACATGAGTCTGATACATGTGATACATGTGTCTGATACATCTGATACGTGAGTCTGATACATCTGATACATGAGTCTGATACATCTGATACATGAGTCTGATACATCTGATACATGAGTCTGATACATCTGTTACATGAGTCTGATACATCTGATACATGAGTCTGATACATCTGATACATGAGACTGATACATCTGATACATGAGTCTTATACATCTGATACATGAGTCTGATACATCTGATACATGAGTCTGATACATCTGATACATGAGTCTGATACATCTGTTACATGAGTTTGATACATCTGATACATCTGATACATGAGTCTTATACATCTGATACATGAGTCTGATACATCTGATACATGTGTCTTATACATCTGATACATGAGTCTGATACATCTGAGTCTGATACATCTGATACATGAGTCTGATACATCTGATACATGAGTCTGATACATCTGATACATGAGTCTGATACATGTGATACATGAGTCTGATACATCTGATACATGAGTCTGATACATCTGATACATGAGTCTGATACATGAGTCTGATACATCTGATACATGAGTCTGATACATCTGATACATGGGTCTGATACATCTGATACATGAGTCTGATACATGTGATACATGTGTCTGATACATCTGATACATGAGTCTGATACATCTGATACATGAGTCTGATACATGAGTCTGATACATCTGATACATGAGTCTGATACATCTGATACATGGGTCTGATACATCTGATACATGAGTCTGATACGTCTGATACATCTGATACATGAGTCTTATACATGTGATACATGTGTCTGATACATCTGATACATGAGTCTGATACATCTGATACATGAGTCTGATACATGAGTCTGATACATCTGATACATGGGTCGGATACATCTGATACATGAGTCTGATACATCTGATACATGAGTCTGATACATCTGATACATGAGTCTGATAAATCTGATACTTGAGTCTGATACATGTGATACATGGGTCTGATACATGGGTCTGATACATCTGATATATCTGATACATCTGATACACCTGATACATGGGTCTGATACATGTGATACATCTCATATATGAGTCTGATACATCTGATATATCTGATACATCTGATACATGGGTCTGATACATGTGATACATCTGATACATGAGTCTGATACATGTGATATATCTGATACATCTGAGACATGAGTCTGATACATGTGATACATGTGTCTGATACATCTGATTTATCTGATACATGTGATATATCTGATACATGGGTCTGATACATGTGATACATGGGTCTGATACATGTGATACATGAGTCTGATACATCTGATATATCTGATACATGAGTCTGATACATGTGATTCATGAGTCTGATACATCTGATATATCTGATACATGAGTCTGATACATCTGATATATCTGATACATCTGATACATGTTATACATGTGTCTGATACATCTGATACCTGAGTCTGATACATGTGATACATGTGTCTGATACATGGGTCTGATACATGTGATACATCTGATACATGAGTCTGATACATGTGATACATGTGTCTGATATATCTGATACATGGGTCTGATACATGTGATACATCTGATACATGAGTCTGATACATCTGATACATGGGTCCGATACATCTGATACATGTGATACATGGGTCTGATACATCTGATACACGTGTCTGATACATGTGATACATCTGATACATGAGTCTGATACATGTGATACATGTGTCGGATACATCTGATACATGGGTCTGATACATGTGATACATGGGTCTGATACATCTGATATATCTGATGACATGTGATACACATGTGTCGGATACATCTGATACATGTGATACATGGGTCTGATACATCTGATATATCTGATACATGGGTCTGATACATGTGATACATGGGTCTGATACATCTGATACATGAGTCTGATACATCTGGTTCAAGTGATACATGGGTCTGATACATCTGGTACATGTGATACATGGGTCTGATACATGTGATACATGGGTCTGATACATCTGATCTATCTGATACATGTGATACATGAGTCTGATACATCTGGTTCAAGTGATACATGGGTCTGATACATCTGGTACATGTGATACATGGGTCTGATACATCTGATACATGAGTCTGATACATCTGGTTCAAGTGATACATGGGTCTGATACATCTGGTACATGTGATACATGGGTCTGATACATGTGATACATGGGTCTGATACATCTGATACATGTGATACATGGGTCTGATACATGTGATACATGGGTCTGATACATCTGATATATCTGATACATGGGTCTGATACATCTGATACATGTGATACATGGGTCTGATACATGTGATACTTGGGTCTGATACATCTGATATATGTGATACTTGGGTCTGATACATCTGATATATCTGATACATGTGTCTGATACATCTGATATATCTGATACATGATACATGGGTCTGATACATGTGATACATGGGTCTGATACATCTGATACATGAGTCTGATACATGAGTCTGATACATCTGTTACATGAGTTTGATACATCTGATACATCTGATACATGAGTCTTATACATGTGATACATGTGTCTTATACATCTGATACATGAGTCTGATACATCTGAGTCTGATACATCTGATACATGAGTCTGATACATCTGATACATGAGTCTGATACATCTGATACATGAGTCTGATACATCTGATACATGGGTCTGATACATCTGATACATGAGTCTGATACATCTGATACATGAGTCTGATACATCTGATACATGAGTCTGATACATCTGATACATGTGTCTGATACATCTGATACATGAGTCTGATACGTCTGATACATCTGATACATGAGTCTTATACATGTGATACATGTGTCTGATACATCTGATACATGAGTCTGATACATCTGATACATGAGTCTGATACATCTGATACATGAGTCTGATACATCTGATACATGAGTCTGATACATCTGATACATGAGTCTGATAAATCTGATACTTGAGTCTGATACATGTGATACATGGGTCTGATACATCTGATATATCTGATACATCTGATACACCTGATACATGGGTCTGATACATGTGATACATCTCATATATGAGTCTGATACATCTGATATATCTGATACATCTGATACATGGGTCTGATACATGTGATACATCTGATACATGAGTCTGATACATGTGATATATCTGATACATCTGAGACATGAGTCTGATACATGTGATACATGTGTCTGATACATCTGATTTATCTGATACATGTGATATATCTGATACATGGGTCTGATACATGTGATACATGGGTCTGATACATCTGATACATGAGTCTGATACATCTGATATATCTGATACATGAGTCTGATACATGTGATTCATGAGTCTGATACATCTGATATATCTGATACATGAGTCTGATACATCTGATATATCTGATACATCTGATACATGTTATACATGTGTCTGATACATCTGATACCTGAGTCTGATACATGTGATACATGTGTCTGATACATGGGTCTGATACATGTGATACATCTGATACATGAGTCTGATACATGTGATACATGTGATACATGTGTCTGATATATCTGATACATGGGTCTGATACATGTGATACATCTGATACATGAGTCTGATACATCTGATACATGGGTCCGATACATCTGATACATGTGATACATGGGTCTGATACATCTGATACACGTGTCTGATACATGTGATACATCTGATACATGAGTCTGATACATCTGATACATGTGTCTGATACATCTGATACATGTGATACATGGGTCTGATGCATCTGATACATGTGTCTGATACATCTGATACATGAGTCTGATACATCTGGTTCATGTGATACATGGGTCTGATACATCTGGTACATGTGATACATGGGTCTGATACATCTGATATATCTGATATATGAGTCTGATACATCTGATACATGTGATACATGGGTCTGGTGATACATGTGATGGGTCTGATACATCTGATATATCTGATATATGGGTCTGATACATGTGATACATGTGTCGGATACATCTGATACATGTGATACATGGGTCTGATACATGTGATACATGAGTCTGATACATCTGATACATGTGATACATGGGTCTGATACATGTGATACATGGGTCTGATACATCTGATACATGGGTCTGATACATCTGATACATGTGATACATGGGTCTGATACATGTGATACATGGGTCTGATACATCTGATACATGTGATACATGGGTCTGATACATGTGATACATGAGTCTGATATCATCTGATACATCTGATACATGAGTCTGATACATCTGATACATGAGTCTGATACATCTGATACATGAGTCTGATACATCTGTTACATGAGTTTGATACATCTGATACATCTGATACATGGGTCTGATACATCTGATATAATGGAGTCTGATACGTCTGATGATGCATGGGTCTTATACATGTGATACATGTCTGATACTGATACATGAGTCTGATACATCTGATACATGAGTCTGATACATCTGATACATGGAGTCTGATACATCTGATACATGGAGTCTGATACATCTGATATGAGTCTGATAAATCTGATACTTGAGTCTGATACATGTGATACTTGGGTCTGATACATCTGATATCTGATGCATCTGATACACCTGATACATGGGTCTGATACATCTGATACATCTCATATATGAGTCTGATACATCTGATATATCTGATACATGGGTCTGATACATGTGATACATCTGATACATGAGTCTGATACATGTGATATATCTGATACATCTGAGACATGGAGTCTGATACATGTGATACATATGTCTGATACATCTGATTTATCTGATACATGTGATATATCTGATACATGGGTCTGATACATGTGATACATGGGTCTGATACATCTGATACATGAGTCTGATACATCTGATATATCTGATACATGGAGTCTGATACATGTGATTCATGAGTCTGATACATCTGATATATCTGATACATGGAGTCTGATACATCTGATATATCTGATACATCTGATACATGTGATACATGTGTCTGATACATCTGATACCTGAGTCTGATACATGTGATACATAGTGTCTGATACATGATACATCTGATACATGTGATACATCTGATACATGGGTCTGATACATGTGATATGTGATACATGGGTCTGATATATCTGATACATGGGTCTGATACATGTGATACATCTGATACATGAGTCTGATACATCTGATACATGGGTCTGATACATCTGATACATGTGATACATGGGTCTGATACATCTGATACATGGGTCTGATACATGTGATACATCTGATACATGGAGTCTGATACATCTGATACATGTGTCTGATACATCTGATACATGTGATACATGGGTCTGATGCATCTGATACATGTGTCTGATACATCTGATACATGAGTCTGATACATCTGGTCTCATACATGTGATACATGGGTCTGATACATCTGATCTATCTGATACATGTGATACATGGGTCTGATACATCTGGTACATGTGATACATGGGTCTGATACATCTGATACATGTGATACATGGGTCTGATACATGTGATACATGGGTCTGATACATCTGATATATCTGATACATGGGTCTGATACATGTGATACATGTGATCATGGATACATCTGATACATGTGATACATGGGTCTGATACATCTGATATATGTGATACATGTGTCTGAGACATCTGATATATCTGATACATGGGTGTGATACATGTGATTCATGGGTCTGATACATGTGATACATGAGTCTGATACATCTGATACATGAGTCTGATACATCTGATACATGTGATACATGGGTCTGATACATGTGATACATGGGTCTGATACATCTGATACATGTGATACATGGGTCTGATACATGTGATACATGAGTCTGATACGTCTGATACATGTGATACATGTGTCTGATACATCTGATACATGAGTCTGATACATCTGATACATGAGTCTGATACATCTGATACATCTGATACATGGGTCTGATACATGTGATACATGGGTCTGATACATCTGATACATGAGTCTGATACATGTGATACATGGGTCTGATACATCTGATACATGAGTCTGATACGTCTGATACATGTGATACATGAGTCTGATACATCTGATACATGAGTCTGATACATCTGATACATGGGTCTGATACATCTGATACATGTGATACATGAGTCTGATACATGTGATACATGGGTCTGATACATCTGATACATGTGATACATGGGTCTGATACATGTGATACATGGGTCTGATACATGTGATACATGAGTCTGATACATCTGATACATGTGATACATGGGTCTGATACATCTGATACATGAGTCTGATACATCTGATATATCTGATACATGTGTGATCTGATACATGTGATACATGGGTCTGATACATCTGATCTATCTGATACATCTGATACATGAGTCTAATACATCTGGTACTCTGATACATGGGTCTGATACATCTGATACATCTGATACATGTGATACATGTGTCGGATACATCTGATACATGGGTCTGATACATGTGATACATGGGTCTGATACATCTGATACATCTGATACATGGGTCTGATACATCTGATATATCTGATACATGGGTCTGATACATCTGATATATCTGATACATGGGTCTGATACATCTGATACATGGGTCTGATACATCTGATATATCTGATAGATTGGTCAGATACATCTGATATATCTGATACATAAGTCTGATACATCAGATACATGTGATACTTGGGTCTGATACATCTGATACATGTGATACTTGGGTCTGATACATCTGATATATCTGATACATGGGTCTGATACATGTGATACATGGGTCTGATACATCTGATACATGGGTCTGATACATGAGTCTGATACATGAGTCTGATACATGTGATACATGAGTCTGATACATGTGATACATGAGTCTGATACATCTAATACATGAGTCTGATACATCTGATACATCTGATACATCTGATACATCTGATACATGTGTCTGATACATCTAATAAATGGGTCTGATACATCTGATACATGGGTCTGATACATCTGATATATCTGATACATGGGTCTGATACATCTGATACATGGGTCTGATACATGAGTCTGATACATCTGATATATCTGATACATGGGTCTGATACATGTGATACATGGGTCTGATACATCTGATATATCTGTGAGTCCTGTCAGACATTTGCCTTGAATCAGGACTTTTGGCATATAATCACCATACCTGTCCTTGTTGGTTTCATCAATGTGGGAAATATCTGGGACATAAAGCACTTGTGGCTCTCTTCACACGTCGTGTTGACATGCTGTGATGTCTGAAATGTTGGTAAATGCAGCTGTATAACCCATCTCACTGTTGTCTCAGGTGCCGCAGTATCTGATGGAGGCAGGGTTCGAGAACATTGCCTGCACTCAGCCACGGAGGATCGCCTGCATCTCTCTATCCAAGCGAGTCAGCTACGAGACGTTGAATGAGTACGGCTCAGCTGTAGCCTTCCAGGTACACTGATAGCCAAGAAACCACAACAGACATGCTAGATACATTCCCAGCTTTCCTCCAATTAAATCCCAATAGCAATACTCCAGAATTGGTATTTCAGTAATACTGAAATAGTATGTAATATTGATGCTTTGTGGTACTTTTTGAAAAGTTTGATATGCATACAATTGCTTTTTCAAATGACTAGCAAGAATATTTGTCCACAATGTTAATTTGTCATTCTCATATTGATTTAAAACTACAAAAGATAACAGATTGACCTAATGACCTTTTAGTGTGGACCGCCTCTGTGGTGTTGTGGTTAGAGCGTCCGCCCGGAGAGCGGAAGGTTGCAGGTTCGATCCCCGACCGCGTCATACCAAAAGACGTTAAAATATGGTACTTGTTGGTCCCTGCCTGGCGCTCGGCATTAATGGGTACAACAAGGACTGGTCGACTCGGAGTCAGTATAATGTGTCTGAGTGGGGTATTCCTGCTTCACTGCAGCATGGTATCTCAGTGATATAGCACTATAAAACCAGCTTAAGTCTGGGCTAGTACAAGCAGCCCACCTACACATACACATGCATGCACGTGGTCATATGAGCGAAATATTCTCAAGAGCGACGTAAAACCTAATTTCACCTCACCTCACCTTTTAGTGTGATGCCCAAACCACATTAATACAAGGTTATGGTGATGAAATATAGTGATTGTTAAAGATCTTCTGTTTCTAAACTCTGGAACAAGTAACAATTATGCTGAGACAGTGTTATTACCTGTAATCTAATTCAAGTTGTTTGATTCCAGGTACGCTTTGAGAAAAGCAAAACAAGAGCCACCAAAATCCTCTTCCTGACAGAAGGTAAGGTGATAACAGATGTGCTCGTTTTTACCTTATGAGGGGAGTCGATACAATTGTGAAATTTTCCAGATAGTCTTGAAGCTACTGATGTACTACTATTAGATGAGCCACGACCTGACCAATGACCCCAATTTGCACGTATGGGAACGCCCTCCAGAACATTTCATCTGAAAAATGAGGGAAACAGGTTGTCGTCTAAAACTTGAAAATTTTCGTTTCCTCGTGCGAATCGTGTTGTGATTGTTATGTCATACTAAGCATGTGTACAGCTAAGATCCTGAGAAACTGAACCAAGACAAATATAACTTTATTTACAAAACACCCCATACAAGTGCTAGAGAAAAGAACTCTTGTTATGTTTACAAACGGATGTATAATCGGCAAATATTCTGGTGCATCCTCTCCACACAGGGGTCAAATACCGAATAGATCCATTATGGAATTTACTGATTCAGGCTACTTCGGGCCTTAGCTGTCACTTTCTAAATTGGTCTCTGTGTCTGAATCACTTGTCAGTCCTACGATCACGATTCTGTCAATTTCTTTTTCTACTGCAATTTCCCGTTGCCAGTAGCCATTTTCAATGGTTTTAACATGTTTACAACATTCGGACCATTCCTTGGCACTGATTGCAGACATTCTCTCGTTTATGTCAACTCTTAGCGAAGTTTTTGTGAACTGCAAGTTTTGTTTAGCAACATAATTTTTGACATTGGCCCAAATCAACTCAATTGGGTTCAATTCTGCGTGGTAAGGAGGAAGACGTAGTACACCATGGCCAAGTTGTTTCAACATAGTGTCTACATTATAGACAGGCCTGATTTGTTAAAGGATTTTGCCAGACACAACAGTTCGGCTTTGAGCATTTTATCGTTGAATGCAATATTGTGCCTTTGTAACAAAGCTTTGATATCATCTTTTCTGTTAGCCGTTGTTTGACATTTGTCCACTTGCTTGCTGTGGTATGGCTGTGGGGTGGAATGTGTGGGATCAGTTTTTCCTGTTGCCATTTGGAAAAATTATCAAAATTCATCTCGACATGATATTTTGCTGATTTGAGCTTTGAATCAAATACAAGTAAGGCAATTGGTACAAAACCGTTTTTGGACCCTGCATGAACAACAATAAGCCGAGGTCCGGTACTGGACGGAGGCTGAACCCCATTTATCACAACCTCACCATCAAGATGATTGTTCGATTTTCATGTCGACATTTTTTTATTGCACGTAAGTGTTGCATGTGCTTTGCAGCGATGTCTTTTTGTTCCATTAAAACCTGATGATACGCCACCTAAACTCCATGTCTTTCAGATTATTTCGAAAACATTCCTTTGATCCCTGGTAATGCAATTGGCTTCTTGCCATATCATATATCATATCTAGAGTAGGCAGTTGCTTTTGTACTCCACATAAACTTTGTACAAATTAACGGACTGCACACCGGTCAAAATCATTAAGTTTATAATTGAAAGTTTTGGGTTTGCACAACTTGGTTGGACTAATAGAAGTAGGCCTACTCACACCCCTATCACCTTCCGCTTTAATACGTTTTAAAGTTGCCTTGGAAAGACCAGTAGCAAGGCTACTTTTTTGACAAAGTGTCTACTTTGGTTGCACACGTCTTTTCCATATAAATAATAACATTGTAGGCTAACTCCCTTGTTTGAGAATGAACAATTTGCCCATGCTTCCCTAACTTGGACATGTTAAATTAATTAAAATCTGCAAACATTCAAAAATTGACTCGTGTCAAGATGGTGTCTTGCTGAACTAAATCGCTCTACGAGACACGTTTTCAACAGAAGCGGCATTGAGTTCACGTCACGGTCAGCATGTATTGCACGTACTTAATCGCCAATGTCCCTGTAGCAACCAAGTGTATTCGTCTAGATTCCCTGCCCCGCCTACTTGTCACAAACGCGTGTACTGCGCAGGCTCATCTAATCATGTAGAAGCAGTAGTGTAGAAGTAAGAAAAACATTAACCACTGACGACCAGGTCCAGATAGAGTTGAAAGTCGACTTCATCCACAATGACCCAACAGGCAGATGTGAATGTGTTGAATGTACCAAATATTCTGCCAGTGCCAATTCTTTGTTACTGGAATGTCAGTAAGTACAATCCAAGCCATCTTCAAACAAGTTACACTGTCTTATGGCAGCTGGTCCCCTCTGTTGTTTCTGCTAGACATGGGCCTACAGACCTGCAGTGAAGTTGACACCTGCTTTAGGACATAGCAGCACTGTTTGTGCAGGGGAGTTGTCAGAATGCAGTCAAGACGTGTCTTGCAGTAAACATCAGCTCAGCTTATGTTTTCTGTTTCCAGGATTGTTGCTGAGACAGATGACATCTGATCCTTACCTGAAGCAGTATGACGTCATCGTGATTGATGAGGTAGTGTAGAGACTCCATGTGGAATTCCCTGTGTGGGGACATATACCAGTATATAGGTATAAGTTTACTGACAGAGGTTCCTGGACTGTTCATGGATTATTACAATACTTAGATACATCTGTTTGCCTAACCAAGTACAGACTATAATATATAGCTTGAAAATTGTAGACATTCTCTTTGACTTTAATTTGCCACCTCTATGAACATTTTAACTGTAGGCATGCCTTGATCCTGCAATGTGGGGTCAAATCTCAGATTATGAACTTGGTTTGTCTACACCAAACCTGTCCTTGTCAGTATCAACAGAGACCTGCATACACATTACTGAAATACTTTTCAAAACGATGCAGCTCAATCACTCACTCAGGCTGTCAGGGATGGTTGAGCTCCAGTACCTTGAAACTTTATTCTCCATCCGTTATGTGATAGATAGGTATGAGCTAGACTGTATTTATGTTGTTTGAAATGAGGTAAGTGTATCTACTGGTGTCTGTAGGTTCATGAGCGCCACATCTTCACGGACTTCCTGCTTGGTGTGCTGAAGTGCATGCTCAAGAAGAGGGAGGACCTCAAGCTGGTCCTCATGTCTGCCACCATCAACATTGAGCTGTTCAGCGGGTACTTCGAGAATGCCCCAGTCATCCGGGTGAGGCAACTACGTCCTACTACATTTCAGTAATGCTCTCGAAGCCATGTTCATAACTGTCTTGCATCAGTAATTGCTGTCCACATTAATAACACAGAGAGGTTTAAATAAATAACAATTAAAACAAGTTAAATAACAAGTGGCTGTTGTACTAGACTCTTGTGTAGCACTAGTAACGGACATCAAGATATACTAAATTGAAGATAGATACAGTCTGTTCCTCATGTCATGTCATGACATGTAATCAGTGCCTGATTATTATCCCACCGGCATATAATGCGATGGGATATAGTCGTCGCCTCGTCCGTCTGTCCGTCCGTCCGTCCGTCCGTCCGTCCGTACGTAATCATTTTGTTTCCGGACCATAACTCAAAGACCATTCGATATTTTTTAACCAAAATTGGTAGATATGTCAAACATAACCTAAGGTGGTGCCTTTTGCTATTTACAGATAATTGTCATTTTATTTTTCTCGGTTTCCATGGAAACGTTTTGGACTTAGTCTTAAAGAAGGGTGGGCTTCGTTTCCGAGCATAACTCAAGAACCATTCAATATTTTTCAACAAAACTTGGTAGATATATCAAACAGATCCCAAAGTGGTGCCTTTTGCTATTTACAGATTTTTGGCATTTTTATTTTTCCCGGTTTCCATGGAAACAATCCGGACTTAGTCCCAAAAGTGAGGGGTGGGCTTCGTTTCCGGAGCATAACTCAAGAACCGTTCAATATTTTTCAACAAAAGTTGGTAGATATATCAAACAGAACCATGAGTGGTGCCTTTTGGTATTTGCAGATTTTTGTCATTTTTATTTTTCCCGGTTTCCATGGAAACATTTTGGACTTAGTCTCAAAAAGTAAGGATTGCTTTCGTTTCCGGAGCATAACTCAAGAACCATTCAATATTTTTCAACAAAACTTGGTAGATATATCAAACAGATCCTAAAGTTGTGCCTTTTGCTATTTGCAGATTTTTGGCATTTTTATTTTTCCCGGTTTCCATGGAAACGATTCGGACTTAGTCCCAAAAGTGAGGGGTGGGCTTCGTTTCCGGAGCATAACTCAAAAACCGTATAATATTTTTCAACAAAACTTGGTAGATATATCAAACAGATCCTAAAGTTGTGCCTTTTGCTATTTGCAGATTTTGGCATTTTTATTTTTCCCGGTTTCCATGGAAACGATTCGGACTTAATCCCAAAAGTGAGGGTAGGCTTTCGTTTCCGGAGCACAACTCAAAACCTCTCTATATCTTTCAGCAAAACTTGGCAGATATGTGAGGCAGATCTTGAAGTGGTGCCTTTTGCTATTTGCAGATATTTGTGATTTATTATTTTCTCGGTTTCCATGGAAATGATTCGGACTTAGTCTCAAAAGGAAGGGATGGGTTTCGTTTCGAACACAACTGGAAAACTTCTTAATATCTTTCAGCAAAACTTGGCACAATCAGACAGACCGTGACTTTGTTACGACAGACCGTGGGTGTAGTGGTTAGAGCGTCCGCCGGAGAGTGGAAGGTCGCAGGTTCGATCCCCAACCGCATCATATCAAAAGACGTTAAAATACAGCACTTGTTGGTCCCTGCCTGGCTCTCGGCATTAATGGGTACAACAAGGACTGGTCTGCATGGAGTCAGTATAATGTGTCTGAGTGGGGTATTCCTGCTTTACTGCGGCATGGTATCTCAGTGGGCTAGCACTATAAAACCAGCTTCAGTCTGGGCTAGTACAAGCAGCCGCACCTACACATACACACGCAAGCACGTGGTCATATGAGCGAAATATTCTCAAGCACGACGTTAACCCAATTTCACCTCACCTCACCTACAATCAGACAACTCTGGTCACATTCTATATACATATAGTCTGTCAGGGATTTACCTTGAGTCCTGTATTTGAGGGTCCTGGGACGCATTCTCTTTATTTTCAGGGGTCCCAGACACTTAAATAATATTATTAATACTATGTTGTAATATTGTTGCAATTCAGTTACTGTTATTGTATTGTGTACCATTGTTACAGTAATTAAATTGCAAATGACACCATAATCCAGCTAACAAACTCAGTGATAACTTATTGTCACTTGATCAAATTTTTGACAAAAAGTATTTGGATTTTATCTGCGCTAATAAATTTAGTTGCGTCCATTGTCAATTTTTATGCGATAGGACGCAGGAATTTGCGTCCTGTAAATCCCTGTCTGTGTTGTCTGTGTTGTATGTGTATCTTATCAAACAGTACAACATGATTGAATCTCACTTTGGATGTTTTTGTAGATGACTGCTTTCAGCATGGGTTACTACATGGCACTGGTTGTTGTTGAGTTCTAAGCTGTTCAACAAATGTTGTTGATATTGATGTATCCATGTATGTTGTATCAGGTAAGAAAGACGATGTGTTGCAGGTCCCTGGACGTCTTCACCCTATTGAGTTAGAGTATCAGCCAATCAAACGCGATGAGATGACCAGTCGTGGTGAAAAGCTGGATCCGACCCCGTACCTCCGTATAATGCAGACAATTGACCACCGGGTGAGTAGAATGTGGATGCAGTACTTCCCTTCCTTCCTTCCTTCCTTCCTTCCCATGTCTTTCCTTCCCCTTCTCTTCAACTCCTTCCATCACCTCCTTACTTAAAGTGATATGTTGTCGTGTCAGGCCCCTTGTGAATTGATGTGATGTGTTTCAAAACAATAGGTTTCAGACCTATGACCTAGGTATACATACCACTTAACTTTGAAAATCTTAATGAGTTTTCTTCTGAGAAACCACAATAGCCAGTTATCTGAAGCTTGTTTGCAAAAAATGTGGAAAACTTTAAAGTTATGTCTTCTCATAAGCTGAAACACTGTGAGAGCCAAAATTTCTGGGGTACTAAAAACTGGTTGACAGTGCTTCCTGTCTCACTGTTCCTGTGACTTGGTGTTGGTTCATGGAGTGTCCTGATTGCAGTACCCGACCACAGAGAGAGGTGATCTGCTGATATTTTTGAGTGGGATGACAGAGATTATGACTATTGTGGAGGCAGCCAATCAGTACGCTCAACAGACCAAAAGATGGATCATTCTCCCCCTCCACAGTGCTCTGTCAGTCCAGGAGCAGGATAAGGTGAGCTATGAGAAACTGATGCTGGGCCAGTGGTAGAGAAGGCACATGTAGGTGATGCTGGTAATAGTTGTTATACTGTTTTCAGTTGTACAAATAGTGTAGAGAATACCATTCTTGCTTGAAAGCCATTTTTGCATTCTTCTTAGGCATGAGGACAAACCTATTCAGGTTTGGTAGATTTCTGGTGATACTGATTGTTGCCCTCTGTTATCAACCACTGGTTATTGTGGATTGCTGTGATATAACAACAATGTGGATTGTTGCCGATGTTATCAACCACTGGTTATTGTGGATTGCTGTGATATAACAACAATGTGGATTGTTGCCGATGTTATCAACCACTGGTTATTGTGGATTGCTGTGATATAACAACAATGTGTATTGTTGCCGATGTTATCAACCACTGGTTATTGTGGATTGCTGTGATATAACAACAATGTGAATTGTTGCCGATGCCATAAACCACTGGTTATTGTGGATTGCTGTGATATAACAACAATGTGGATTGTTGCCGATGCTATCAACCACTGGTTATTGTGGATTGCTGTGATATACCAACAATGTGGATTGTTGCCTATCAACCACTGGTTATTGTTGCCGGCTGTGATATAACAACAATGTGTATTGTTGCCTATGTTATCAACCACTGGTTATTATGGATTGCTGTGATATACCAACAATGTGGATTGTTGCCTATCAACCACTGGTTGTTGTTGCCGGCTGTGATATAACTGAAATATACATCTGACTGCTTCATGCAACACATACTTTTCCATGTAGGCCATATTTTGGACAAATGTTAATGGCAAATACTTGCTTATGGTGCTGATCCTGCATATAGAAATATTCACAGTGTGTTTTCTGCTTTTTTGTATCAGGTGTTTGACATTTCTCCTGAGGGTGTGAGAAAGTGCATTGTATCTACGAACATTGCAGAGACATCAGTGACTATCGATGGTGTACGGTTCATTGTTGACTCTGGCAAGGTATGTTCCTGGTTCAAGGTTAGTCTCACACCATAGCTGAACCTTACAAATACTCTGTTCTATGACATGGAATTATCAAGGGTCCTGACTTCACAGATCGGCAGTTAGAAACAGTTTCACTCAACGTAAACAATCCTCAAGTAATGGAGATGAATAAGATACATTTACTCTCTCAAGGACTCTGTTTCTGTTACGTGTAATAATTTCCTCAAACAGAATGATAAATCCATGAAAGGGTAGTGACTGAACTCATTGTACAACAGGTGAAGGAAATGAACTTTGACCCCAAGTATAAGATGCAGCGCCTTCAGGAGTTCTGGATCAGTCGTGCAAGTGCGGAACAGAGGAAGGGCCGAGCAGGTACGTTATGCACAACATGCCACTTCTGTCATAATGTAGGTTTTGGTTAAGAGCTTAGGTGGATCTGTTACCTTTGATGGGAAGGAAGATGGGAAAGAGTGTGTGTGCGTGTGTCACTATATATATAGCTGTATGACTTGGTGTGTGCATGTGTGTGTTCACCGCTCTTTATATAGCTGTATGATTTTACTTAGTGAACTTGTCATGGATGAGAGATTCTGATCCTGATTATAGTCCATGGCCTGTCAGCACCATATCGGTGCTCATGGGTATCGCTCCATTTAGATGTCTACCAAGGTCATTGTGGAGTTTACTAAAGCAATTTACTGACAAACTGTGAGCTGCCTGAAAAATGCAGCATCTGGTTCAAAAGAAAAAAACTCAGCTAAATATATTTTGAGGCAAGTATTTGAACTTTGACATCATGGAATGAGCATTTTACTGATTTGTGTGGCGAGCAAACACTGTAAAGACTTGTAGGTATATAGGGTGATGAACTGCAAGAGTCTTCACAACCTGTCCTATGTGCTGCCACAGGTCGGACTTCCCCGGGGGTTTGCTACCGCCTGTATGCTGACACTGTAAAGACTTGTAGGTATATAGGGTGATGAACTGCAAGAGTCTTCACAACCTGTCCTATGTGCTGCCACAGGTCGGACTGGCCCGGGGGTTTGCCACCGCCTGTATGCTGACACTGTAAAGACTTGTAGGTATATAGGGTGATGAACTGCAAGAGTCTTCACAACCTGTCCTATGTGCTCCCGCAGGTCGGACTGGTCCGGGGGTTTGCTACCGCCTGTATGCTGACACTGACTACAACTCCTTCCAGGAGTACGCCACTCCCGAGATACAGAGGGTCACGCTGGATACCCTCATCCTCCAGATGATTTCCCTTGGATTGCCTGATGCAAGGAGGTAGGACACTTTATCATCACTCTCCAATGTAATAAGGACGTTGATGTGGAATGTAGGTTTTCTTAACAGCCTTTGGCATGTTAATGGGTGATGTGTGTAAGGGTAAAGGTGATGAGTGTAAGGCGGTGATGAGTGTAAGGGGAAAGCTGATGTGTGTAAGGAGCTGATGTGTGTAAGGGGAAAGGTGATGAGTGTAAGGGGAAAGCTGATGTGTGTAAGGGTAAAGGTGATGAGTGTAAGGCGGTGATGAGTGTAAGGGGAAAGCTGATGTGTGTAAGGAGCTGATGTGTGTAAGGAGCTGATGTGTGTAAGGGGAAAGGTGATGAGTGTAAGGGGAAAGCTGATGTGTGTAAGCAGGTGATGTGTGTAAGGTGGTGATGAGTGTAAGTGGGAAGGTGATGAGTGTAAGGGGAAAGGTGATGAGTGTAATGAGGTGATGAGTGTAAGGGGAAAGGTGATGTGTGTAAGGAGGTCATGAGGGAAGGGGAAAGGTGATGTGTGTAAGGAGGTGATGTGTGTAAGGGGAAGGTGAAGAGTGTAAGGGGAAGGTGATGAGTGTAAGGGGAAAGGTGATGAGATGTAATGAGGTGATGAGTGTAAGGGGAAAGGTGATGTGTGTAAGGAGGTCATGAGGGAAGGGGAAAGGTGATGTGTGTAAGGAGGTGATGTGTGTAAGGGGAAGGTGAAGAGTGTAAGGGGAAGGTGATGAGTGTAAGGGGAAAGGTGATGAGTGTAAGGGGAAAGGTGATGTGTGTAATGAGGTGATGAGTGTAAGGGGAAAGGTGATGTGTGTAAGGGGGTCATGAGGGAAGGGGAAAGGTGATGTGTGTAAGGAGGTGATGTGTGTAAGGGGAAGGTGAAGAGTGTAAGGGGAAAGGTGATGAGAGTAAGGGGAAAGGTGATGAGTGTAAGGGGAAGGTGATGAGTGTAAGGGGAAGGTGATGAGTGTAAGGGGAAAGGTGATGAGTGTAAGGGGAAAGGTGATGAGTGTAAGGGGAAAGGTGATGAGTGTAAGGAAAGGTGATGAGTGTAAGGGGAAAGGTGATGAGTGTAAGGTGGGGAAGGTGATGAGTGTAAGGGGAAGGTTGATGAACATAAGGGGAAGGTGATGAGTGTAAGGGGAAATGAGTGTATTAGGAGGTGATGAAGGTGTAAGGGGAAGGTGATGAGTGTAAGGGGAAAGGTGATGAGTGTAAGGGGAAAGGTGATGAGAGTAAGGGGAAAGGTGATGAGTGTAAGGGGAAGGTGATGAGTGTAAGGGGAAAGTTGATGTGTATAGGGAGGTGATGAGTGTAAGGGGAAGGTGATGAGTGTAAGGAGGTGATGAGTGTAAGGGGAAAGGTGATGAGAGTAAGGGGAAAGGTGATGAGTGTAAGGGGAAGGTGATGAGTGTAAGGGGAAAGGTGATGAGTGTAAGGGGAAAGGTGATGAGTGTAAGGAGGTGATGTGTGTAAGGGGAAGGTGATGAGTATTAGGGGAAGGTGATGTGTGTAAGGAGGTGTCGAGTGTAAGGGGAAGGTGATGTGTGTAAGGGGAAGGTGATGTGTGTAAGGGGAAGGTGATGTTTGTAGTTGTAAGGGGAAGGTGATGTTTGTAAGGGAAGGTTATGAGTGTAAGGAGGTGATGTGTGTAAGGGGAAGGTGATGAGTGTAAGGGGAAGATGATGAGTGTAAGGGGAAGGTGATGTGCGTAAGGAGGTGATGTGTGTAAGGGGAAGGTGATGAATGTAAGGGGAAGGTGATGTGTGTAAGGGGAAGGTGATGAGTGTAAGTGGAAGGTGATGAGTGTAAGGAGGTGATGAGTGTAAGTGGGAAGGTGATGAGTGTAAGGGGTGATGAGTGTAAGGAGGTGATGTGAGTGTAAGGGGAAGGTGATGAGTGTGTAAGGGGAAGGTGATGAGTTTAAGTCGAAGGTGATGAGTGTAAGGAGGTGATGTGTGTAAGGGGGTGATGAGTGTAAGAAGGTAATGTAAGTGAGGGGAAAGGTTATGTTTCTGTGAAGGTATGTTTGTTGTCATATTTATTCAGAGGAAATGACTTATATATGCTTTTACATTTATGGAGCACTCTGAAAGTTGGATAGTAAATATAGTGTGACCAGAAATTATTGAGAATTTTAGGAATATGTTTAATTGGATTTCTAGTATAAACAACCTTGACCAGCTATCAAGTGATTGGTTTCATTCAAGAGAGAAAACTCTGTTAATCCTTTTTCATTAGTTTGTGAAGAGTTATCCCCCTTTGTTTACTTGCTAGCAGACAACATTTTCAGTGATCCTCAGTATGGATGATTTAGAGAAGAGGAAGTTGATTTTAGAGTATTATAACAAGGACATCAGATCAGCTAAAGTGATTTCAAGTAGAACAGGCATCCCTTTGTCCACTGTTTATCGTGTTTTGAAAAATATTGCAAATGGATATGGCATTGAGCACCAGGAAGGCGTAGGTAGGCCCAGAAAATTGACTGTCGGTGACAGGAGGTGGTTTGGTATTCTTGTTTCTAAAAACAAACGAAGGAGTTTAGAAAACTTAAGGCTGGATATGATTGATAGAGGAACTGTGACTGTCTGTAAGGAGACAATTAGAACTGAGCTGCATGCAATGGGTTGGCAGAAAAGTCGAGGAATTCCATCACCGATCATGAAACCTGAACAAAAGGAGCGAAGATTGAACTGGTGCTTACAGCATAGAAATTTTAACTGGGACAATGTCATTTTCTCAGTTTCCTAATACACTGAAATTCTGCAGCAAACAAACTGAAAAACCTTTGTATCAGCGCCCAAAGTACAGTCCGAAATTTAATGTGTGGGGTGCATATCTGTGTTAGGGGCAACACCCCTCTGTGTATTTGAAGGGAATATGAACAGTGAGCGGTACACAGATATTCTCGACGGACATTTACTTCCATCTGGACCCAAAACATCGTTCAAAGCATTTTAAAGGCCTGGTTTGGACCCAAAATATGACATTATTAGATTGGCCAAGCTATAGCCCTGACCTAAATCCAATAGAAAATATTTGGGGACTTATGAAGGAAAGTGTCAATAAGAAAAATCTGACAAATATTGCTGAAATGAAAGAAGAGGTGGTCCGATATTGGGACAGCATGGACCACGACCGCTTTGAAGCCTGCATTGCTTCCCATGGTGACTTGACAAAATACTAAGTGTTCACCTGTCTTTGAATCTGGAGTTATGTTCTGCTAATATTCACATTTTTTACGTGGGTAATGAGTGAAAAAAATTTTTTTTACAATCTTTAAATTCTCAATAATTTCTGGTTGTACAGTAAGAAGACATTCAACAGTGTGGATAAAAGCAGGTGCACTGCTTCAATGTATATTCTTACTCTGTAATCAAGCTGACATGACTGCAGAGAAGTATAAAAGCGGGATAAGTGGCATGTTAACACCAAAAACAGGTAACAGATAGCAAGTAGCAACACGCATAAGCCAAGTGACAGGGAGGATTTGACAGTTATAACAAACTGATTGTATACTACCAGTAAATAAAACAAGCTGTTGCTTGATTGGGTATTCCATGGCTGTAGGGATGTAATTCCTTTATCTCTGTTGATCAATGATTTGTGACAGCTTCTATGAGTTTTCTATCAGTGAAGTTGTTATGTTAAGTAGTGTGGATCTGGATTTTGTTAAACTGAATTTGACAACTTGGGTACCTTTCTTAAAGGGCTTGCTGTCTGCTTTTGCAAGTATACTGAACATCATTGAAAATGCACCTCTTATAAAAGTTCAGATTATTAAAAGCACGTGTAAGGAATTGATATTTTTTGAGTGGATAATAACAGATGGACGACTGACAAAAACAACAACACAGAAAAGACGCTCATTCATTGAAATGTTCCACAGTCAGAAAGGATCAAACACTCGTGGGGTCAAATCGAAAAGTCAATATCGCGTGTGACCGCCATTTGCATTGACACATGCAGTTCAGCGTCTCCTCATTGAGTCAATAAGCATCCGAATAGAGTTCTTGAGGATGGCATTCCACTTCTGCAGAAGTGCAGCCTCAAGTTCCCGGATGTTTCGCATCTGTTGTCGCCGCGAAAGACTTTGACCAATTTCGTCCCACAAGTGATCCATGGGGGATACATCTGGCGACTGTGCTGGCCAATGAATAACCTGGATGTGTTGCTGGGCCAGATACTGCATGGAAAGTCTTATTGTGTGTCCGTGCGTTGTCCTGTTGAAAAGTATGGACATCTTGGTGGTGGTTAAAGACAGATACGATGTGATTCTGAAGAATCTGCTCACGGTAATAAAGGGCATTAACTCTCGCTTGACAGACATGAAGGCAGTCCTGTGATTGTAATTTATTCCACCCCAGACCATGACAATCCCACCACCCAAAGGTCTGTCTGAACCACACACTCATCAGCATAATGTTCACCACGTCTACGCCAAACACGTGATCGGCCGTCAGCATTACGTAGATGAAGACGTGACTTGTCAGCGACTACCACACCATGCCATTGTTGTAACCTTGACTGAAAATGCCTGCTAGCCCATTGTATACGCTCATTACGGTGTCTGTCAGTCAGAATTGGTCCAACGTAAGGACTTCGAGCATGGAGCCCTGTAACGTGTTGACGGCGTCGCATGGAGTCAGCGCTGATGACCCCCACGTCAACCTTGAACTAGTGCTGCAGTCCTGGAAGTCAGCAGTGTTCAATCACTGATATGGACAAGGTCAATATGGCGATCCTGATGGAGCGTCGTAACACGTTGTTGCCAAGGTCATTCAAGGTTGCTGCCTGTCTACTGATGTCATCTATGAAGCCTAACGATGGTGGAGTGGCCAAGTCCAAGTTGTCAAGCAATATCTCTGCTGCTGGTGCCAACCTGAATCATGCCTAGTGCACGTTCTCTTCCGTGAGGTGTTAACCTCGGCATCTCTGTCCTTGTTTCACAATCGTTAGTGAAGCAATGAGAATCGTTTCTCATACACCTGCTTTTTATGTCACAGTCAGTATGATTTCAGAATGAATTTCGTGCTTTTTTTCATGGCGTGGCTGCATGTTGATGCATTTTGGAATTAAGAGTCATACTGTGGACAGGAATTTGTTTCTAAAGCATTTTTTCAACTGGACATGACCTTCGACTTCATGTTAGTTATATTCATTGATCATTGTCATGCTGAAATCCATCCATCCATCTTACTTCCACCAATGTACAAGTTCACTACAGCAATATTTAATCTTATAGATCACTCTTTTGTGAGAATTGCTTATTGGAGGAAGGTTTATGACCATTTTAGTGGGGGATGGTATCAAGCGATGGGAAGGCAGTGTGACTAAACTAAACAAATATATATAGAAACTGCCTTATCTGTGGATTCATGTTGCGAAACTAGAGGCAAGGTACGACAGATTTACATATTGGGATGTTTTCTTTGAATTATTTTTTGCATGGATAATGCTAACCAGAGGTTGTGGCTATCTGCTGTTAACCAGTAGGTGTTTATCTCTCATGAGAGAATAAATAAGACTGGTCACAATTTATGATCTACTCAGATTTAGCTTTACATTTGATTAAGGCAAATGTGGTGAGTGAGTATTATTTTTGTAAATTGAAAGAACCATGTTTCAATACATTAGTAGGTGCATCTTGTAAAGCATCATCAGGTGCAAGTTTGAGATTGATCTACGCCTCAACAACTCACTGGTTCAACCAGATGGCCATGAAAGAATTATTGTGTCGCTGAGTGCACCATTGTAAGAGAATACTTTCTTTCCAGATTCCCTTTTATTGAGCCTCCGGCAATGTCCAGCATTGAGACCTCCATTGCGTTCCTCAAGGAGCAGGTGTGTGCTGAAACCTTCCCCATATCCATGGATATATGTAGACCTGCTAAGATGCAGATATTTGGCCCCAATCACCAAATGCCAGTGAAAATGACCAAGTCTGAAGTTGCAGCTACCAGTTTGAACAGTGATATTTTTATGACATTTCTTGCTGGTAATATGATGATATGATGGTATTGTGTTGCTGTCCATATTTATAGTGAAGTTGTTATTGTTGTCATATTTACATGTATTTACACTGTAAACACACCAGGAACCACATTTAGACCTCCATAAATGCAATTATTTTGAAGTCAATTATTAACCTAAAGTACCTCACTAAAATTCCTCAATGAAGAACGTAATATGATATGCGGAGAATGACGTCATGAAGTCAGGTTAGTATAACATAACTCACGAGGAACATGACTAAACATCAAATATTCATTAGTAAATGTTCACACTGATTTTCTTGCATGTTGCAATGAGTAGTTTGATCCAAATGGTATTTTTCCATAGGCAGGTGCTCATATACCTAGGGATAAACACAGGTTTGGTCTGATCACTACATCAGATTGATTGTTGTGGGTGGGGTGACTTGACACACGATATTGGCTGACTTCTTGACTGAGGATGAGGAGATGGGGACAGGGGTCACGTTAAACCGTCAGAAACCTCAGAATGTTTATATACTACCCATCAAAAGTTTAGACTCACTAGTGTAAATGTAGCCACTTACTTGTCCACTGTTCTAAACTAGCTTTTTTGCAAAATATTCCATACTGTTTAAAGGTACTGTTTAGTTATGAACTGGTGTATTGTAAAACATATTCGTAACATTGAAAAGATTATTGTCATGAGTTCAGTAAATGATTAAAATCTGTGAAAATTGGCGAATTCTTAACAAAACTTTACACCAAAACGAATCTGTTCACATGCACGACATTTGCTCATGCCTTTCGCAATTTGAAGCATCATCCTTGTGCAATTCATCTGCATAAGGTTTTCAGTTGGTTCCCCCAAGTTGGTGGAGAAATTCATCTTCGATGTAACCACATACATATACATAACATATAGTGAGTGCTTTAAGTGAGTCTAAACTTTTGATGGGTAGTATATCAACTGCTGACTACTGAATCAACTTCAACATATGAATGGAAGTACAATACCAAATAAAGATGTTTTATCTTGGAGCTATTAAAATGGTAGCCTGCTATACTTGCCATCAGGGCCATTATGATTCACTCACATATTTTGTGAATCGAACCATTTTTCATTTTCAATCATTGTAATCAAATATTCATGAATTTTTATTAGTGTGTTTTTTAGTTGAATTTGTTACTTATCAAAGTGAGATATGCAAAATGGAATGTATCCACACTGGGAAGGATAATAGTCAACACACTTATATATTTCATTTGACAGTTAAGTGGTCAAAGGTCATTGTTGTAACCAATTATCACTGTCAGCATAGTCAAAACATGTCAAATAATTGTCTCCCGCCGCAATGCGCAACCGGGGACTATGTATTCAGCGGCGTCCGTCCATGCGTCCGTACGTCCCGATTCTTGTTAACATGATATCTCATGAACTGTTGTACCCAATGTCTTTAAATTTGGTGACAGCCTACATTGGGTGATTACCCAGACACCAGTTGATTTGGGTGACCTTCACTGTCACCACGACACTTTGACCACTTTTCAAAATCTTGTTAACGCGATATCTCATGAACTGTTGTACCCAATGTCTTCAAATTTGGTGACAGCCTACATTGGGTAATTACTCAGACACTAGTCGATTTGGGTGACCTTGACCTTATCTTCAAGGTCACCACAACACTTTGACCACTTTTCAAACTTATTTAAACGCGATATCTCATAAAACATTGCACCCAATGTTTTCAATTATGTTGACAGCCTACATTGGGTGATTATGAGGACACCAGTCATCTTGTATGTGACCCAAAAATAAGAAATAGTAAACATAGATATTCCATTCTTTATCGGCGGGGGACATTTCCATATCAGTGGCAAACACTTGTATATTTTGTTATCATTTGACTGAATATGATGAATGAAACATCAACTGATGATGTGTTATAATAATCGGGAAAATATTCTCATTCCTGATATGTCTTGTATTCGCCTCATAGAGGATTTTTTGCAGCCCCAGTTGACCTCTCAGCTTTGTAGAGATGCATGAGTGGCCCAATGTCCCTCCAGTTGAGTGTGTGGAGATGCATGAGTGGCCTAATGTCCTTCCAGTTGATTGTGTAGAGATTCATTGGGCCACTCTACATCAAAATGCCCAATGATATTTTCTCTGACTGCAGGGGGCTTTGACTGACGATGAGGCACTGACTCCTATTGGGCAGATGTTATCTCAGCTACCAGTGGATGTGGTGATCGGCAAGATGCTGATCATGGGCTCCATCTTCCATGTGAGACCTCAATATGTACAATATCATTACATATGTTGTTGAGAAGTACACATTTGTTTCACATCATCAAATCCATGGGGCATCAATACTTTGCCTATTGTGGTAACTTTTGGAAAATATTGAATACATAATAGGTGACTTGTTACTGGCTTTCGATTGCTCAGATGCTGGATGCAGATGCTTACATCATATATGTTGGTATCTATTTGTAATCAAGCCAGCACAATTAAGAAATTCATTTTTGTAGGAATGGGTTACATTAGGACAGAAGAAAACATTGGTGACATTATGTTATCCATGTCTGTGTCCCACTAGGCAGTGGAATATTGGGCATTGTTATGCAGTGTTAACAAGTAAAACTCGACTAATGTGTTGTACTGTTACATCTATTCTCGGCGCTGAATGCTACATTGTATGTGTGAACTCTCTTGAATATAGAAGGATTCTATAGAATTACTTACTTAAAGATTCAAGCAGGGCAAAGGGTTTATTTGACATCAATAAAACAGTAGTGGTGTAAAAGAAGAGGGTTGCCCTTGGACAACATCATACACTTTAGGCCTAACCTTTAAACAGCCTTGTGCTTCTGGTTAACTGGAACATAGTTTATTCTGACCCATATATTTTGAGATACTGCATGAAGCATGTGCTTTACATGTGCTTTCCAAAATACTTGGTGAATAAGTAAGAGAGAGAGTAATTTCTTCTTCATGCTATTCCAGCAATATTATGGTGGGGGATCACACAATGTACCCATGTGGGAAATTAGACCGTGGTCTTCAGTGTGACAAGCTTTAACCACTAGGCTAGCCCTTCGCCCCCAAGTATGCAAGGATATGATTGATTGTTTGCACCAAAGTTTTAAAATGTGCTTAATTAATACTCCTGTGTATATGTGTATAAAGTTGTACTTGTATTCAACTCCAGTACAAACACAGTCTGTGTGTAGTGAGTCAGGTCCTTGTCAAATGAAAGATGGACAATTTTCAGTGTATTTTTCTCACAGATGTTGTGGAATGATACATTTAGGTTCATATTTTGAGTGCAATTACTCCAGATGATAGACCCAGTGTTAACGATTGCGGCGGCCATGAGTGTGCAGTCTCCGTTTACCATGAAGGCCCACCAGGACAGAGATGCTATTGTAAGTACTGTGACTCACCTTTCATCTGGATGCTTTCAAAAAGAAAATAAATGATAATAACAACAATGTAAAGTGTTCATAATGAACATGCATAATGCATAATGAACATGAACTGGCATAATTAACATGCATAATTAACATGCATAATTTGGTCTGGCATAATGAACATGCATTTTCATTGCATGCATAGTAAACTGGCATATATAACAAACCCTCTTTGTTGTTTTATGAACTGGCAGATATAACAAACTCTCTTTCTTGTTTCAATGAACTGGCAAATATGACAAAACCTCTTTCTTGTTTCAATGAACTGGCAGATGTGACAAACCCTCTTTCTTGTTATAACGAACTGGCAGATGTACCCAACTCTCTTTCTTTTTATAACAAACTGGCAGATATAACAAACTCTCTTGGTTGTTTTAATCAACTGGCAGATATAACAAACCCTCTTTCTTGTTATAACGAACTGGCAGATGTACCCAACTCTCTTTCTTTTTATAACAAACTGGCAGATATAACAAACTCTCTTGGTTGTTTTAATGAACTGGCAGATATGACAAACTCTCTTTCTTGTTTCAATGAACTGGCAAATATGACAAACCCTCTTTCTTGTTATAACGAACTGGCAGATGTACCAAACTCTTTCTTTTTATAACAAACTGGCAGATATAACAAACTCTCTTGGTTGTTTTAATGAACTGGCAGATATGACAAACTCTCTTTCTTGTTATAACGAACTGGCAGATGTACCAAACTCTCTTTGTTTATAACGAACTGGCAGATATAACAAACTCTCTTTGTTGTTTTAATGAACTGGCAGATGTACCAAACTCTTTCTTTTATAATGAACTTGCAGATGTACCAAACCCTCTTTTTGGTATAACGAACTGGCAGATGTACCAAACTCTTTCTTTTTATAACGAACTGGCAGATATAACAAACTCTCTTGGTTGTTTTAATGAACTGGCAGATGTACCAAACTCTTTCTTTTTATAATGAACTTGCAGATGTACCAAACCCTCTTTTTTATAACGAACTGGCAGATGTACCAAACTCTTTCTTTTTATAACAAACTGGCAGATATGACAAACTCTCTTTCTTGTTTCAATGAACTGGCAGATATGACAAACCCTCTTTCTTGTTATAACGAACTGGCAGATGTACCCAACTCTCTTTCTTTTTATAACAAACTGGCAGATATAACAAACTCTCTTGGTTGTTTTAATGAACTGGCAGATATGACAAACCCTCTTTCTTGTTATAACGAACTGGCAGATGTACCAAACTCTTTCTTTTTATAACGAACTGGCAGATATAACAAACTCTCTTGGTTGTTTTAATGAACTGGCAGATATGACAAACTCTCTTTCTGGTTATAACGAACTGGCAGATGTACCAAACTCTTTCTTTTTATAATGAACTTGCAGATGTACCAAACCCTCTTTTTATAACGAACTGGCAGATGTACCAAACTCTTTCTTTTTATAACGAACTGGCAGATATAACAAACTCTCTTGGTTGTTTTAATGAACTGGCAGATGTACCAAACTCTTTCTTTTTATAACGAACTGGCAGATGTACCAAACTCTTTCTTTTTATAACGAACTGGCAGATGTACCAAACTCTTTCTTTTTATAACGAACTGGCAGATGTACCAAACTCTTTCTTTTTATAACGAACTGGCAGATGTACCAAACTCTTTCTTTTTATAATGAACTTGCAGATGTACCAAACCCTCTTTTTATAACGAATATAACAAACTCTTTTATAGCGAACTGGCAGATGTACCAAACTCTTTCTTTTTATAATGAACTGGCAGAACTGGCTTTTATATACGAACTGGCAGATATAACAAACTCTCTTTTGTTTAATGAACTGGCAGATGTACCAAACTCTTTCTTTTTATAACCAAACTCTTTCTTTTTATAATGAACTGGCAGATGTACCAAACTCTTTCTTTTTATAACAAACTGGCAGATGTACCAAACTCTTTCTTTTTATTATGAACTGGCAGATGTAACAAACTCTCTTTGTTGGCAGATGTATTATAATGAACTGGCAGATGTACCAAACTCTTTTTTTTGTAAACTGGCAGAACTGGCTCTTTCTATAACAAACTGGCTATAACAAACTCTTTGTTGCTAATGAACTGGCAGATGTACCAAACTCTTTCTTTTTATAACGAACTGGCAGATGTACCAAACTCTTTCTTTTTATAATGAACTGGCAGATGTACCAAACTCTTTCTTTTTATAACAAACTGGCAGATATAACAAACTCTCTTGGTTGTTTTAATGAACTGGCAGATATGATACAAACCCTCTTTCTTGTTATAGTGAACTGGCAGATGTACCAAACTCTTTCTTTAATAACAAACTCTCTTTGTTGCTATTATAAACTGGTGGATACCAAACTCTCTCTTGTTGTAATAACAAACTGGCTATAACAAACTCTTTTTTGTTGTAATAACAAACTGGCAGATATAACAAACTCTCTTTGTTGTTATAACATAAACTGGCAGATGTACCAAACTCTTTTTTTGCTATAATGAACTGCAAATCTGAGCTGCTTAGATATAACAAACTCCCTGAGGTTGTTTTAATAACTGGCAGATATGACAAACCAGTCTTTCTTGTTATATTGAACTGGCAGATGTACCAAACTCTTTCTGAGGTGAAATAACAGGTTTACAGTATAACAATACTCTCTTGGTTGTTTTAATGAACTGGCAGATATGTGTATGTGTAAACCCTCTGCTTGTTATAACAAAATTGGCAGATGTACCAAACTCTCTTTGTTGTAATAGTGAACTGGCGAATATAACAAACTCTCTTTGTTGCTATTACAAACTGGCGGATATAACAAATTCTTGTTATAACGAACTGCCAATCTGAGCTGCTCTTGTCACCAACCAATGCTGACACCCTAAGCTTGATTACCAATAGTAGAACTTTGTAGGCAGATCAGTCTTTTAACCAATGTTCAATGGAAAATAACTTATTTCCATACTGATGGCAAGGAGCTCTTGTGTCTACATGGAACTGTCTTGTAATAGATTTATAACATGTATTTACTTTGGTTATGTATGAGATGGTTGATGGTACACATGTTCACAGCTCAAAGCTGACAGCGGCAGTGAGTCTGGTGGATTGTCTAAGTAATATTTCCTGTCATGGTGATGTGGTCATCAGTAAAATCGGGATGTAATATAGATTTGGTAGTGCTGAAAGACCAGGGCAAATGCAGGATTACAGAAGGTCATGGAAGAGTTGAACCCAATTCTTGCTATGATTTCCAGGCAGCCCGGAAGCCCTTGGAGTCGGATCATGGCGACCCCTTCACGTTGCTGAATGCAGCAGATGAGTGGATACAGGTACTGGTACTCTGTTCTTACTCCTACACAGATTTTGATGGCAGGTGTCAAGCTAATATAACTATATTCATCCATTTGTGCCGGTTTGAAAAATTAGGGGATATAGCAATCAGCATGTCTGTCCTCTGTCCATTTTCTATTTCTGAAATTGAACTCATAAACCTTTTCTGTAATTCATGTGGAGACCCCTATACAGATAAGTCTTGTGTTGAGCTGGTGCCTTTTGATAAATGGGAAGCTTTTTTAAATATTCTTTTGTTTTCATGACAAGTTGAACAATCTGAAAATACTTGTTTGCAGACTGCTGGTATGGTAGACTGAAAGCTTTCTTTTGTTTGCTATTAAGATTCTTGGTCATTTGGACCTTTTTGGGGTCTGTCCAGTGTCCATCTTTCAACAATGCTTTTCAGCCTCAATCTATGGACATGGTTAGCATGGTAACTGTTAACAGGTAAAGGCTGAGGGACGAGGAACCAAGAAGTGGTGTCAGAGACGAGGCCTTGAGGAACAAAGGTTCTATGAGATGAACAAACTGAAGCGACAGTTCCGAGAACTCCTGAGGGTAAGGATAGATCTTCTGATTGATGTATCGTTAGGTCAGGTTGATGCTTACCTGCTAGAAGGATGTAGGTAAAACATGTAAAACCCTTAATGTTTTCCTCTCAATATAGAGCTATGTAGATACAGGAGTATTTAAGTTGTCCTCTGTGAGAACATGAGTCTGTACCATTGGTGCTCATGTTTAAGGACCATGGGCTGCTGAATGAAGTTAAGGAAGAAGAACGCTACTATACCAGTGAGGAACGCCGACAGCGCCATGGGGAGAGGAAGCGTCTTGGGCAGCTGAAGAGAGAACAGAATAATGAGTCCAAGAAGAGGAAAGTTCTCAAGTTCACTGAGGATGTAGGTAGACATGCACAAGCAGAAACTGCCCTTTGACTGTGTGAGGAAGCATTTCCTAAACTGTCTTCAGCAAAGTTCTTGGCTCACTAATAGAAGAAAGATAAACATCTTATGGTTCATCAGTTTAGAGAGATAACTGCCTCTATGATTAGCACAAGCAAATAGAATCTCACATTACTGATATAACGTTCGAGCATTTAAAGGTAGGAAGTAGGAAAACTAAAGAGCTTGAGATTCACAATACAACACTGATTGCTAAAATGCTATTTCTACATGTGTTTGCTTGCGGAATATCATTTTGTACGACTTGATTTAACAAGCATGGTGTGCTCCTCACTTTCGGTATTTGTCAAAGAGGTTTACACTATTAATGCTTAATGTTTAGAGTGAATATTGTTTTTAGTTGTTTCAAAATTTGGGATATTGCAACCAATGAAAATTATTTGTGTTACCAAAGTGTTGTAGTAAGCAAAACAGATAATTTATGTCCCTTTTGGACAAAACTGCAGTACAGTTACAGAGGACAGTAGGCATCAGTTCCAGAACATGGGTGTAATGAACTGCTGTGATTCAGGACTACCAGCTGAGTGATGGGGACGAAGATGACAAGGGTGATGACATCAAGGATCTGGAATTCCGGCTGTCACATGACCTTAGTCAACTACAGGTGGGTGTGAGGGACATGGAGGATGGAAGATGGGTAGGGTGGGATGGTGGGAGATGTGATGAGGGGTGGGTGAAAGACTGACTGACTGACTGAGTTTGGTTTTACGCCGCTTTTAGCAATATTCCAGCAACATCACGGCGGGGGACACCAGAAATGGGCTTCACACATTGTGCCCATGTGGGGATTCGAACCCGGGTCTTCGGCGTGACGAGCCAACGCTTTAACCACTAGGCTACCCCACCGCGGTGGGTGAAAGATATGGGGAGGGGGTGGGTGAAAGGTATGTAGAGTGGGTGGTGGGAGTGGTGACGAGGGATGGGTTTAAGATATGGTGAGGGAGTGGGTGAAAGCTGTGTAGAGTGGGGTGGTGGGAGTTGTGACGAGGGGTGGGTGAAAGATATGGGGAGGGGGTGGGTGAAAGGTATGTAGAGTAGGGTGGTGGGAGTGGTGGCCGAGGGATGGGTTTAAGATATGGTGAGGGAGTGGGTGAAAGCTGTGTAGAGTGGGGTGGTGGGAGTTGTGACGAGGGGTGGGTGAAAGATATGGGGAGGGGTGGGTAAAATATAATGGGGGGGGGTGGTGGGTGAGAGATGTGGAGGGGGTGTTTTGGGTAAGTAGGGAGGATATGAGAGAGATGTATCAAAGGAGTTGTTGATGGGGTATGAAGTCATATTCAGTACTAAGTTTTATGTTCAAATCAAGCTGAAATGTTGAAATAACCACTCACCAATGATTCATAGAGTGTAACCTTGACCTCTACCACTTACAACAGGAGACAGCAAATAAGACCCGGAGCTTCAATCTTCGTGATATCAACTTGCTCAAGGTCATCCTGTGCAGCGGGCTGTACCCCCAGGTGGCGTTGGCTGATGACTGCAACTCCTACAAGGGCGACTCTGAGCAGGCCTTCCATACAAAGGTTGCTTCCTAGTCATATATGGCATGGCATATATCAGTCATACAGTTTCTCCATTGATATTTTATGTGAATCAAATTCAACCCCGGTAAGATTACAGAATACCGGATACCTTCCGCCATCTTTGAAAGCACGCGAGTTTACTTTTGGTTAGGGTTAGGGTAAGGTTTAGGGTTAGGGTAAGGTTTAGGGTTAGGGTATGGGTAAGGGTTAGGGTTAGGGTAAGGTTTAGGGTTAGGGTGACATCACACTACACAATATGGCTGGTAGGTATCCGGTATTCTGTAAGTGTACCTTCAACCCCAAATTCATGTATTATTTAGACTTTGCATATGTTTATATCCATAATGTAGAAACTAATTCAGTTATAATTGATAAAAAGATTTTTAATGCCTCACTGGATTGTACATGTAATACAGATACCTTCCTTGATGAGACAGTCAGGGATTGTGTCACACCTACCTTCATGGCAACTTATAGTTAATTCTGACCTAAAGCGGACTTTCATGTCACAATATTCCTGGATGATGCTTGGTGTGATGCTAAGAATGTCATCTGTTTTGGTTTAGTGCTTCCCAATACTAAAGCATTGCTGGTGAAAGTAGTGCAAAACACAGGGGCTTGTTATGGACTAATCAACAGGAAGATACATGGAAATGATCACTTTCATGTTATGGTATACCTGTAAAGGGTACAATGACCATATATCTTGCTGCAGCTCTATGTTGTACAGGCCTCTGTGGTGCCAACTTGAGCCTACCCATGGTTTTAGATATTACTCACTTCTATTACATTGTGATTCTTTTGATGACTCACTACTAGTGTTAAGAGAGTGTGTTTTATGTCATTTGAAATATCACATTGATTAAGTGATAGTTATTTTGGGTCACAATGTTTAAAGTTTTGAGTGTGGGTTGTGGCTCACATCTCGCATCATATATGTTCAATGGCAAAAGTATTTGTAGTGGCATGCCTTTTTGATAGCGCTTCAGAGTTGCCTCCCTTGTATGGTTTTATTTTGTTTTGACTTCCGGGTCTTGTCACGTCGTGTGTTTTCCACGTGGTCCCATGGTGTTCTGAGAGAATAATGATGGAGCCTAGCTTTGCTAGAATGTTCGTGAACTTTGTAAGAGCTATATAAAGGCTGGTTGTTGAGTGGGGCGACACAGGGCTTTCACATGACTGGATTTATACATATCTGTCTGCAATCATGAAGCTGATCAACGTTTCAAGATCGACCGTGTTTGTCTATTCAACTGCTGTGATTGTAAACAACCCCAAATTAGTATATCTGTTCTCACTGTAAATGTCAAGACTCTGGTGAGATAATATTTTATATTTGTGACCCAGTATTTTAGATTTGTGACTCACTTGCATTGTACAAGAAATCTGTATTGTCACTCATTGTAGTTTGCTCATTGTTTGTTCAATATATTATTGAATATTTTAGACTTGTCTGTGTTCTATTTTGCTGGTTCAAAGTGGACTTTTAACCTTTTGTAACCTCTAGTATAGATTTCTATGAGGTTGAGTGAGTGAGCGAGTTGGGTTTACGCCACTTTTAGCAATATTCCAGCAATATCACGGCGGTTATGAGGTTTAGAACTTGTAGAATGATATTCCTGATATGGTAGCCGCACATGCCAGTATTCCCTACCAATGTCAACATATTTTACTTTAGAACAAGGCTTTCATCCTCCTGCATCCAACAAGTGTATTCGCCAGCAAACCCGAGGTGCTGCGACCCAGTGACGTCAAGGACAACAAGACCACGCCCAGTGAGCTGAGGGGGGAGGCTCAGCAGCAAACATGAGGTTCTGGCATTTGTGTAAGTTACCATGGTGATAAGGGTGAAGAATTTCTCCTTGCCATTTAGAGTTTTCTTACTACTAGACAGCTTGGAAACATTAGAAGAGGACAGATCTCCTTTAGATGAGTAAGCAGAAGAAGCAGACTCAATCATATTTCAAATAATTTGTCTTGCCACCAGTTCTGTCCTGGAGACCAACAAGCCTTACCTGATCAACACGATGCGGGTCCCAGCGCTGCAAACTATCACCCTCTTCTCCAACTCCATTGATGCTAATGCTGACTGCACCAGGTAGGTGGCCCATCTTCCATCTAGCTACTTCCCCATAGTGTCCGTAATGGCTGGTCAGAGGTGTCAACATGGCAGTGAACGTGTTGTGTCTTTCAGGTTGGTGTGTGACGGCTGGCTGGAGATCCGGTTCCCTGATGCGGAGTCTGCTGATGGTGTCATATCCAGCATCTTACATCTCCGAGCCACGTGGCTGAACCTACTTCGAGTCCGCCTGGAAGGTAAGATGATGAGAATTGTTTTTCACAACCTGTGAGGTTGAATTCGGCCTGGAGTGTCTCTCTGTTGGCCGGATACAGACCACTCAACCATGACCATTATTGACTTTATAAAAAGTCAGAACAATTAAACTTGTGCGATAAAGACTTTGAGAAGAATTGAAGTGTTCACTTTTGGAAATATAGATTTCTTTGATAGTTTTCTTAATTTGATATTTGATAAGTATTTTATATATTTGATAATTTAAACTGACATTTGTCGAGCATTAAATAGTTTGTTTGATTTCATTTCATTCACTACAATAATTTATTTCATATGGTTTTCGATTTGTTTCTAACAAATTAATAAATGGGTTGGCCAAAGTGATAATAAGTTAGTGAAGCTCAGTATTGTTATATATTATTTTGCATTTATAGTGGACAGCTGTTTGAATGGTAATGCATGAATGTTTCAAGGGCAGTGTGTATACATTATTAATGTATGTATGTTTTACTGCTGAAAAGGCTTTCTTCTCTTAATATGACGTTTTCAATGTTCAGAGATTGTATACAATGCATTTTTGTTATTTTCAAAGAGGGGTTCAGACAAGTAGAATAAAATCAGACTATATTTTATCTATTTGAAACATCTAAGGTCAGTTGAATCCTGAAACATAATAATGCGTAATAACAATTGAAAGAGTTCAGACAACTGACTGGCATAGATCCTTCTGCAGACACGATGAGTCAGATGGATGACCAGAGGAAGACGAGCACCAGGGCCCGGCGCCTGGAACAACTCCTCGCTCGTAAACTGGCCGAGTTCCTGGACAGTCGTGTCACGTACTCAATACGACGGGTAATGGCTGCCGAACAGCAGCACCTGTATGTAGGGATGAGTACAGGTAGGTTAAAAATATCTTCAGTTCCGCATTATCCAAATAAGGATTATATATTCTTTTCTACAGAATATGCCATTTGGAGATTTCTGGAAAAAAATGTTATTTTTGTAGTTAGAAAGTATATATTCTGGACAGTTATTGATAAAGTGAATCCAGTTTTATTAAGAAATGGAAACATTTTTGAAAGATATTGAAACAAATGTTTTTTTAAATTCCTTGAATGCTTTTTTATAAAAAAAAAGATACATCAAGACAAGAAAGCTTAGACAAGCAAAGAGTTTTCTGGAAAATATCTAAAGGTTATTCATTCAGTAATATTCCAGCTAATGGCTCAGCTGTGATGAGGCAAGTAATTGCGTGATCCCAACAAACCTTTGATGTGTGATGTCAGCCAGATTATTTAATTATTAGCGATGATACATTAGAGTTGATGTTCCTTGAATTATGCATGATGATAATTTAGTTTCTTGGCATCAAATACTCTCTCAATAGTGGCTGTAAATCTGAAAACAAATAAATGTTTCTCTCCTCATTTAGCTGTCCACCTAGAAGCTTTGCAAAGTGGTGCTAAGGGCCACAGGTTAGTGAATTCCTTTGAAGTGATGAGATTACAGATTATTTGGAACAGGAGTGTGATGTTTCTGTTTCAGAAAGTCAAGATAATAAGGAGAATTCAGTTAAAGGAGGAAAACAAGTTAATTCCTATTTAACAGTTGGCTGGTGAGTAGTAGCAGGGCAAAATTATAGCGGAGCACCGTTGTGTCGAACTCTGATAACTCGATATCTCGGTTGTCTCGATATAACATCTCGGTCCCGGCAAAATCCTTCATAATTTATCATTATTCAAGTTCTTTTAATTGATACAGATGTCTCGATATTTCGGATACCTCGATATAATTTCATGGTCCCAACAAGCAAAATTACCGTTTTAACTCGATATTTGCAAAGAAACTCGATATTCACCTACCTTTCATGGACAAGTATCGCTCTGAACTGAGGTTGTTTACACACGTTTACACACGGTGCGGCATGAGTCAAAGGGATGCGGTAGTGTAAACTAATTAGGGCTAATTGAGTTGAAGGTGTCACTGGTTTGTTTTTTAATTAGGATTAATTAAGAAAGAATTAATTAGGACGTACTCACTGTTACAACTAAACACGGATTATAGTTTTGAACCAAAACATACTGAGAAGTGTTTTGTTTTCTTTCATAGTGATATGTGATGATATGCCCTGATATGGTCCCATGAATATAGACACAACGGTACTCGACTGCATATGTAATTGTTGTTTGATAAGTAGTACTATTGGTGATTTATATCAAAGTTTTCTTAGAAGCAGTAGTGGGAATGATTCTTATGATGTTGTAAGCTTGTGTGTATCAGATGGCTGGAGAAAAGTATCAAATGTTTTTTAGAATTTCTTGCCTACTCATTTATTTCATGTTTTCAGCCTCCTTGATGATGCCTCGGCCTCCGTGTGGGGGGAATACACATCACACATGCAGAAAGTGTGGGAATGCCCACGATGTCACATGAGCCTGATTGTGTCTGTGGTGGAACGCCTGCAGCATCAGATGGAGTGTCAGAGTGGTGATAAGCCCTGTAAGCTTTTGTTTAGAATTATGAAATCATCAATGTACAATTACTCCATAAATGTATACACTAGTATTTCATAGAATCTCAAAAAACAGAACAAAATCCACCACCCCCAAAGCCTTCATATACCTTCACACTAGATGTACTGTATGTATGTCTGAAGGAGAAAGGCTGACTAGTGGCCTGGTATACATTTACACTAGATCACACCAGAGCCCAGGTCTGCAGTTCGTGAGTTAATGTATAATTTTGCATGGTGGGGAACACCAGGAATAAGCCACCATGTAGTTCACATTTGGGGCCCTGAAGCATGGCCCTTGTTGTGGAGAGCAACCACTTGAACCCCAAGGCTACCCAACCACCAGGTTGCAGGTTGCAGCGGTTGGAGGGTCTGTGTATGCATAGTGCTATCATGTGTATCATAGTGCTATCATGTGTATCATAGTGCTATCATGTGTATCATAGTGCTATCATGTGTATCATAGTGCTATCATGTGTATCATAGTGCTATCATGTGTATCATAGTGCTATCATGTGTATCATAGTGCTATCATGTGTATCATAGTGCTATCATGTGTATCATAGTGCTATCATGTGTATCATAGTGCTATCATGTGTATCATAGTGCTATCATGTGTATCATAGTGCTATCATGTGTATCATAGTGCTATCATGTGTAGAGACAGTCTGATGACTAAGTTCATGATGGCCTTAAGTTGAAGTTATTCCCCAGGGAATATTTGTAAGTGATTTATTTCCTATGAATTTGATGGGTCTTTGTCTTTCTGGTGCATCTTCAGTATTTTAGTAGTAAGTGGGTTGATATTTACCTGGCAATATTCATCCACTTATTGCAAAGTACAAACTGTTTCAAGTCACAGCATAAATCAAATCTTCAGGTTTGTCTGACTTGATGTACCACCAGTTTGTCTGGCCCAGACTTGATGTAATACCAGATTGTCTGGCCCAGACTTGATGTACTACCAGATTGTCTGGCCCAGACTTGATGTACCACCAGTTTGTCTGGCCCAGACCTGATGTACCACCAGTTTGTTTAGCCCAGACTTGATGTACCACCAGTGTGTCTGGTCCAGACCTGATGTACCACCAGTTTGTCTGGCCCAGACCTGATGTACCACCAGTTTGTCTGGCCCAGACCTGATGTACCACCAGTTTGTCTTGCCCAGACTTGATGTACCACCAGTGTGTCTGGTACAGACTTGATGTACCACCAGTTTGTCTGGCCCAGTCTTGATGTACCACCAGTTTGTCTGGTCCAGACTTGATGTACCACCAGTGTGTCTGGTACAGACTTGATGTACCACCAGTTTATCTGGCCCAGACTTGATGTACCACCAGTTTGTCTGGTACAGACTTGATGTACCACCTTGAGTGTACCACCAGTCTGGCCCAGACTTGATGTACCACCAGTTTTTGATGTACCAGTCTGGCCCAGACTTGATGTACCACCAGTTTATCTGGCCCAGACTTGATGTACCACCAGTTTATCTGGCCCAGACTTGATGTACCACCAGTTTATCTGGCCCAGACTTGATGTACCACCAGTTTATCTGGCCCAGACTTGATGTACCACCAGTTTATCTGGCCCAGACTTGATGTACCACCAGTGTATCTGGCCCAGACTTGATGTACCACCAGTTTATCTGGTCCAGACTTGATGTACCACCAGTTTGTCTGGTCCAGACTTGATGTACCACCAGTTTGTCTGGTCCAGACTTGATGTACCACCAGTTTGTCTGGTCCAGACTTGATGTACCACCAGTTTGTCTGGCCCAGACTTGATGTACCACCAGTTTGTCTGGCCCAGACTTGATGTACCACCAGTTTATCTGGCCCAGACTTGATGTACCACCAGTTTATCTGGTCCAGACTTGATGTACCATCAGTGTGTCTGGCCCAGACTTGATGTACCACCAGTTTATCTGGCCCAGACTTGATGTACCACCAGTTTATCTGGTCCAGACTTGATGTACCACCAGTTTATCTGGCCCAGACTTGATGTACCACCAGTTTATCTGGCCCAGACTTGATGTACCACCAGTGTGTCTGGTCCAGACATGATGTACCACCAGTTTGTCTGGTCCAGACTTGATGCACCACCAGTGTGTCTGGTCCAGACTTGATGTACCACCAGTTTGTCTGGCCCAGACCTGATGTACCACCAGTTTGTCTGGCCCAGACTTGATGTACCACCAGTTTATCTGGCCCAGACTTGATGTACCACCAGTTTATCTGGTCCAGACTTGATGTACCATCAGTGTGTCTGGCCCAGACTTGATGTACCACCAGTTTGTCTGGTCCAGACCTGATGTACCACCAGTTTGTCTGGCCCAGACTTGATGTACCACCAGTGTGTCTGGTCCAGACTTGATGTACCACCAGTTTGTCTGGTCCAGACTTGATGTACCACCAGTTTGTCTGGCCAAGTCGTGATGTACCACCAGTTTATCTGGCCCAGTCGTGATGTACCACCAGTTTGTCCGGCCCAATCTTGATGTACCACCGGTTTATCTGGTCCAGACTTTATCTTGATGTACCACCGGTTTATCTGGTCCAGACTTGATGTTCCACCAGTTTATCTGGCTCAGTCTTGATGTACCACCAGTTTGTCTGGTCCAGACCTGATGTACCACCAGTTTATCTGGTCCAGACCTGATGTACCACCAGTTTGTCTGGCCAAGTCTTGATGTACCACCAGTTTGTCTGGTCCAGACTTGATGTACCACCAGTTTGTCTGGTCCAGACATGATGTACCACCAGTTTGTCTGGCCCAGTCTTGATGTACCACCAGTGTGTCTGGCCAAGTCTTGATGTACCACCAGTTTGTCTGGCCCAGTCTTGATGTACCACCAGTTTGTCTGGCCCAGTCTTGATGTACCACCAGTTTGTCTGGTCCAGACTTGATGTACCACCAGTTTGTCTGGCCCAGACTTGATGTACCACCAGTTTATGTCTGGCCCAGTTTGATGTACTGGTCCAGTCTTGATGTGTACACCAGTTTGATGATGTACCACCAGTTTATCTGGTCCAGACTTGATGTACCACCAGTTTGTCTGGCCCAGTCTTGATGTACCACCAGTTTGTCTGGCCAGGTCTTGATGTACCACCAGTTTGTCTGGCTCAGTCTTGATGTACCACCAGTTTGTCTGGTCCAGACTTGATGTACCACCAGACTGTCTGGCCCAGTCTTGATGTACCACCAGTTTGTCTGGTCCAGACTTGATGTACCACCAGTTTATCTGGCCCAGTCTTGATGTTCCACCAGTTTGTGTGGTCCAGACCTGATATACCACCAGTTTGTCTGGCTCAGTCTTGATGTACCACCAGTTTGTCTGGTCCAGACTTGATGTACCACCAGACTGTCTGGCCCAGTCTTGATGTACCACCAGTTTGTGAGACTTGATACCACCAGTTTGTCTGGTCCACCAGTTTGTCTGGTCCAGACTTGATGTACCACCTGTCTTGATCTGTTTGTCTGGTCAGACTTGATGTACCACCAGTTTATCTGGTCTGAAGTCTGGTGATGATGTACCACCAGACCAGTTTGTCTGGCTCAGTCTTGATGTACCACCTGTTTGTCTGGCCAAGTCTTGATGTACCACCAGTTTATCTGGCCCAGTCTTGATGTACCACCAGTTTGTCTGGTCCAGACTTGATGTACCACCAGTTTATCTGGTCCAGACTTGATGTACCACCGGTTTGTCTGGTCCAGTCTTCTGGCCAAGTCTTGATGTACCACCAGTGTGTCTGGTACAGTCTTGATGTACCATCAGTGTGTCTGACCCAGACTTGATGTACCACCAGTTTGTCTGGTCCAGACCTGATGTACCACTAGTTTGTCTGGCCAAGTCTTGATGTACCACCAGTGTGTCTGGCCAAGTCTTGATGTTCCATCAGTTTGTCTGGCCCAGACTTGATGTACCACCAGTTTGTCTGGTCCAGACCTGATGTACCACCAGTTTGTCTGGTCCAGACTTGATGTACCACCAGTGTGTCTGGCCAAGTCTTGATGTACCATCAGTTTATCTGGCCCAGACTTGATGTACCACCAGTTTGTCTGGTCCAGACTTGATGTACTATGTTAGCCGGCTCCCAATTAATAATATAGCTTAGTGCTACAACAATCCCCTGCCTTGTAGAGTAAAGGTGAGAAATGTCAAAGCAGTAATCTGATGATTCTGGTGCAATACAATGGGCCACATTTATGAAATATGCATATCGTGAATCGGCACATTTATGAAGGTATAGTGCATATTCTTCTTGCCACAATGAATCGATGAAAAGAGAAAACCAGGAAGTAATGTTGAGCTCAGTGTACCAAACAATTCATCCTGATTCACATGGTTTAATTACAATGACACAGTACACAATAGGTATGTTAGTATGGAGTTGCATCCACATTCTTCTTGCCACAATGATAACCATAACAGATGAAAAGAGGAAAATGACACTGTTTCCATTGATGCTTTGCTGGAAGAAAGTTATATAGACATAGAGAGGATTGTGACTTCCAAATTGGAAATTGAAGTCAGTGTACCAAACAATTCAGTCTGATACCAACAAACAACAAATAGGAATTGTAAATAATATACAATTAACAATTGTACTATATCATTCAACAGGTTTAATTACAATGACAGTACACAATAGAGAGGATTGTAAATGACACTATAAATACAATGGCAGTACACAATAGAGAGGATTGTAAATGACACTATAAATACAATGGCAGTACACATAAATACAAGAGGATTGTAAATGACACAGAGAGGATTGTACATGACATTGTAAATATAAATACAATACAATCGCAGTACACAATAGAGAGGATTGTAAATGACACTATAAATACAATGGCAGTACACAATAAAGAGGATTGTAAATGACACTATAAATACACGTGCAGTAGAAGATGGGTTAATATATTCCGTATTAAATTTGAAAGAAGCCTTTTAGACTCTATAAAACAGTTATGATACCAGATAGCAAGCCTATCCTTCCCCTACTGGTGGAATTCATCACAAACACATGCAAAGGCAAGTCAGTTAATACACAAGAATATGTGGTACCTTTCACGTTTCATCTTGTCCCTGTATTTCCACCAGTCGTACAGTGACACCTTATAAGACCTGTATTGTTACAGTCATATGGTTACAGGTGGTAACATATGTATGTTATTCAATGTAGACATGTGGCCATCAGTTGGTAGGAGGTCAATTTCAAACTGAATGTTATCCCAGAAATGAGGTTGATCAGAACTAAAATGATGACATTTACTTACAATTGAACAAACAGTTTTACTTTACAGTGGCAAAGGTAATACCATGTGTCAAACGAACGGGCCTTGCTGGCAAACACAATAACTGCAATATATACAGTACAACCAGAAATTATTGAGAATTTAAAGATTGTAATTTTTTTAAAAAATTCACTCATTACTCACGTATTAAATGTGAATATTAGCAGAACATAACTCCAGATTCAAAGACAGGTGAATAGTTAGTATTTTGTCAGGCTTCAATGCGGCGGGGCATACTACTGATCAATGAAGTTAGAAAGTCGTGGTCCATGCTGTCCCATTACCTCTTCTTTCATTTCAGCAATATTTGTCAGATTGTTCTTATTGACACTTTCCTTCATAAGTTCCAAAACATTTTCTATTGGATTTAGGTCAGGGCTATAGCTTGGCCAATCTAATAATGTCATATTTTGGGTCCGAAACCAGGCCTGTGAATGCTTTGAACGATATTTGGGGTCGTTGTTCTGCTGGAAAATCCAAATATTTCCATAGAACACGTGAGCAGATTTCGGACTGTACTTTGGGCGCTGATACAAAGGTTTTTCAGTTTGTTTGGTCCTGAATTTCAGTGTATTAGGAAACAGCCACATGGTGCTCAATGCCATATCCATTTGCAATATTTTTCAAAACACGATAAACAGTGGACAAAGGGATGCCTGTTCTACTTGAAATCACTTTAGCTGATCTGATGTCCTTGTTATAATACTCTAAAATCAACTTCCTCTTCTCTAAATCATCCCTACTGAGGATCACTGAAAATGTCGTCTGCTAGCAAGTAAACAAAGGGGGATAACTCTTCACAAACTAATGAAAAGGATTAACAGAGTTGTCTCTCATGAATGAAACCAAGCACTTGATAGCTGGTCAAGGTTGTTTATACTAGAAATCAATTAAACATATTCCTAAAATTCTCAATAATTTCTGGTCATACTATACATCCGTGCATAAAATAAGCACCACCCTGTATTTTTACCAATTAGTTTTGTCTGAAATGAATTTCTAAACTCTTTCCAAAAAAATAACCTTTATAATTTGATAGAGCAAGCATTTAACATTTAAAAAACGAAAACATCTTTGAAATTACCATGTACCATTAGGATAATTCCCTAAATTTAAAACAGGTGTTTTTCTTTCCTTAAACGAGTTACCTTATTTTGAAAAGTGAAAGTAATAATTGATTGTTATGTGGCCTATAAATTTGTTATTTATTGTGAATGGATGAAAGTTTGTAAACTAAGATTTAGGAAAAGTTACAGTCAAACTAAAAAAAGTAAAATTTTAAAATGCAGTAAAAGTTTGCTTTACAAACAAAACAAACAGATTTTAGCTGTAATTACCAGTATCTGGCTAGGAAAAGTGTTCATTCAATACAATAAACTCAAAATCATAAAAGATTCATTCCAAAATCTTATTAATGTGGCCTTTTTCAGTTTTTGTCAATTAGCAATCTGAATTGTTGGAAAAAGGTCTGAATCTTTGACATTCGGGTTCTTCCTGATTATGCATAATTAAAGCTTACTTGATGTGTAAATGTCATCTTGGTATATAACCATAGGCGGTTCCAGAGGGGTGTGTGCAGGTGCGCACCCCCACTTTTGTTGGTGTATTCTCTGTCTGCCTGCACTTTAATTGGCTATAAGCGGAGTAGGATTAACAGTCCAGTGCCTGCACAATTATAGTCTGTTCAAGTAAGTGGAGTTCACTACCGGCACCTTGAAGAAAGAATTGACCTTGAGAAACACAGACTCTTGACTAGTCTCACCACTTCTTTATGGTGATACCGTTTCTCATCTGGTGGGATTGTGAATTGGATTATTATGTCATTTGAGTGAGTGAGTTAAGATTTATAGCCACATCGGCAATATTTCAGCCATATCATGACTTAAAAAGTTACTAACTGATAATAAATGGAATTAAATTACAAAAACCTGTCGACGAAGGACAATAATATTATGTCATGTGAAACAAATTATACAATTGTATGTATTTATGTATACTACTCACACTTTGCTAAGGATCACAACAGATCACAACTTTACTAAAACGTAGATTTATAATTTGAAATTGTATCCATTTGAAATTGGATAAATAATGATATGGTAACCCCTCTTCAGGCAAACAGTCACTTTAACCTAACCTTATGCGCTTGATACATGAGTCACCTTAGAAATTGTTTTCATGGCACCAATCAACCATTTTGCAAATCATGGAAGGAGTCATTGACAAGTACACAACACAAGACGAAATGACAAACTGAAACCTAGGATCCATGCTTACAATAAGCTTAGATGTTTAAACCTAGGATCCTTGCTTACAATAAGCTTAGATGTTTAAACCTAGGATCCATGCTTACAATAAGCTTAGATATTTAAACCTAGGATCCATGCTTACAATAAGCTTAGATGTTTAAACCTAGGATCCATGCTTACAATAAGCTTAGATGTTTAAACCTAGTATCCATGCTTACAATAAGCTTAGATGTTTAAACCTAGGATCCATGCTTACAATAAGCTTAGATGTTTAAACCTAGGATCCATGCTTACAATAAGCTTAGATGTTTAAACCTAGGATCCTTGCTTACAATAAGCTTAGATGTTTAAACCTAGGATCCATGCTTACAATAGGCTTAGATATTTAAACCTAGGATCCATGCTTACAATAAGCTTAGATGTTTAAACCTAGGATCCATGCTTACAATAAGCTTAGATGTTTAAACCTAGGATCCATGCTTACAATAAGCTTAGATGTTTAAACCTAGGATCCATGCTTACAATAAGCTTAGATGTTTAAACCTAGGATCCATGCTTACAATAAGCTTAGATATTTAAACCAAATTTGACCCCACATTATAGTTTTCTGTTGAATCCATGATTTGATCCTTATCAAAGTGTGTTACATGTAATATTAGTAAAATTAAAAATGTCACCATAGTTTTCAAATGACTTGTATTTGTATATTTGTGGGTGCTATAGCAATAAACAAAATGTGATAAACTTTACTGTTTACTAGCAAGTGCTGGCATACTTACATTTCTACTATAGACTATAGCTTTAATCCCCATTGTTGCAAGGATTAGTAAGGTCTAGTAATTTTAATCCCTAAACAATACGTGCAGGCAAAAAGAGAACACCCCCTTTTGTCCTGAAAGTTTATGAAATGGCCATTGAAACTCGGGTGAAAATGAAGTGTGCATCCCCCCTTTCTCAAAAAGCTGTATCCGCCCCTGATAACAGAATTGTTATTTTTAGTCAAAACTTAATTTAGTTGTGTAGTTTGAGCAGGAGAGGAATAGTAATGTGGGTAAAAATTCAGTCCCATCACATTTTCATCAACTTATTCTTTCATAAAGAATAGAAAAGGTTATGGTATTTGTAAAACTGTCAATGGATAAAGCTTCTTTAACTATAGGTTGATTAAATTGATGGCTATACCCTAACTTTTCTGTAGCATCACATCTTATTTTCAAAATAGGGTGGTGCTTAATTACTGCTTATTGTAAACCAAAAGTCACTGTGTTCTTTAATCTGATTGGTTGAAAAACATGATCAAATGGTATTCGATTCCCGGAAATTCGCTGCGTATTAATACATACAAACATCGCTCACACCATTGTATTGTTACGTCGTCAGCTGTGATGACGTCATTAAAATCAAATTGTGACGTAAAGTCCGAATGACGTCACAAATAAACAGTTCCAGATGCTACCATAGGAGGCAGCCGAAACGGCCGGCTGATGACATTTCACTGCTGTACCCATACTCGGTGTCAATGGAATGTTGCTAAAAGAGGTGTAAAACCAAACTCACTCACTCACTGGCAAAACAGGGAGAAATTGAAAATTTATGCGAGGGGGCAACTTTTGTGGCCCGTGCCTACTTTTTAGGTCCTCATGGCTTGAATTGATTTCAACTGTTGATTATCATATTTATTGACACTGCATACTTTTGACCTGCTTTTTTCTGGAGTCTAGATGATATGCCAACTCTCCCAGCTGTTATGTACAGGTAATATGACACTTATGTTTCAGTGTCTAAAGATGAGGAGGCTGCAGAACGTGAATCAGAACGAGCCTCACAGCTCAACCCTCTGAGAAAGTCCTACTTCTGCCCTGAGTGTGACCGGCAGCTTTCCCTGACTGCAACAGAAATCCTCAAACACAAGAAATCACACAAAGTATGAGAGCTGTCACTAGATTGACCAACAATTTTCCAACAATAGAGATTCTGAAACGCAAGAAATCTCCCAAAGCACAAATATCTCTTGATTGCCTGACAATTGTCTTTGACTGCGACAGAGAAGCATGTGTGTGTGTTCTCTGTTCAAGATGGCAGTGACTTTGAGTGGCCAAAAGACAGGTTAAACTGGATCTCAATTCAAAAATGGCTGCCCCCACATGTATTCCTGGTTAGAATATGCCCACAACAACCTTGTGCGGGCAACACAACAGGTTGGGTGATCTGCACTAGACATTCATTACATAATCAGAAATTTGGTTTCAGTTCATGACAAGCAAAACCTTTCAATGATAAAGGCTATGTCAGATACCAGTGTCATTCAGGAGCTGAAGGACTATAAGAATGAGGACAATTTTTATGGACATACAACTTCTTTATTCTGTATAGCTGACGTCTCGACAAAGATTCGAATGTCGTCAAGCAAGTGGCGAAACGTCGTCTATACAGAATAAAGAAGTTGTATATCTATAAATATTGTCCTCATTCTTCATTCTGTCAACTTCTAGAATGCCAATCAAAGAAGTCATTGAAGGACTTGCTTGTGTTGTTATCTACAAAAGGCTATTCCGACTTCTACAGCTGTGATACTGTATGTGACTATCGAACACTTTACTTGCAGTTTGAAATTTTGTAATGGTAAAGGTCATTAGCAGTCTATGAAATGAGCCAAAAACCCAGCCAGACATCAGGACCATGGGCTGGCTAGCTGTAAATTTAGACCGTCCGTACTTATTTCATACACTGTCATTAGACTTCAAGTGGACTTCAAGTTTCTGAAGAGCTAGCGACATCATAAGCCTGACGTCTGCCCGTAGTTATTCTTTTCAGATTTTATACTTTTTTATATAAATTTCTTTTCAAGCACACGATTTGGACAAATGTATCTAAAGAGGAAACACATTGTGGTTAATCAATATAAAACATGTATGAATTCAGTGATTCGGGTGAGACAAATGTTTGATTTATTGTTTCACAAGTCTTACCAGATATTACTACTTGAATATTTAATGAGTGGGAGTATGGTTAACGTTTAAACGTGCAAATAGTTCACAGTTGTCCCACAGGCCATTGGTTTTTGCTCATATCTATATCTGGCGTTTAAACTGTTCAGGTTACGCGGGTACCAGTCGAATTGCCCCCAGCACATTTGGTCAAATTGCCCTGGATTTACCAAAGATCTGGTGCAATTTGAACAAATGTGCGGGGTCATTTTGTAGCTGGGGCAAATCGACTGGTATCTGGTAGCTGTGACAGCAGTACATTTTGTTTAGACTGCAGGAATGTAATAACGCACAGACATCATACCAATATTTAGAAGAATATTTACACAGAAGTATTCAATACGAACTCTTTTTGTAAACGAAATGAGATTCTGATGTCTTGCGTGTCACTAACATATCAATAAAAATACCTATATAAATGTGTTCCAATCATCATTTCCGTAAGTATAAATTTGAACCAAGTCCAGGGACTCAAAGTTTGAGATATCTACCGTATGTCTCCCATCCCTATATTCTGTGGAGATTTGGGTTTTTAAAGGGAAAAATAGCTCATGCGTATATGGTCAAGTATGTTTAACAATAGTGACCCTTGAGAGCCTTGAATTAAATCCTTGTATTTTCAGAAAAATCTCATCCCTGACTATTGACCAGCAGTATTTCTCAAGCCAGATTTACAACGCCAACTTCAAGGTTGTCGTCCTCGTATCGCGTTTCTGTCAACTACCATCGATTTGAAACACTAGATTTGGATATCCGTTTTAACGATTCCTTATTTTATAATACGACTACCCAAGGAATATCAAAAACGAAATACTTGTAATTGAGACTTTAATCTACTACAAGAGAATGTGTTCAAATATGCATTCCCAAGTTCATGGAAGTCTGACTAATTATAAATAGATGCTGATTTTACAAGATACAAGATAGTGTATTTGGCATTTACCAGTCAGAAAGCACTCACCCTCCGCCGAATGATGCAGGGTAATTGAGAGCTGGCAGACCCAGGTAACCTCTCTTTTCCTTTGTGGCCATTTGATTCTCGCTGATTTATTTGGTCGTGACTGTAAAGTCCGCCTCATGCAGTGATTAGCAGCGATTATGGTGGCATTGATACACAAGATTGCTGTTGTGGCTGTAAGTAGTATAATGGTACATCTTTTGCGAACCTTTCGTCCTTGTTAGACGCATCTCTTTTTGTCAGACCTATACCAAGTGTAGGTAGATCATTTATTAATAACCCCGGTTTCACTAGAGAGGTGGAGCACTCACGGTGTTCATTTCAACAGCAGACGACGACCAAAGCAGACGAGTCCTATGAGACAGGAGACAGGCGTGGATGACAGCCGTACCATGCAGTGTAAACAACTTACACTTCTGTCCGTCTTCTGTCTGTGTCTCCGAAGGTCTGTGGTGTACTGTACCTGTCAGTATAAGGACCACTGGGTTCATGGATCGTATCAAATCCCAACAACGGACAACCAATATTCCAAAGAGCTTTCAGAGATAAGTCTGTATGAGTGCATGGCTAGTTGTTTCACGCACACCGAGGCGTGCCGGTCGTTTAATTACTGGACGAATTCGTCGGTGTGCCAGTTCTTTGAGAAATCCCTGAGTGACAATGACAACAAGGAAGAGGGTACCAATGTCCACGCCATTTACACCGACATGGCCACCATGCCACAGGTAGGTTCACTGTTTCCTTCAGAAATTAACCACGTAACATATGTGATTCCATGCTTCCAACACTTGAACTGTACTGTCACGGCCCCTAACACGTCATTCAGTCCGTGTTATTCAGACTTCCAGATGCCTTAGGAACTGACAAAGCTGTAATTTTGAATATTTGGTCATAATAAGTAATGCTGCAAATAAAAATACACATTCAGTCTTTCGAGCCGTATAAGAAAGGAAATATGTTGTTTACTTCTTAAAGCTCAATATTTTGTCCATACTCAAGATTAAAGACCGTCTCGTTATTCGAGCTCTCAATCCTGGAACGATCCAAGGGCGCATGTCTACATCCTTAGATATTAGGTAGCACTGACAGACCCCCTTCGTGGTAAGACACAGATACATACATATTTTGTTCTATTCATGATTCTGCTAGTACATTAAATACTAATGCTATAGACAATAGTTTCTTGCTTCCCTCTATGAAATATATTTAATATAGAACTGTATTACCCTGAATATATTAGCAACTGTTGTAATACTAGATATTTTAATAGCCTAAATATTAAAAAGCAACAACGCAAAACACACACACACACACACACACACACCTGACCGGAAACACGTAACAACAATGTACTTTTTGTGTTAAACATATACACTTTCATCAAAACCATTGCTGCAGTCGATTAAGAATTATGACAGTTGTGTTCAATAATTAGATCAATGGTGATACGTACTTAGGCCTCATTTCTTTTGATTAGGTAATGCGTTGCACATTTCAGTTTTGTTACCGATGTTATGTATCAAAAAATGTTTCCAACTTGTCTAACATTACACTTTTTGAAGGCTTTTCCCAGGCTTGAATGTTGCAAAATCTCTCCGATAGTCGAGGTACTCTTCGAAGTAGTTATAGTAGGAACATGCTCGACTGTGCTTATAACGTTGTCAAATGCAGACACCAACGGCTGGAGCCACATGAATATTGACAAGGAAAGGAAATGTTGAAGTCTTGTGGAGATTGTCCCTTAAAATGTTTATGCTTACATATGAATAAAAAAAACAGACGAGGTTGTCTCACAAGGCCTCCTTTGTTTCTAGCTCAGACAGGTAAGCAGTGGAAGAGAATGGGCTATTTGATAGTTATGGAACGATATCAGACCGTCGATAAACAACAACTTGAGTTTCTTGCCCATATAACCTTCTTTTGAATTTGCCAGCCCCGGTAGAACTCGGTATTCATATACAGAAAGAAGCACACCTTTGGGAGGTACAAGAACGGCTCATAGTGACAGCTTTTTCTTACCCAAAAGTCAAATTCCAAATGTTACATTTTCAACGAGGAGGCCCAACACTTCACCATAGTCAGATGACACTTTCTTTTTTCTTTGATAACTTGTCCTGAACCTCTGTTCTATATATTTCTGTTTGACACTTGGTCCTGAACCTCTTTTCTATATATACCTTTTCGACAACATGTCCTGAATCTCTTATCTGTTTTATCTGTTTGACAACTCGATCTGAACCTCTGCTATATCTCTATCTGTTTGACAACTCGATCTGAACCTCTGCTATATCTCTATCTGTTTGACAACTCGATCTGAACCTCTGCTATATCTCTATCTGTTTGACAACTTGATCTGAACCTCTGCTATATCTCTATCTGTTTGACAACTCGATCTGAACCTCTGCTGTATCTCTATCTGTTTGACAACTTGATCTGAACCTCTGCTATATCTCTATCTGTTTGACAACTCGATCTGAACCTCTGCTATATCTCTATCTGTTTGACAACTCGATCTGAACCTCTGCTATATCTCTCTGTTTGATCTGTTTGACAACTCGATTTGAACCTCTGCTCTATCTCTATCTGTTTGACAACTTGATCTGAACCTCTGCTATATCTCTATCTGTTTGACAACTCGATCTGATCTGAACCTCTGCTATATCTCTATCTGTTTGACAACTCGATCTGAACCTCTGCTATATCTCTATCTGTTTGACAACTCGATCTGAACTCTGCTATATCTCTATCTGTTTGACAACTCGATCTGAACCTCTGCTATATCTCTATCTGTTTGACAACTCGATCTGAACCTCTGCTATATCTCTATCTGTTTGACAACTTGATCTGAACCTCTGCTATATCTCTATCTGTTTGACAACTCGATCTGAACCTCTGCTATATCTCTATCTGTTTGACAACTCGATCTGAACCTCTGCTATATCTCTATCTGTTTGACAACTCGATCTGAACCTCTGCTATATCTCTATCTGTTTGACAACTCGATCTGAACCTCTGCTATATCTCTGTCTGTTTGACACATAGTCCTGAACTACTGTTCTATCTCTACATGTTTAATACATTGTCCTAAACCTCTTTTCTATATATACCTCTTCGACAATATGTCCAGAATCTCTTATCTATTTTGACACAGGTGTTCGCGAAAAGAGTAAACATATCCTGCCCTACCGTTAGCACTCATCATTCACAAAATGGGCCTTCAGCATTTGTGAAAGCATTTCTGGTGTCCCCCAATTGATATTACTGAAATATTGCTAAAAGCGGCGTAAAACTAAACTCATTCACCCTCACTCACTTAATATGGAAGTATTGTATGCCTGAAACATACAACTTTATGGATGACAACTTCTTGTTTACTGCATTAAGCGACGTGTCCATGTAGATTCTTACACCGTTATCAAGCTTAGACTTTTCGCTTGATTACGATGTAAGAATGATTTCTGTGCACTTAAGACCATTGTGCGTTTAAGGGCACAACAAACGTCGCTTAATGCAATAAACAAGAGTTGTCATCCATAAAGTTGTATGTTTTCATTTTTGAGTCACCAACTTCTAGAAGGTGATGGAACCAAGGGTATGGAGTATTTTTTCGTTAAGTGGAGTTTAAATGATGTATAGAGCATACTGAAGCAAGTATGTTTAACAAGGGATAATGTAAGGTAATGCACGTAACAAAACTCGCTAAATATACTCGTGATCCGGAATGTACCGAGGAACAGCGAGCAGGAGTCGTCTTCAAATGACCAAGCTTCATAGTGGAGAGTTGACCTTCAGACGACCCCTGTTTCTGTGTAGTAGTCAGTAGATAAAAGCAGTTTTCAGAACTAAATTTGCATATGAAAGCACAAGTAATTAGCAACACTCCCACATATGCTACCATTCTTTAGATCCAAGCGAGACTGTCAAGATCAACTAGTGCTATCGATGGGTGCAACAGTAGAGGATTAGTATCAAAATGTCAAACGTCAGAAGCCTTTCAAAAACTATACACAGGTTGCTAATAATTCATAATAATTCATCGATCCCTTCATATTCAAGCTTTGGAAATACGAAACGACTGTCGTTCAGCCGTCTTATACATTAATGTATTCAACAAGGTTAGAATATAAGGTTTTTGTCATTTCTTCTAGTGTTTGCAGTGGTTCTCGATGTTGTAAACAAAGACATAGCTATGACAGATTACTTATTATGGGACCGCCTCCGTGGTGTAGTGGTTAGAGCGTCCGCCCAGAGAGCGGAAGGTCGCGGGCTCGATCCCCGACCGCGCCATACCAAAATACGATAAAATATATATGGTACTTGTTGATCCCTGCCTGGCTCTCGGCATTAATGGGTACAACAAGGACTGGTCGGCTCGGAGTCAGTATAATGTGTCTGAGTGGGGTATTCATCCTTCACTGCGGCATGGTATCTCAGTGGGCTAGCACTATCAAACCAGCTTAAGTCTGGGCTAGTACAAGCAGCCGCACATACATATACACACGCATGACCGTCGTCATATGAGCGAAATATTTTGAAGTACGACGTTAAACCCAATTTCACCTCACCTCACTTATTATGGAAACTCCTATTATCACATGGAAGTTAGATGTCATTGGATATATATATTTTTTCAATATAGGGGTGTGTTGTTGTTGGATCTTACAGCATCCAGAAAAAATCGCGTGCATGTGTGTTGTCACCTTTCTGCAGAGACACATCTGTTGAGTATGTTTGCTTGAAAGCCCCCAACAAGTAACCTTGGTAGGCTGTACGTCAACGACCTGCCAATGCAACACGCTGAGATTGAGTCGCTACCTTTCATTAATCGCTCCGTTCCATTCGTAATTGGGATCGATACACAAATTACACACGAACCTCGTCTTTAACATTATTTGAAACATGTAACTGCATTTTGATTATCTCTTTAACCCCTTGTTGAAGTCATTCAAGCATAACACGGCTAAAATACTGACGTTTCAGGTTTCCAATGTTTGATGCGTATAAATCTTCGTGAGTAAGAAAGGAAGATTGAATGAAACCTGAGCTTTACACTTCTTAAATGTCACGAATTACTCATGACTTGCTAAATATACTCCCCATCAAAAGGTTAGACTCACTAGTGTAAATGTACCCATTTACTTAAGTCAACTGTTCTAAAATAAATTTTGCGAAACTTTCCATACTGTTTAAAGGTACTCTTTACACATGAACTGATGTATTGTAAAACACATTTGTAACGTTGAAAAGATTATTGTCATGAGTTCAATAATTGATGAAACCCAGTGAAAATTGACGAATTCGTAACAAAACTTTACACCAAAACGCAGCTGTTCACATTGCATGATATTTGCACGTTTTACAGCAATTTGATGCATGATCCTCGTGCAATCATCTGCATAAGGTTTTCAGTTGGTTCCCCCAAGTTAGTGGAGAAATTCATCTTCGATGTAACCATACATATATGGGTCATTTTCAAAATTGGTAGTATTTTCTGTCCGTTCCAATTAAAAAAACCTCTGTTAACCTAAAAGGATTTTTTTGTGCTAGAAAACATATTTAGATGTTTACTAGTCAGTAGTTGTGTTATATCATTGGTCTTGTCATTTTGAAACTTATATTTAGCCACATTTTAGGGTTAAAATTGGCAGATTTGCTCTGTCCGGAAGTGACGGTCCTAATATCAATGTTCACAAATAATGTAAATATAAATGCAAATAAACAAATTAATTCATATTATGCCAATTAGGATTGAACAGGCATACTCAATCTGCAAATTTATTATTACTTTAAGAGTTAAGATAGTTTAAGCATGGAATTTTACTGTTCAAAGGAGTTTTGATGTAGTAGCATAAAAACAGTCTCTAGTAACGGTTTGGACAAATAATAGTAACGGTCTGGACATATCTTTAATAAATTTCAATTTTGAAGAATATGTTCTATGGTGTGATAGTAAATTTCTATTTACTTATCTATCTGCTTTAAATATTAAAAACCAAAACGAATTTATCACGTTAAGTTTCTATTTTCTATAAGATCTATAGTCTTTATGAATTATAAAGGTAACGGTTAGGACATCTGTGGTAACAGTTTGGACCAAATGTAGTAAGGGTAAACAACTTAATTGTATTCAAACCTTTAAAGATGTTTTGGGTGTAAACTGTTTTGACTTGAACTATGACATATGTAAGGCTACCATTTACTTTGAACATTGCTAGGTGCTAATATGTTGGCCAAACCTTTGTATTTGATAAATACATGTTATCATCTCACTATTAACAAAAACTAAAGGTATCCGAGTGAATGAAAGAGGTATATTTCGTGGAGACTAATATTGCACCATAATATCAACAGCAAAATGATATCTATGCAGTGGCCTGTGTAGCATGACCATGTGTACAGTATCATAGTTGTTGCGGTACCTTTCAGAATTTAATCTTTTGCAACTTTTTAGAGGGATAACATTTGTTTGTTCCACTGATGTCCTGACCGTTACCAATAATGTCACAACCGTTACTATTCATTCAATTTTCGTTCCCCAGTTACACTCTTCTTTAGATTATAAGTGATTTTCAATCTAGACAGGTGTGTTTTTCTATTCTTTAGAAGCTACAGTTTGTTTTTATTCAAAAGCCTAAATTCATTCACAAGTTTCATATTGATATAACAGATGTCCAAACCGTTACCACAGCATGGAAGAAAACATGTCATATTTGTTACAAGTTACAATTTCTAATACACATTTCACTGTCTGTCCAAAATAGGGTTAGCAGTTGAAGTAAATGATATCATTTTTTCCTTTCATGTTACCTGTTTCTATGTTGAATTAAATTGTTTAAGGTTTATGTCCAGCCCGTTACCATTCCTGTCCAAACCGTAACCACTATTGTCCTAACCGTTACTGGTGTTAATTGACTGCTCTAATTAATTCATGATAATACATGAAACACTTCTCTTGGTTATCTCCCAATTGACAGACACCCAATTGACAGACACCCAGTTGACAGACACTGAACTAGAAGGTTAATTTGGGTAACACCTACGGGTATAATGGAACAGTCTTGTGAGTAGAGCAGGGTGAGCCTGAAACAGGTTCGTTACTGAGAAGTTTGATTGTGGGTAAATAGAACTTTGTCGTGATTAAATGATAAATGATTTCTCTTCTCAAAACTGATTTTACTATCAATTACTATCGAATATGAACACAGGTTTGTCACTGAGAGGTTTGATTGTGTTTATTGATAGAAAAGACCCCTCCCAATAATAGGATATGTACAACAGAAGTTAACTGAGAAAACGTTTTGTTGGAGAGATATAGATATGTACATATTTGAAAACATTCTATTTTGCATTAAATGAGACACCTGCATTGCCATGTAAGATACGATTAATACCAATCAGTGTTCTAATTTTAACAATACTTTCTAAAGATTGTAACAGTTTCTATCTTTGAGTAGTATACAAAAGTCATTGAAGGAAGTAATGAAAAACATTCTCACATCCATGGCCACATTGACATGATTCGTCATTTTTAAAATATTTATTCTAAATAAATCTTAATAAACTGCACTCGTCATATATCTTAATATTGTGTGCAAAACATATAACTTCTTTATTCCATATGAATAATATTTAGGTTCGCATTTGTCTTTCACGTGGATATAAGATTTAAATGATACAACAGTGTCGCAATTTCTAATAGTTAAGCTAATGTTTTCAATATGATGATGCCGACTCCCGTTAGACTAGAAGGGTTATGAAAATAATCTGTTTTATATTGCAGCAATAAAAATTCGAATTACTGTCTTTTCGTCCATCTTTCAAAATAAATAATATAGCTTCAGTTTGTTCCTGTGTTTTTATTTGGAATATTCCATTATAATGTGTAGGTAACAGGTAATAGCTAATCTGTTCACTGAACCGTAGATGTTGTTTTAAGGCGGCTGCGAACTGCCCGTCTGCGTAATGGGAGGACACCCTCCTCTTTATGCTGGTGTCATCAAAAGATGTTCTGGGCTTAGTAGCTGATGTGTATTTTAGACAATTTTACCTGTTGAAAGCTATGTACATAATAATGTTTTAGATAAATGCTATTATTTTGTGGTAAATATATGAAAGATACAAAATAACACTTTCAGGATTCATAGTTTTTACCTTCAAGTTTGATTAAGTCGGTGTAAAAGCTGTGTCTGCCATCTTTAAAAGATTTTATGAATTATATTTCAAAATCCCTCTTCTGATTAAGAAGTGGTACCGGTCAGGACTTTCCCTCACCCTATTAATTACTTATGTATCAATTAAAAGGCCAATTAGTAAATTTGAGCCTGCATGTTTGTATTTTTGAATAATTAAGTGTTTGAGATTTTATTTAAGTAAAAACTAAATCAATTTTCAGGAGTTTGATTTTACTATAATAAAGAATTGAAAATCCTGCCACTTTTGAAAATGACCCATATACATAACACATAGTGAGTGCTTTAAGTGAGTCATAACACATAGTGAGTGCTTTAAGTGAGTCTAAACTTTTGATGGGTAGTACATAAATCTGTATCAATGAATATACCATGAACAGGTTCATGTTTTATGCAGCAAGTACTTAACGTTGTCTCCAAAGACATCCCCCGTGGCGTGTCAAACATCTCATCGTAGGTTCTAATCCCAAGTGTACTTCTTCCGGCTCTACTCAAACATCAAGCTGACGCTATGAAATAACGAAACATCTTTAAACCAAACTCGCTGGAATCGACGAACATCTGGTCTAGGATTGATCTTCGGCAATCTATGTTTGTCGTAAGAGCGACTTAGAAACTGGTGGTCAGGTTTGCTGACTTAGTATCCCAATCGCTTAGATCGGTGCCCATGGCTTCAATCACCGGATTGTCTGGATCATTCACAAACCGCCGTGTTATGGCTAGAATATTACTGAGTGCGGCCTTAAACTATACATACAAACAAAAACAAAAAAATTCGAAAATGTATTGATTACAATACTTGGTTCAATGCGACAATTCGATGCATTGTCACGCATTTTATGTCCACACATTTTAGATGGGACGACAATGTCATATATTGTTTACTTTAACAGTTAGAGTGAGTGAGTATAGTTTTACGCCGCTTTTAGCAATATTCCAGCAATATCACGGCGGGGAACACCAGAAATGGGCTTCACACATTGTACCCATGTGGGGAATCGAACCCTGGTCTCCGGCGTGACCATCGAACGCTTTAACGACTCGGCTACCCCACCGCCCCCTTAAAAATTAGAGGTAGTTTTCAAAGCAACAATTGGTCTAAGTGTATCGTTGTTGCATTCAGTACTTTGAAAGTTTTTGTATGGACGACAAGGAACCAATGTCCGTTTCAAAGCTTGACACAAAGGACCCTACACTACCTTTATCGTCACAATTATATAGTGGAGTCGCCTCACCAACAGCACACTCTAACGAATGCCAATGTTTGGTTTGATGTAGGAGATGTCGGATGTTGTGGGAGGCTGCAGCTTCATCACCTGCAGCGAATCCTGCTACCTGGACCGAAACAACCGACCTCGGTGCAAACTGCCAGGTAGGACACGGGTATTTCCTCCTGAGTATTCAAGGAAGGTATTTATACGTTATAGATGACCGTTTACTGTAAGTTCTTATAACGAGCTGACGGTCAAGGTGATGCGTCATGTAAACTGCGGCACAGAAAGAATATATACTTGAAAATAAGATTAGAACCAAGAGATTACAAGCGTTACCTGCTGTGAGATGTCCATTGATGCATGTGATAGGATGCCCATATCAAATACATAACGTGAAAAGAAGGATGGTGAACGCATATAATTATAAATGAAAACAAGCTGATGGCTGATGACATGATGTAAACTAAAGCAGCATCAGTCTCCACAACTGTCAGCAGAACACACGTTGGTGAAGTTTCTTCCTAGAGATGTACTTGTAAGAAAGTTGATAACCACCCTGTTTTGTTGGGCGAACCTTAACCTTTTTGTACTAATATGCCTTCGTGTGATGTATTAGTACATGAAAGGCTGAAAAACTGAAAGGATCCACTAAATTCCACTAAATTGGATTCCATGTTATGGTATTCGGATTAAAAAAAGTATTCTATAAACAAAACAAAAGACAAATTTGACTTAGCATTGCTAGAGTAAAATTAACTGATTTTCAAAAACATACAATTCCTTTGGCATAAGAAGTACAAAATATACTAAATACTCGGTGCATTACGAAAAAATGTCGTCCTATATTTACAGTAAACATGAGGCTGATTCAATTCGCACACAATCGCTGAAGTTTGTTAAATGCCAAACCTCATAAACTTATGCCACACCTCGGCATGTTGTGACGGCCATAAAGATCGTGGACGTTGAGAACGTGGTTGGTTCCTGGTGTTGCCTGATCAGTTGGTACCGCCACTGCTAGTGATTCAGTCCGTGCTCAACTTGATTCAATCCCTTGTTTTATAGTTGCTACTGTTTTCCCATTTTGGTTCCCCTGTTGTTTCCTGACAAGACAGTCACAAGATAGGTAATGTTTGTTTGATACTAACGGGGGATTCGGCAATATCCCTGCTACATGACGACTGTATGTATACATCAATAATGGAGTCTGGACCAGAAACACAATTGCTGTATGATCACGCGAATCTTACGACAAGCATGGGCTTGATAAGATGTAGCAGGAACGTTTTATAGACTGAATATGAATATGAATTTGAATTTGAACCTGAAGACCTTACCACAATTGGCTTTCAATTTCGACTCTGAATCCCTCAAAATTGTCTGATAATTACTTCCCTCTCCAAACTGGAACAAACTTTAAGGTTTTCCAGTCGAGAAGGTACTGATGATATTTTGCTTACCCTCCTCCCATCCACTGATTCCAGCATCCACACGTATTTAGATATGAGTACACACTGTGTTCCTCTCTTGAAATGGGGAGAGTTTTGAAAGTACGTCAATATGTTACGTGCAGACAACATGGACACTGAACGATGTACATCATGGGGTACGTTACGTGCAGACATCATGGGGTACGACACTATGTTCAGTGCGGACAGTAAGGGCACTGCTCGGTGTACTTCACAGTCCGAGACATTTTTTTCTTGACATAAGCTTTGTAGATTTGTGTGTGAAACTACAATTACATTTTTCCCTTGTGCACAGCGGCGGGTATGGCAGTGGATTATTGAAACTGAGGATAGGGACGGTACTCCTGCCGGTAGATGGCGCCCTACCAAGGTCACGTGATGTCTACGTCAGTTGGATGGATTATCGGAATGTCACACAATTTTGTTGTACATTATATTGTGCTTATACACGACAACCTGCCTCTTCGCGGACCCCTCATCTTGTGGATATAAGTAACATCAAGACGATGCAGTCACACGCGTGTGTATACGTTGGACATTTTTGTTAAACAGTGTTCACTGTATATATGACGTGGGTAGGTCACGTGGTACTGCATGGACCACAACTCACTCTGTATATCTGCGTGGTGACACCTACATCAGGAGTGATCTTAAGCCCTATAACATGTTTTGCTTGTTAAGCTTGTTTGTTGATTTACGCCGCACTCAGCGATATTGGCGGCGGTCTGTAAATAATCGAGTCTGGACCCTATCGTTGTGTTCACACGTGCCTCGGTCAGCGCCGTGCTCGTTGGAATGAGTGAGTGAGTGGGTTTAAGTTTACGCCTCACTCAGCAATATTCCAGCTATATGGCGGCGGACTGTAAATAATCGAGTCTGGACCAGACAATCTAGTGATCAACAGCGTGAGCATCGATCTACGCATTTGGGACACGATGACATGTGTCAACCAAGTCAGTGATCCTGACCACCCGATCCCGTCAGTCGCCTCTTACCACAAGCATGAAGATCAATTCTGACCCGGATCTTCACGGGTCGCTCGTTGGAATGAATGAGTATGTTTCTTTCCAACCTTATTAAGGCAATGGACACCAGAAACAGACTTCACACATTGTAACCAATGGAACCTGGGCGAAGATATTAACCACGGTCCCACCCCATCGCCCTTCATACTGGTTAAGGGGCGGTGGGGTAGCCTAGTGCTGAAAACGTTCGCTCGTCACGCCGAAGACCCGGGTTCGATTCCCCACATGGGTACAATGTTTGAAGCCCATTCCTGGTGTCCCCCGCCGTGATGTTGCTGGAATAGTGTTAAAACCATACTCACTCACTCACTCCATGCTGGTTGGATTTACACAAGTGGTTCACAGCTTCATACGGCGCCTCGCTGGGTTTCCCTTCCACGTTGAGACTTCCTAACCCACCTTGTAATTTGGTTTAAACATATTTATTCATTTAATCATGACGTGATTGGCAAACAAGCATGAAACATGCTTATATCAATGCCGCTCCCTGACAATGATACAGCAGTATTAATAATAATGATATATAGTGACGTACGCATGAACTGGGTGCCAACATAATGGAAATCTACAGCGCAATACTAACGATATTATATGTGTCAATTTGCAAAAGAATCCTTTCAAGGCAATTACACTCACTTTAAAATTTAGTAGCTGAGTCAAGATATCAGCAAGGCACGGCATGTACAATAAAACTAGATAAGGTAAATTGCGAGCATATCTGGAAGATATGATCTAGTAATGTACAGTGATTTACCATGACCTTACCACAGGCCATTGTTGTGGCATTCCTACCCTTTCACAGACCAGAACATACACTTCTGCACTTGGCTGCCGAACATTTTCAGGAGAGTGACATTATTTGCTTGTTTGTTTTTAAAACACACATACACATCTACCTTTTCACAACAAATTGAGTAGCTCCCTGGTATTATAGGAAGCGCGACATGTGTCGCCGTACTTTACTACCGAACACGCCGCCAAGGCCAGATCCACTGGGAAGCCGACTTGTGACGAAGGCTGTTGAAACTGGGCGTGAATTCTAAAAGTAAATAAATAAATAGACATTAAGGTGCAAAGATAAACAGACTGATCATCAATACTGGACAACTGGTTGATTCGAGCAATGTTTCGAGCTACCGCAGTTGGCGTTAATCAACTCACATGTGCTAATGATACACTATGCACGGCATATATGTTAACCTGCCAAGGAGCTGACAAGTTTTCACATTAAATGCTTTGTAAAACACATATGTTTTGTCTTCGTCGTTATCTTTTTCGCTATAAATGACATCGTGTACACGAGGAGTAACACTGCTAGACTGTTCCCACCAAATATCTTTTTGATAACCTTTTGTAATTATTGTTAATATCCAAACTCACAAGCTTACAAATCGAATTTTCTTGTGTATACTCAATTTTGCAAAGGATGCTTCCAATAAAATGTCAGCGACCTAAAACTCACACGCTCTAAGCTTTATAACTTGGAATTGACAAACTTACAAGCTACACGATTTAAAACTTACAAGCATATAACAATCAAACGTACTCACAGACCTATGACGCACAAACTTACAACTTATATTAAAGCCTTAATATGCCCACTTCATAGGGACTGTGCCATGTTTATAATTTGTGTGGCTTTTAAATGTGCGTATATATTCCGTGGTTTGATTGCTCTCTGCTGGTTTTCATCGGTCAGACTGAAAAGAATGTTTTACATAGTAAAGTGTTGGTGTTAGTCAGGAAGCGTATTAAATTTAGTATCACAGTCTAAAATTGATACTTTACTTCTACGTAGATTATATTTTCTTCTCATTAGAAGCGAGCGGTGGGGTAGCCTAGTGGTTAAAGCGTCCGATCGTCACGCTGAAGGCCAGGGTTCTATTCCCCACATGGGCACAATGTGTAAAGCCCATTCCTGGTGTCCCCGCCGTGATATTGCTGTAAACAGCGTAAAACCATACTCACTCACTCTGCTTAGATGATACTTTCATCTCTATATATGGTGTTATGATCGTGCACATTGCTACTGGGACTGTTACATGAAGTTGTGACATCACGACCCTAACGTTGGATATGGTTTATTCAAACATATGTTCATGTACAATGTATATTTGGCAGCATGTTCATCATGTATTTCCATTTGCCCTTCTCGATGTGATTTTTTTACAAGTGAAGTCATTTCCAAGTACCAGTAAACTCAAACAGATTCAATATACAAAACTTCGACACATTTAAATAAAGAGTTAGTTTACTGAGGGGCGGTGGGGTAGCCTAATTGGTTCGAATCCCCACATGGGCACAATGTGTGAAGCCCATTTCTGGTGCCCCCCCTCCGTGATGTTGCTGGAATATTGCTAAAAGCGGCGTAAAACCAAACTCAGTCAGTCAGTCAGTAGTTTACTGAATGTTCGTCAGGAGCATACACATACAGAGATCATTAAACAAGACACCTCGAGGGTAAAAGTCAAACACATCGGTCATTATGGATGAAGCCAGATGTTCCGTAAAACAAACCCGGAGCTATTGTCGGTTACTGGAGATAATATGGTTACCTACTTGATAATTCGATACTGGAAGATACCTTTTCTTAAGTAGATTTTAACATCATATGCGTAAATGTAAGCATCATCTACGGAGATATAAGAGTCATCTACGTACAAGAAAGTATCAACCGAGTAGATGTTAGCACCATCTACGTCGATATAAGTATCGTTTAGAAGTATCCTAGCAACTGTGAATGCCAGATACGTCAGAACTGAAAGTACCCCAACTGATGAAGTATAATATGTGTCATATCTAATGTTTAATAATAGAGAAATGATGTGCTCACAATACCTGGTTTGCTGGTTAACGCCTCACTCAGCAATATTCCAGCTATATGACGGTGGTCTGTAAATTAACGAGTATGGACCAAACAATCAAGTGATCAAAAGCATGAGCATCAATCTACGCAATTGGGATACGATGACATGTGTCAACCAAATCAGCGATCCCGACCAGCCGATCCCGTTAGTCGTCAATTACGACAAACATGGGATGCTGAAGACCAATTCTAACCCGGCTCTTCACGGGTATACTAAAACATATGACATGATACTATTGATAATGTTGGAATTTGAAGGACCAATCGTCCGGGATTTATAAACATCCTTATTTCCTAGGCATAATAAACATGGCGGTGATGCAAACATAGTGTTTATGGGTGTCTCCAAGGGAAAGAAAGACTACGATGGAGACATAATTGCATCTTTGGAAAGAATTACTGAGAAGGTTTACAACCACTGTTGCCTTTGTGGTTCCCTATGTCCAGGGTGAAAATAGGATTTTCAAGGATTGTTTGTTTGACAAACATATCACTGACCTGTGGACATACATAACACACAGTCACAAACACTTCATGCTTACTTGATTCTTATGGACTGGTTCAGGACCATCTCATCCAGGAGGTTATACACATGACTTTGTCACATTTAGGGAGAATGAGAGATTAGTGAAGATCAAGAATCCTGTGTCAGTGAAGGCAGAACAGACTCAGGTTACTCTTCCGACACGGGACTTTACGTTAAGCTGTCACGTACTGTGCTTTCCAAGTTAGTTAATCATGTAGTAAAAAATCGGAAATGCTAAGAGTGGGTGAGTTTAGTTTTACGCCTCACTCAGCAATTTTCAACTACTTAGCGGTGATCTGTAAATAATCGAGTCTGGACCAAAAAATCCCAGACAGTTAACAGAGTCTTACAGAGATGATTCTGGTGACAGCATCCCCTGCCGTCAGATCAGTGAGACCCATGGCTACAACACGCGCTGGGCTATCCACTCACGTTCATCTTCATAGAGTGCCTTCACACGTGACGCTCCCGGCCCCGGGCGGTCAGCAACTGTTCGGGTTTGATGCACTCTCATCCTTGGCCTAAGTTTAAAAATTGTTTGTCGTGAGCAATGAAAGGCTCTTGCAACAGCGACCACAGACTAACCACCATCAAGCCTTCACATAGCACGTTGATATGCTTCATTTGAAAGGCGTGGCATCGCCAAACAAATATTAAAATGAAACGGTTAATATTTTTTCCAGCTCACATTCAGTGCTCGTTTTCAGTTTAAGCAAATATGCACCGAATGGCCTCATGAATTTACATTTACATTTCGTATTTTTCGTCTTTATAGGCTACAAAGTCAAGGTGTGCACGGAACTTACAATTTCTCGAAATTAAAGCATTCCTACTGTTTACAACTGATTAATATACTTGTAAATTTATTTGATTAGACAGAAAAAGAAAAATGTCGAAATTTATCAGTGTCAAGTTTTCAGTTTTGCTGAGAGTATTATAACAATGGTGAGAGTATTATAACAATAGTGAGAGTATTATAACAATGGTGAGAGTATTATAACAATGGTGAGAGATATTATAACAATGGTGAGAGTATTATAACAATGGTGAGAGTATTATAACAATGGTGAGAGCATTATAACAATGGTGCTGCCACGTCTAAAGTAAGAAGATCAGCGTCCATCTTGCTACATTCATTGTCTATTCAGCAGGAAGATCAATTTGCAGAAACAGGTATCAGCAATCTACCTTTGTTACTTATTTATAAGGATATCGAAAGAGACTTATCGAAAGGTTGATCTTTCGAGAGCCTATCATTTTCTGTTGCTGTGGAAACGACTGATGAAACCACCAGAAGACTTGAAATCGGTAGTGGAATAAACCAGGACGTTGTTCCGTCAGGTAAGTACTTCCACGTGATTTTCTCCACACGCATTCTGAAGTTTATCCCATATTGTCTCACAGTGAGGGGTTAGATCGTTT